CTTTACACCCTTGGGCGACATTTTCCACTACGCAACCATCACCGGTTGCCTTCCACTTCCGTTTCCCGTCCCATGTCCCATGTCCCATGTCCTGTGCCTCCCCTGGCTCTTCCTGTTTTGGATTCAGTGCCGCTTTTCTTCTGCCCACCCCCAACCCCCATATCGTTTAATGTCCTATGTCCTATCTATGTTTTCTGGCTCTGTGCTGTGCCTGCTTGTTGGCGTGGCCTACTCCTACCTTTTGGCTCAATAAGAGCGACAAATTTATTGCTTGCTAATAGGAAAACAGCCTCCCTCTGGTCCCGTTTCTGCTGTACGCCCATTCTGTGCCTCCTTAACCACTTCCCTACTTCCCTCCCGCCCTCCTCTCAGAAGAACCACCGCGAAAATGGTCAGGACAAAGTTTGTCGACATTTTTCCACAGTTTTTTTTTTCTTTTTCTTTTTTTTTTTTTTGTCGTGTGCCTCGAACAGAGGAAAAATATGTTTTCAACATAATTTCATTCATTATATTTGAATTGTTATAGTCGTTGGGGCTGTTGTTGCTGTTGCTGGATGCTCATTTTCATCTGGCTCATTATCGTGCCACACCGCCACACTGCCCCCAGAAGGCCACCCCACCTCACCTTCCTTGGGCGTCCGTTTTGGCTAATTTGAATTTGATTTCATTCGGAAAGTTTTCTCGTTTTTTGGCATTTGTTGCCATTCCCATTCCCAGTCCCATGCCCCTGCCCCTGCCCCTGCCCAGTCCCATTTCGGCGTTATGTGTTCTGTGACAAGTGCAAATGATTGGAGGCGCACCAATAGGTAGGCTGGCCACCCTCGCACCGAAGTTGAAACACCCTTCCCAGTTAGAGGACCAATAAAAAGCGATAACTTAAAAAAAGAAAAAAGGGTTTTAGGCTATGGCAGCTGACAGACTACTTTGCACAGAAAACGATAGGCAGACACCAGGCTGAATATTCATGCTGATCATATGTACATATTTACATTTGTACATATGTAAGCATCATCTGAAGTCGTAGATACTTCCTTTTGTGTGTGTGTGTGTGTGTGCCCAGTTTTAATATACCCCTTTAAAGTTACCGAAAAATGAGTTGATTAATTGAAAATGAATGTGAGCCGTGAGTAAATTGATTTTCAGTAGAAATATCCGACAGATGCGGACTAATGGAATGTCATGTTGTATGAAATATTTCAGTAATTCCTTAATTAACACATTTGTGAGAGTTCGCTGAAACTATGGACGCCACAAACTAAATGAACCTCTAAGGTTTCATGAGTACAACGCACAGAAATGCCGGGCACTTGGACCAGGCGTATGCCAGGACTTAATGAGGGCATAAATCTCGGCGTAAATATTCCAGAAATAATTATTATGTTTGCATGTTGTGTGTCATACATATATATATATATCACTAGCCATTAAAAACTAGAATGAGAATAGCCAAAAATCGAAATGTAAATGATTTAAAAAAAACATATTTGTATGGGGCAAAAATTGGAACAAACGAAACAAAAAGTAGTTTTTAAAAATAAAAAATAATTGGAGTATTTTTTACCAGAAAAGAAAACACCCAAAAGAGCCCCAAGGGAGGGGCGCGATTGGGCTCACAACTCAAACACGAAACAGCTCCAATTGAGAAGGGTACTTTTTGCGAGACATACATACATACATACATATGTATGTATATGTATGTAGGTACAGGGTGTGTGGTGTGCGTGAGAAGAGTTTATACATAAACAGATAGATATACTCGTACTATATATACATATACACTATATTTGGGATCGGGGGACATTTTGGGGGATTAAAAGAACTAAACCTACAATTATGAACACAACAAATTGCATAAAAGAAAAACATTTTTTTTATAACGTACCTTTAACAGAAAGATGGAGAAGCGTTCAAGACGAACAACTAACACTAATTTTAAAGCATATATTTAATAGTAAAATTAACATAAAACTAACATTAACATTAACTTTAACATAACAACAAGAAAACCAAAACCAAACAAAACAAAACAAAAACAGCAAAGAAATTAACATTGATAAGCGATATATATATATATATATATATGTATATTGTATGTATGTACGAGTAACTGGCAAAAAAAAGGAAACCTTTTTGCAGTGGACAAAAATTTAGTAAAATTGTTTAAGAACAAGAAAATGACGAAAACACAGCGGAAACTAAACAACAACAAAAAAACCAACAACAACATAACGAATTGAATTACATTTTAAGAAAATAACAAAAGTGGAAAAAAACAATTAAGATAAAAGATATTTAAACAAAGCAGAAGAAAAAAAAAACAAACTATAAAATTATACGATTTACAAAACTAAGTATAAAAGAAGAGAAAACCACAAAAGGTACGAACGGAAAGCGGAAAGAGAAAAATAATTGTAAAAAATAGAGAGAACAATTTTTTTTTTGCTCAATGCCAGAGGCACACCACCACACCCTTCCACCCCCCCCCACCCATCACCCAATTCCCCCCACTAAAGAACCATCCTCTAATACAAACGAAAATGAAAACAAAACAAAAATCAAATAATACGAATATATTTCGCGGCACGTAAAAAATTTGTTCATCACAAAACAAAACAAAAGCAAAAAAACAAACCGAAAATTCCAAGCCACAAAAAAAAAAAATCTCACACACATTTTCTAAACAAATTGCAAGAATTGGAAAGAAACCAAAAACAAAACAAAAGTGTTTAAAATTAAATTAAAACCCAAGAGAAAAAACCAACACAACACATAAGCAAGACCCAAAAAAACAAAACAAAACAAAATGAACCGCAAAAAAGAAATACAATTAAAAGTAAAACACAAAAATGTAGCTTCTAGTGAGAATAATTTTTAAAAACAAAGCAAACGAAACGAAACGATAGCAGAGATCTCTCACAGAAGGAAGAAAAATCCCAAAGACCCAAAGAAAACAACGTTAACAAGAACAAGAACAAAATGAAAGAAAAGAAAAGAAAGCAACAAGTTCGGCAAGCCGAAACATGAAATACCCTTGCAATTGAATGAATATTTTCGAAACGCTCCCAGCTCACAGTCCTTCCCATACATGACAGCTGTATAGTCCAACCCAAGTAACTATCTGAAGTTCAATTGAATTGCGTGCTAATCATTTATTAGGATAAGGAAAGCGCAGCTCTCCGATCTCTCCGCAATTCGACTGAATAAATGTTGGTGCACAAGCAAAAAAGCCCATAAACAGTTTATTGTGTAAAGTTTGATTTGGTTATACATATTGAGAGATCAAAAAGATATCACACTACAAGAGAGAGAGAGATAGGGAGAGAGAGAGAGCCGCTAATCTTTAATCAAACGATTATAAGATCATTCCGACCGATTCTGATCTCTTCCTGATTCGAATTTGAATGCACAAAAGCGTACAAACAAAAGAGTTCATTGTGTATGATTTGATTTGGTGCGATTATGTTTTACTCCGATATGATATATGTAAGTCAATCGATCTATCTGAAATTCCATTGTTGTTCTCAGGGCACAACAAAACTCATTGTTTCAGGTTTGTTTTGGCATTCCTGGGAGACCGCAAAGATATCGGCACTAGAAGTTGTTCTCTTGTTCGCTTACTATGCAGTGATCCGAAGCCCCAAATCCCCATCAGAAAATCAGAGAGAGAGAGAGAAATTAAAGAGAATCATCTTTAATGAGATGATGATCAGAAATATTTATATATAGAAACGGTATGCAATGTGTGTATACGTGTATGGCCCAAAGAGGAATACCCTCAATTGCAAGGTTATCAAAACGAATACTAAAAGAAACAAAAAACTAAATAGCAAAGAGCAAAGAGCAAGAGTAAGGGAAAAGCAAGAAACAAAAATTAATATAGAAAATTCTTTTCAAATATCAATAAAGCAAAATGAAATAATATGAAATGAAATGAAAGAACAACGAGAAATGTGCAAATTGAACCAACCAATAAGAACAACAACAACAACAGCAACACACATTTCAATTGCGCTCGTTTAGCCCCATATATAGTATATTTCAATTAAAAAGGAACAAAAAAACAAACAACAACAAAAAAAACATTAAAATATTTCAATATGTCATTAAGTCACAGCGAATAAACAACAACAATAAGTTGAAGGCGACTTAAACATCTAAAGGAGAGAGAGAGAGAAACAGTGTGTCTGCGACAGATAGAGAGAGAGTGAGAGAGAGTTTCGAGCGAGGGTTTGTGAGAGGGCAAGGACGCCACAGAGTTGTCAGCATCTCTCTCTCTCTCTCTGGGCCTGATATATCCCTCTGATATATAATGACTTTACACCTCTAGCCCAAGCCTGAGTGTAGTTTATGCGTGTCTAGTAAATCGTGATCTACTGAAAGGTTTTCCTTCACTGCACAACGTTTGATTAACATTTAAAAAGTACTTGATGGAAGGATGGACGACTCTCTAGAGCTATTACTAATTATTATTACTATGAGAAGGAAGTCTCACAAAGATATTAAAGAAAGGCACTGCGAATTATAACCATAGTTGTATGTACTTGGAAAAATTAGTTGATTGCCTAATGGATTAGCCTCTAGGGTTATTATAAATTAGTATTAGTATTAGAGCAGTGTCTCACAACGATATATAAGACATACATACATAGATGGTATTTTGTGCCAAATAGCTCTAAAGGTCTGGAGCGGAAACAAAAATAAGTTCTCTGGTTAATTAATACATTGCGTTTTGCTCTTATAATGAGGAACCAATAAATATGAGGAACAATTTTTTTTTTTAAATACTATACCTAAAAAGAGTGTAGGGATGTGGATAGCTCAGCCATATTTGAACTTCCTCACAGACAAATTTTTTTTGTAGAGCTTTGCAAACGCTTGACACTGGCAAAACAACGCACTGTAATTAAAATCACACGATCTTTAACCAGACACGCCTAGCCCTTGCCAAGCGTTTGTCATAGAGAGAGAAAGGAACATACATAAAGAGAGTGGGAGTGGGAGTGTGAGTGGGAGGTAGTTTGCTTTTTGTTGTGAAATTTTAGCCTATGCAGAACTTTGTCTTTTTTTTTTGATTTAAGGAAATGTCTCTCTATGCTTGTGGTGTGTGTATATGAGTTGTCATGTGGTGTCTTTTCTAATTGCGAGGTGCTAGTTGCTGATTGCAGGCTTAGGTATCAGTGGTCAGATCTTCATTTTCATCCTCCGGCTCGTGTCCACGTCCCTCCCGTATACGCTTCAATTTACGCTTTAGCATCATCACGCCTGAAATTTCAGTATTTTGATTAGAGAGCATCTTTAAATTTAGTTGGGGATCTACATACATTTGATGGCCTGAAAGGTTTTGGCCGAGGCCGAGGCGGATTCGCTGGCTGGCAACGCATTAGCCGTGGCCTTCTCGTGGGCCAGTTTCACCTCAAGATAGGCCTTCTTTAGCGCCTTGTAGTGACGGTACTCAATCGAGTCCTTGACCAGGATGCATCTAAACGGGAAAAGATCTTAGTGAATACAGCAGACTCTGTGATAACGAAGGTGTCTTAGACTTACTTCGCTGCCGATCCCTCACCGGAGCAATCCGATGGATTCGTATGATAGATCTGATGGTAGAAGTACTGCAGCACCGGGGAATTCCAGATGGAGAGGCCGTACCACAGCCAGATGGCTACATTCAGCGGCAACTTGAAGTTCTTCGCAAAGAGAGTGGGAATGAAGTACTTGAAGGGCAGCAGATTGATGAACACATGCGCCCACGCAGCAATCCTCAGGCCTAGGAATATCTGATAGACCAGCCGATTGCGATTGGAGCTGGGCAGGGAGAGCAGGGCGAGCACTTCGGTGAGTATGCAGTACAGGCCCAGCGTGAGATTCAGGCCCACAAAATAATTCTCATATCTATAGAGGGGGTAGGGGGTGGGGAGGTCAAAAGGATAGAATTATTAAATGCCATAAAAGTAAAACAAGTTGAGACATGCCTGTACACATCGATGGCCACGAGGGCCAACAGGTAGAGGCCCTTGGAGGCGACCTCTAGAAAGTCCGCCTCCTTGTAGTCCAGCATGGCTCCATGCAGGTAGAACGTAATGATGAATATTGAGTAAAACTGAAACTTTTCCAATTGATGGGACCGGTAGAAGATGAGACTCTCCGACGAATAAAATAGTGAGTATCGCCCCTGGTTCTTCATCAGCTGGGGCAGTATCATAAACTCGTTGTAAAAGTGCAGGAACAGGCAGCTGGCTGCATAGAAGGCGATGTTCCAAATCAGTCTCGCGAATTGTTTTCGCTTAAAGTACTTCATATTCGACGACTTGAGGAAGAACTGCCAATAAAGGGGAAACGATAGAATGTGGAGGGGGGGTGGGGATGGGATGGGTGGTAGGCAATTAGTCGAGCAGTGGTCTGACGCCGCATCAGATAATGTACTTTGGTCGGGGCGGTCAGTGGTCGTTGGTGGTCGGTGCATAATGCTATCGCCGTTTGTCTGCCAGGGTCGGAATACGGAAGGGAGAACATTTTGTTTCATTTTACATTGTTTGTCTTTTTTTTTTTTGCATTACTTTTCTATTTTAATGAATGTTGTGCCTTCAAAGTGACCAGTGTTTCATAATTTTATGTGCCCCATTTAGGCCACCGACCATCCCCCAGACCGCCACTGACCACCTCCGTTTATTTATAAACGCGAAACTATTTTGCAACCCCTCAAAAAGAGAGTGAACGCCGTCGTGGAACATTGCAGTTGAGCTGGAGAGCTTGAACTTACCAGAAACACACGCTGAAACCCATAGAAGCCACAGGACAGAGCCACAAATATCCAAAACACCGCATTTATCAGGTAATACAAGTCAATATCCTGGACGAACGCATCGAAGCGGTCGTTGGTTATCAGATATTTAAGCGGCAGAAAGAAGTTGCTGATCTCGGCCCAATAGTCCGGCGGGCCGGCCTTCATGTCCAGGATGGATGTCATGGTCGGTAATGTTGGAATTCAGCCAGCAAAAGCTGAGCTGTTAGCAAACAGCAAATTTAGCTAAATTCGGTGTTCTCCAGTGTGACCGCAAATTTATCGACAAAATATACCGTCTGACTAGAGGTGTCAAACCATCGAGGGCACTATCGATAGTATTGATTTTTTACTGCTAGCCTCTACTATCGAAATTAGGCTATTATTGTCGTGTGTTCTCCAGTGTGACCGCGGGCTTAGCGACAAAATATACCGTCTGACCCTCAAAAATATATCCGAATATACCTACTCTCCCGGATTTTATACAGTGCTGGTAAACGCAACCGACGAGCAGCAATCGGTTCCGAGACGCACATATTGCGCCTTACAGCACGCTGGAACAACAATTGACACATAAAGCGCGCCATGATTAGTTAATTTTGAAATTATTTGTATTCTGTTCAGGAATATGGCCCAAACATCAGCTTTAGCCAAAATCATTGACCCTCCCGCCGATCCTGTGCAGCTGTTTAAGCATCTTCTAGAGACAGTCGCTCAAGGGAAACCAGATGGCTCGGTGCAAGACATGAATTTGGCCACCATAGACGACGAATTTGGTGTGCTCAACCGAACTGTCCTATATCGTGGTCTCTCCAGCGAGAACTATGTGTTCTACATCACCCATCGATACACGCGCAACTGCAAGAACCTGCAGGCCAATGCGAAGGCCAGCATTACCTTTTATCTGCCGCTGGTAAAGGATATTGATGGCAAGGATACCACCTGGCAGGTGCGTTTGATTGGGGCCACCGCTGTGGAGCTTCCCGACTCGGAAATGGATGCCTTGTGGGCCAAAGAGGATTTGCCGGCCAAAATACGTGGCCATGTTTTTCCGTGCGGCGAGCCCGTGGACTACGATCAGCAAAAGGCAAAGCACGACAACTTCCTGAAGGAGCACTTGAGCTCTGGGCAGCCCATCGCGAGGCCAGCCAGCTAGTAAGTGCATGCATGCCCGAGAATCCATACCGTACCCAGCTACCCAGTCGGAATTTCTCATTTGCAATCTTTGTAGCACCGGCTGGAAGTTCCAGCCCCAACGCTGGGACTTTCTCAAAGTGGGCCAGGGCCTGATCGCCGATCGTGTTCAGTATCGGCTGCAGAGCAATGGCAAATGGGCATTGCCATCGCACGTTGCCACTTGAATCTGGAACTGCTTGGCCTTGGGGCTTCACTTGATTTCAGTTTTATTCAACAATATCTTTCTACAAACAGCTAAAAGTAATATCTAACAACTAAATGTGCTTCTTTTTCGACATGTTTAACATACAATTACAGCATAGTTAATAAATATTACACAAAACAGCAAAAAAAAATATATATATATGTATATAGAATAGATTACGTATAAAGAGAATAGTAGATATACAGTATGTGGTAATAAGGGGAGCCCAGTTAGTAGCGGTTAAGTTTTTTCTCCTCGTTTCTCGTTTTTACATAATACAATGATTCTTTCCTCTTTTTTTACACAAATTCTAAGGGGGCTGCGTGCTGCTTTATCGCTATATCGCATTCACCGTCTCTCGTATCCAGGCGGCATTCGAGGCGATCTTGTCGTACATACGAGGTCTCTCCACGCCTGTCGGACCGCATGCGATGCGCCAGGAGGAGACGCCAATGAGGGCCCACTGATTGGTGCCTGGTATCAGGCACTGCACGGGCGCCCCAGAGTACTCCTCTTGCTGCGGAAGACATACAAAATACAGCACATGAGAAAACAGCTGCTAATAAGATCTTTTTTATTTTATTTGCTGATTTTTTTAATTTATTTATTATTAATCCTCAATTGGTAAAGAATTTCATATAGCGAATGAAACAGTTGCCCGAATAATAAAATAAAATGAAAAATATTCGTAACATTCGCTGTAGCAGTGGAACTCAGCCACAAGTCCTTGAAACTTTTCAGTTATTAATAGTTCCTATGCCAGTTAGGTTTATCAAAGAAATCAAAGAGAAAAACAATATTCATTTCATCACAAGTACATACATACATATACATACATATGTACATATACATATATTTATTCATATATGTATGCATTAAAAACTTCAACTGCCCGTTCAAGAAAGTTCCCCATTGGCACTCTAATGCCATTTCACAATCAATTTTAGTCAATGTAGTAGCCCCAATTGGCGTTACCTATGACGTCACACAGCACGCGACATGAAGGAACGTGTTGTGTTTGGGTGAATGAGTAAGCTGAGCGAGCGGCATTTTCCAGTCCGCTCTCTAACTGTCTCTCTCGCCCACTGCCTGCCTGCCTGCCTGCCGCTCTCATTAGCATTCTGTCTCTCTCTCTCTCTCTCGCTCTTTCTCTGGAGGAACAACATTAACCCCCGTTACGCACGACTACCTGGGGGACAGAAGGAGCGAAAAGAAGCGCCGTTTACCTACAATGGAACAGCAGCCCGACTGCAGCTGCAGCGGACAGGCACACAGAGAGCATGAAAAGAGAGAGAGAGAGAGAGCGGCAGTGGAGGGTGGGCAAGGGATCAGCATATATAAAGAAAGAGAGCTGGCCACGGGAATTGCATTTATTCGGCAACCTTTCCAGCGATCGCACACGACAATCATCAATCGAGAGACAGCAGCAGTGGAGGAGGAAAAAGAACAACAAAAACAAGAAGGAATAAATAATCAACATGTCGGCGGATATCAAGAGCTGCCTGAAGATTTGCTTCCAGGGCGAGACGAGCTTCATAATCTGCGAAACGGGCAACAGCTATGAGGAGGTCATAGTCCAAGGTTAGTAACGGAGCAGACACCAAAAAGAGAGTCTGAGAAAAGCTAAGAAAATCTATTCAAAAATTCTTTCCAGCCATGGCCCGCTTTGGCATTCCCGAGACACAAAAAGAAGCCTTGCTGCTGACCAATGGCAAGGGGTACATCTTTGAGCCGCAGCTCTTGGAATACTTTCTGCTGCTCTTTCCCTGCCCGGAGATCACATTCTATTTGCGTCTGAGCTGGCAGAAGCTGCGACGTGGCCACAGCCTGGCCAGCCAATCTATCAAGCGGAAGCGTCACACCGATCAGGAGACAACGCCCACGGATCAGACGCTGAAGCAGGAACAACAAGCGAAGGAGGAGCACCAGCCGGAGGAATACAAGCCAGTGGCTGTCTATCGCCAAAACTGTTTCCTCGGCTCATTTCCCAGCACTGAGGCCGTTCCGGTGCGTCGTCAGAATTGTTTCCTAAGAGAACAGCAGCCCCAGCCCCAGCCACAGCAACAGCAACAACTGCAGAGGGAGGCGGAGATCAGTGGCAGCCGGGAGGAGCTGCACCAGCCGCAGGCCAAACGCTTACGTCTGGATGTCTGTGCCAAGCCCAGGCGAGCTCCATCCATTAATCCGCCGACTGGCATGCGCTCCATTCGCATCTAGCTTGGACGCCACTTCAAAACTAATTGTACATAGCCCACTCGTACATACATATGTACATACCCTAAATACTCAATGTATCATAAATGTAAGCATAAAGGTTGAACCGCTGTTCCTACTAAGATTGTTATTTTGAAACCAAATGAAATCCAAATAAAATGTAAACAAATTAATTAATGCATTCCCTTTGCAGAGAAGCCTCTCTCTTTCTCTCTCTCTCTCTCAGCAATAGTTTCAGCGTATATTTATGCAGCAGCTCTGTGCTCGCTGGCTGGAAGCACAAGCGAAAAGTGACAAAGAGAATTAAGTGAACACAGAACAAAGTATTTTCCCCATTAATTAATATGAAAATATTTGATCTAAATAGAATTCACATTGAAATTAAATATTTTCATATTTCTAAAATATTTCCTACAAATTAATTTATGTACTTATTATTCACTTTGCAAATCCCAAATATTTAATTTAAATTAATTTGTCTATAATATATTTTACTCACCGTGCAATCGTATTTCTGGTAGGTGGCCTCCATGCACATGGAGTTGACGGTGGCTATGGACACATTTTCGCAGGGAGCCATGTCGCCGATCTTCAGCTGGACGCGCTGCAGATGATCCCGCTGCCGGGACCAGCCCAGCGTGTTGCAGTTTGTCCAGATCTGCTCCTGCGCTGCTGACTGGACAGGCTGGGCGGCAGCTGCAGCTGCGGCTGGCTTTGTGGCCGAGCGGGCTGTGGAGGAGGAGGAGTAGCCGACGGAGGAGGAGGAGGAGGAACTGCCGCCGTAGTAGTTGACCTGCGGGGCATGCTCGGGCAGGGGATAGGAATCCAGTTCCTGATGCAGTGCCTCTGCCCTGGGCATGTAAGAGGCGGCCGCTTCTGACTGCTGTGAATAATGTCGATCCTCCTCCGCCTCATCGTCCGGCGCTTCCTCGGTACTGCCCGATCCCTCCATTTGCTCCTGGGAGGGTATCAGGAAGAACTGCTGCGTTTCCTGCGCCAGCGGACTGCGCTGGACTTGAACGCCCTTGAGGGGCTGCTGGCCCTCCAGCCGCTCGGCCACGGGCACATAGGCACGCCTCTGGACCGCGGGCGCCGTAAGCTGTCGCCGCTGCAGTGCATCGGGCAGACAGATGGGACGCACATGATCCGAGAAGCTGACCGGCGTCTCCAGCCGCACCAGCGCCGCTGTGGAGCCCTCGACGGGACTCTTAATCATGCCAATAATGCGTCGCCTCTGCGTCCACGGGGCCTTGGCGGAGAGCCGCACCGCACCCACAATGGCCATCCAGGTGGCCCTGGGCTGGCCCTGAAAACAGCCCTCCGTGGTGAGGACCCAATCCTGCGATATGAGCGTCCCATCGCACACATGGATGTCCTCGCGGAAGAGGGCCACCAGCCAGGGCCAGTCCCCGGGGGCCGACATCTTGGGCAGCGACAGATGCTGCTTGGCATTGAAGAGCGCCGACTGAACGCCGCATCTGAGCTCGCCGCAGCCCACATACAGCACTTGCCGCCGGGGACAGTGCGTCCGTATGAAGCTGATCTCCGGCGCATGGGGATCCAGGACGCGCACATAGTCTGTCAGCTGTTCTGTGTCGTTTTGCACGTCGAAGATTTCCACAGATCTGCAGGGAAGCAAAAAAGGAACCGAAACGTGACAGTGACAAGGCGGACAAGGCGGATGATGGTGGGTTTTGGGTGCTTCCCGCGAACTTACTCGTAGCCCAATGACTTGCATAGGGATTCGGAGACGGTCTGGCGCACCACCAGCTTGGCATCGCCCTCGAGTCCCTCGGCACACAGCTTGCCCACAACGCCCTTCTCCGAAAAGACAGCATAGCCAGCGGCATGGAAGCGCGACAGATAGGGAACGAGGGGCTCCGGCAGCAGCAGATCCGCGGCCAGGGGAGCAATGGAAACTGCAAGGATAGAAAGTATAGAAAGGACAGGCTTAACCACATGGACAGGCTCTGCGCTCTGCTCTGCGCACTCACGGCAATCCTTCTCGTCCGCTCCATCGGGACAATCGGCCTTGCCGTCGCAACGCGCCTTGCGCGGCACACATGCCCGGCCCCTGCCACAGTATAGGGCATTGGGGGAGCAGAAGGCGCAGCTGCGCTCATCGGATAGATCCGGACAGTCCGCATAGCCATCACAGAGCCGCGGACTCTGCACGTTGCTCTGCATGTCGCTGACACAGTGCGGCTTCTGCTGGCAGGACTGTGTGCCCGTCGACTCTGGGAAGCGTTCGCAGTCAAAGTACTGACGGAATCGCTGCGGCAATCGACTCCCACAGCCGGCCATGAACGATTCACAGTACTCGCGGCATATGTGGCCGGGCGTGGGCTGCATGCTCGAGCCGTGCGTATCGCAGGGCGGCTGCAGCAGGCGGCACACAAAGTCGTACGCTTCGCGATAGCATTCCCCATCCACCAGCTCCCGGAAGACGATCAAATCGTCGGCCACCTGCTCGTAGCTGGCATGGCCCAGCAGATTCGGATAGGTGGTCACATTGTAGCCCAACTGGCGGCAGTAGCTCAGCTGGAGGGGCTCACAGCGACGCGGTGGCGCCGGTGTGGTGGTCACAACCGGCTCGGTGGTCTCATCGTGTCCGCCCAGCGGCGAGCTGGACATGATGGGCTCCTCAATCAGGCCGGTGGTCTCCTTGATGCTCAGACTGGCCACATCCACGGTCATATTGGCAAAATGCCGACGCTGTTGGTCGCTCATCTCCTCATGGAAGAGCGCCAGAAGCTCACCGCTGCTCACCAGACCCGCGTACGGATCAAAGATCATGTTGAAGTGCACGATTATGTTATTATTATCCTCGCTCCTGTGTGTGTGTGTGGGGGGCAATGCAAGGGGTTTTCCTGTTAGTGGTGCGCCGAGGGCCATCTCTGTGGTATTTGTTTGCTACTCACCCGTCTAGAGCCAAGATCTCGCTGCCCTCGTACGCCTCCCGCAGATCCGAACGCCTCAGGGTGAGATTTATACGCTCCCTGTAGTCCCTGGCCTTGTGCTGGAAGCGCAGCGAGTTCTGGTTGGCCAGATCCATGCTCCACTTGTCGTTGAGCACCATGAAACGGCCGCGAAAGACGCGATCCGGCAACGGCTCTGGACGGAAATAGGTGTCTGCAAGAGAATATTCATTTAGTTCTGTGCAAATTGGATGCAGCTACTCCAAAAGCCACTCCACTCACATCCCACATAAACGAATGCCCCGGCCACGAGCAGGGCTATGAGGAAGCCGGCGATCACAGCGCAGCCACATTTCTGGCCATCTCCCAGCTTGCGGCGGGTGAAGCGTATATCCGAGTCCGTGGACAGAACAGACTCCGATTTTCTCCTCAGGCCATGGGCATGGCTTTGCATATGCAGGTGGTGTTCCCTCTCCCTCTCCCCCCGCTCGCGTTCGCGCTCTCTCTCCCGCTCTCGCTCTCGCTCCCTGTCGCGATCCCTTTCCCGTTCCCGCTCTCTTTGTTGGGCCATGTCCAAGCCGTTCGCTCCGGAACCTGCGCCTGCTCCTGCTCCCGCTCCTCCTCCTACTCCGGCTCCATTGGCGTGGCTGTGATGGGGCTTGTGGTGCCGCGTACAGCGTGTATTGTGAAAGACCTTCGGGGGCAGGGCTGTGCTGCCGGTGCCGGTGCCGCCGCCGCCGCCGTTTCCTCCATTGCCATTCGGATTTGGATTGCTGTGGACGATGCCCTGCGCAACGAAAAGAAAACATTGCTGGTCAGATTCAATAATTAAGCGAGCGCAGAGTCGATGGCAATTTGGTCAATGACCACTAAAGCGCCTTAAATGCTTTGATTTTACGCCAAATCATGCCGTTAAATCCACACACGGAACGAACCACAGCCCAACAGTCCAACAGCCCATTCCAGCAGCTATCCATCCCCATCATCGTGGTGGGATGGCGTTTGCTTGCAGAAAAATCTTTACTTGCTTTAAATGGATGGACATGGACTCGAATTGTGGTGGTTGTTTATGTGGCTGTTGCATGCAAATGTGGCATGCAACATTGGAATTTGCACAGCATTGGCGTTGCGGAAGCTTCTGCTCTGTTTTTAATTAAGGAAATTACCAGCCTTCGTTCGACTTCACTTTGCGTTTTGGTTGAATTTAATTTCTCTAATTGAATCGAATGGTGCGCGCTAATGAAATGGAACAGCTGAGCCGGGCTCCTGCCAGCGTTTACCCACACTAAGCCGAGCCTAACAGACTAAGAACATTTTGATCAATGTTAACTGCGATTACAGCAACTCCATTACTTCTCTGGTTTATCGTGTTCAAATCGTGGATTGGTTTGCTAAAGTCTTTTTCCAAACTCTTGCAAGAAAACAAAAGACTACACAAATAAAAACGATGCCATTTCGTAATTATAGATACATAATATCGAGTTATGGAAGCAGTTCCCATTACTTCATATTAAATCTGTCCAATATTTATGTTAAGTCACCCAATCGAACCGCTTATTTAGTACGCTCAAGCAGTGCATTAATGTCTCAAGCAGTCAAAAGGCTTAACTTAAGCTAAGCTTACTCTCCCTTTAAAAGCCTGCTTCTGCCTGTTGTTTTATTAATTATTTGAGCTTAACTAGCACGTAACATAACGGATGCGAGGGGGAACTCGAATGCGGTTTGGTTTTTATGTTGCAATTGCGAAAGCAGCAAAACAGAATACAGGCACAGGCACATACACAATTTAGAAAATAATTAAACCGTTCTGTAAACAGGTCATCGCATGGCCCACTTTTCTTGAGCTGATGCGTGATGCTGATGCTGCCAGCCAGCCAGACAGAGACAAAGTAGCATAACAATAATAAGATAAATGAACAGAGGAAAAAAGTGTAATTAAACACAAATGGTTTCCTCATTTCATAATCGCGGGCATCGGTCAACGCTTTTTTATTGAGCAAACTTATTAGCACTGTGTTGTAATTGTACCGCTCTCGCCCTCTCTCTCTCTCTCTCTCACTCTGTGTTTCTCAAAAGAGAGAAGAAAGGCAGGAAAGTTTGGGGGGGGTCAGAAGTCACTCGGCCGCATAACGGCTCAAAGCAGTGCTGCGCTGCTCTACTCTACTCAGCTCTTCTCTCTTCATTTGTGCTGACGCGAATGCATTATGCGTGTCGCACGTGCTGGCAGTGTGTAAGCTTTCGTGTTACATCAGCGCGAACACACACATTTCCTTCATACCGCCTCTCTCTCCCACCCTCTCTTTCAGCAAATTGGTAGCTTTTCCTTTTGTTTTTTCTTTCTTTTTGCTTTAATTATCGCACAAATTCATATTTAATTACAATTTACGCTTACGATTACGCTTATGTATGCTTACCTTCCAATTTTTGCCTCCTCCTCCATTTGTCTGCAAATTGGATTTGTCTTTATTGCGATTGCTGCAATTGTTGTTGTTGTTCTTTTTATCAGCTGCTGCCACTGCAGCAGCCGTTGCCGTCGCCGCCGCCGCTATGTTGCATACCGCATTCGCATTGGTGTGTACCTGTGACCCCGGTGATGATGTTTTGTCCACATCGCGAGACTTTTTCATCTGCAAAACAAATTTGGAAAAATTTTGTTCAACAATAGTGCGCAAGCATTTCGGCTTACAAAAGCTGGTAATGGAGTAGACATGCGCGAGAAACCCGAAACTAACCAACCGAACAGGTGCTAATTGTCCGAGCTGGTCAACGGCAACAACTGCCAAATTTAGCACAGTGTAGCAGCACATGCCCCTCCGCCACAACACGACACGACACGGCACGCCCCATCATTCCATCCCACACGCCCGAGGCCATTTATATGGTATGCTCCAGTTAAAAACCAAAACCATTTAACAACAACAGAAACATCAAAAGTTACACCAACAACAGCAAGCAGAGCCAAAGTCAAAGCAGTACCAAAGTCAAAGCAGTCCAATGTCAAGCGAACAGCGCCCCAATGTCCAGCGTCGACAGCGACAGCGACTGCGCAACGTCAGCGTAAAAGAAAGTTTTCTGCGTTTCCTTTATTTGTTGTAGGTCTGTTGTTGTTTTATCGCTGTTTATTGTTTACTTGTTTCATTTTGCTTAACATATTTACATATTTTTTTGATTATTCGCTGGCTCTGGCCCGCGTGTTCCCATTGTTTTCTGTTCTACGTTAACTGCTGATCCCCCAGACGGTCTAACACTGTGAAACTAGATGTTCATGCATACCATTGGTTCCAAAAAAGACTTTTTAACAATTGCCAATGGCTGGCAGAGACATCATTTCTATTGTGGAACGGAATTCCATCTCCATCCATGGAAAGTTTGGAAAAACAAAAAGAATTTTGTTTTCGATGGGGCCTTTGTATCTTAAATAATTTGCCAACTGACTTACAGACAATTTTATGCTGTATATACTCATAGGAAAAATATTCAGATTTCCCCGTACCACCGCCAGGCATGATGAGGTTGTTGTTGAGGAAAAGCCGCATCGGAAATCCTTAATGTCCCTGAGTTACTCTTTGATGATACTTCATCGCCAGCTCCAACCAGGTGCATAAGTCGATCCTGTACATATGTATGTATGTATACTATGCATGCCACACAATTCTTTGTTTCGTTAATAGTTTTCTTTTTAACAAACAAAATTATACGCTGCTGCTGCTGCTGCTGCTACTGCTGTGCCACTGTCCGTTTTCGCTTTTCTTTCGCACGGCTACTAATTAGGAAAATTCATTTTGCTGGGGATGAGAGTTGAGTGGAGTCAAGGGGCTGCCGCTGTCGATGGGGAGGCCCGCCCGGCCTGTGAACATGTTTTTCGCGCAACATGTTGCCTGACGCCAATGTTGCCGAAACGTGTTTCCTCTTGGTGGCAGGGGGGGGTGGCTAAGGGGACGAAGACGGAGACGGCCCCCACCAACGACCCGCCACGGGCGGCAGCAACAAAAACACTTTCATTTTGCGCCGTGCCTCGCCTTGGCTTTGAAAATTGTTTTTGGTTTTTCGACTGCAATTGGCACGAAAAAAAAAAAACAAAAACAAAAAAAATTCGCTTTCGCCTGCAACAAGACAAACAATTCAAAAATGCGAGGCAGGCTCCTCTCTGTGGCTCTTCTTTAAAAGCCTGTGGCACGGCACGGCACGGCATGGCATGGCCTGGCATGGAATGACACTTGTCGTCAATGGGAAAACGAGTTCGTGGCCTGAGTCTTTTGAACTCTAACGCTCCGCTCTATGCGCGCGGCATGTCGCCGAGTGCACTTTCACAGCGAAGGCCATAAGGAGGGAGGGGTACCCCTCTGGATGACCTTATGGCCACAAAACGAAGAAAGTTGCAACATGATTTTTTTTTGTTTGTTTGCTTTTGTTGCTGTTGCTGTTGTTGTTGTTGGCTCTTCTTTTGAAAAGGAAAGCTGGACGATGCGATGCCTCTGTTGATGACCGAATTCATGATTTTGTGCCCTTGCCATGGGAACCAGCCATGCTGAGGCATGCTACAAAACGGGTGAATGCCAAATGCCAAACCATAATTAAAGTGAGCCTTGATGCAGATTAAAAAGGAAACATGGCATACATTTACATGCACTTTCATTTAAATTTCCACGAGGATTCCAACTCTCGGCTTGCAGTGGGGGTAACCATGTGGCTAGGACTGTAATAAAATTATGTGGAAAAACTAGCGCCAGGGAATTTTGCAATTATTACCAACTCGGCACAAATGTGTGTCAAATTTCAATAAGTCGACCGCCCGCCCGCCCATCGGTTGAGCAATTATCCAACCAATCCCATATAAATATGTACTCGCTTACGGCTTACGCATCAGCAGGGCTGAGGAAATCTTCTGGTCAAGTTTCATTGCGTTCACTTTGCGACAGCAGCCAGGGCCCAGGCACACACTCGGGGAGCTCTGCTCGTGTCTCTTGTTCGCATATCACATTTCTGGCTCAAAAGCATTGCATTGCACTTAGAAGCAAAGTCCACGGGCCACGTGCTGCCAATGGCACAGCCGCAGAGGCAATTGGGGAACGGCAACGGGAACGGCAACGGCAGCAGCTGTGACAGCTTTTCACTAATTTCCCTTTAAGCAGCCGCAGCGCAGCGCAGCCTCTGTGGCAGCCTCTGTGGCAGCCTCTGTGGCAGCCTCTGTGGCAGTCCCGTAGACGTCGCTTGGAGCAGCAGGCGGCAGCCATAGACGATGCCACAGACGAGGCAGGCACACAGCTGCCACTCAATCGTGACGAATTAATAACGGAACGTTTGCCGAACTGGGGGAAAGCTGCAACCGAACAATGTGGAGAGAGGGAGACACACAAAGCCGACGACAAGTCGGGGAGTTCAACCGACAAAAAAATTCAACCGAAAACGAACAGTTTTTGACCCCTTCAAGGAGCATTTCTATGCGCCACAACAGCTCTCTCCTTGGCTACCGCTACACCTCTTGGATTGTGCCGGTACGTGCGTGGTGAAGCTCCACCACTCTACACTCTACACTCTAGAGGTACATAGATGATGATGATGATGATGATGGCATTGCCAGATACGAGTGCAACGATGACGACGACGACGACGACGACGACGTGACTGAAAAACTGATTTTGTTTTCCAGCTGGCAACTACATGAAACTGGGTTGCCGTTTTAGGGTGTGTGTTTGTGTCTCTCTCTCTGTACAAACTACACATAAATTGGGTTTTGGGTTGGTGAAGCCAACTTCTGTGACTCACTCTCATTCGCTCTGCCCACAAAATATAACTACCCAACAGCAGCAACAGCAACAACAAGAGCTGACAACTGCAATAACAATTATGGCAAAGCAAATCAAAATGCAATCCAGCAAAAGAGTCGTCTACAAATTGTCGCTCTCATCCGAAAACCCGAAGCTAACTTTGGCTATGGAACTGGCTTTGCCTTTGGCCTAGCGATGGGTGCGGTGCGGTGCGGTGCGCGGTGCGCGGTGCGGGAGGAGCATTTTTCAAACTAGATGCAAACAAAATGATCTGCGAATTTTCATCATTTATTTAGATAATTTTTAGTCGATTTCTTTGGCGGTGATTTAAAATAAATCCAGAGCAAGTATCGAGCGAAGAATTTTAACCTTAGAGGTAATTAAAACCATTTTGTTATCGTTGCATAGTAAACTGCTATGCCCCCCTTAAGGGGGTGGCATGCATCCTTTTTCGAGATGTACAAAAAGCGCGCACGAAATGAAGTTTTACCAGCCCATCTCTAAGCGCGACATTTGTCTTTGCATTCCAAATGAAGTAGAAAGTTCTCCGCTCCGCTCCGACAACGGCTCAGTGGATAGCATAACGCGATTTGATTGGACTTGGCCTATGGGCGCTTTCTTAACATTTGTCATTGCCGCCGCCGGTTGGTTCCTTTTGCTTGGGGCTGGCGAATTACTTATTCAGAATGCGATTCGGTAAGACAAAGTGGGAATATTTGCCCGTTTCTAGTTGCTGATGGATGGGTGGGTTGGTAGGTATGGCCATGGCAATGGTAATTCCAATATCAGATATCAAGATTGAAAACATCCAAAAAATGGGTTGACGAACTGTTCGTCTAGCAAAGTAGAAAAGTTGGCATGTGTCTCAGCTAAAATCTCTTTAGTCATTTGTATGCTACTCAAGGTAGTCAGTCTCCGAATGATGTGGCGTCTACATATAATTCCCACAATTTCCCAAAAACTGATTCCACTCTGTCCATAAAAGCTAATTTCCGCTGAGATTTGCATATTTAATTGAAATTTTGCAACTATTTTGGCCAGCAATAACGAAACAAAAAACTGCATTGGGGGAAAATGCCAGAAAAGGTAAAAGATTAAAAAGATTATTTAACAGAAAAAAAAAAACCATCTTCCGATGACCGATTGCTTAGATACTCTCAGGCATTATCTTTTGCAGTATTCAAAGATTAATGTGATTCAGATTCTGATATTCTGAACGAACCTATTCACACAAAGACTCATTTAATTATTAACGTTAACTTATCACATCGTGGTGCTAATTCATATACAGCTAGCAGGAAAAAGCTAAGTCTGTTACAAAATGGAGTCCAGCTACTACTAGTATCGGACTATTTTTCCTAGAACAAGACAGACAGACGCCGGGTGTGATTTATTTATGCGTTCCAAATGTCTGCATTTAAGTGGAATGCCTCCAGCAAAGGGTATCGAAACACACAGAATTTGCCCACGCAGCGTCGTCGTCAGGCAGTTCAAGGCTGCCAAAGCAGCAGCCAACTGCAAGCAGTGCGTACAAACTGAACAGAGCTGTACAAGAGTGTGGAGGTAAATAATTTGGCAATGGAAATCGAGTGGTGGAGCCGGCGATGTGGGGCTCGGGCTGGGCACTGTTAATAAACCATTGCCAATTGGAAAGTAAAGGGCGAAGCACACATGTGCAGACATAAACGAAAGGAAATTGAAATTAAAAGACATTCCCCCATAAATCGCAGTTAATAAAAGCTCATAATGAAGCAGCGCCAGTGGCAGTGGCAGTGGCAGAAGCTCATGATCATGATGATGAAAAAGAAGAAGCAGAAGAAGAGGCAAAAGCCAATGTGATTTGTGCTACTTTCTTTGAGGCTCCTCTGTAGTAGACGCAGAGACAGAGCAACAGCAACAGCAGCGCTCTCGGCTTTTGTGGCTTTTGTCTTCTGCTTATTCTTCTGCCACTGGCCACCTCTACCTCTTGTGTTTTGCTGCTTCTAATTTATTTCAATGACATTTTACGATAGATGCAAGCCCCCTTCAACAAATGCCAGCCATAGCCAGAGAAAGTTCTCTTGAGCTCTTGCTGTGACTCTGAATCTGAATTTGACTCTGTTTCCTTTTACTCCCACCCATAAAGCGTTTATCGATACTGCTTGATGGCCAGCATGAGATTGCTCGTGCTCTCTCTCCCACCATGTGGCTGTGTGTATGAGAGAGTGTCTGAGAGCGCTCTGCTGCTGCTGCTGCTTCTACTGCTTTGCTCTGTCAAAAGGTCGCTCAATAAAACATTTGATTTGAGTTAAAAGAAAACCAGCAAGAACTCTCAATAGCAGTGCCGACACCCTATTCGAGCTGTCGTACAAAAAAGCCATCGATCAGATGGCATCAGGAATATACACAGATATAACTATACCAATATTTGGCTCCTACACTTCTTTATGCATACATACATACATATGTGCTCTCTTAAATCCAAGCAGCATAAATAAGGTTGTTTCCTTTTACATAAAGCAACATACCCTTTGTGCTCTTTATGGATAACACGGTATGAAAATCAAAGCTTGGCGCAAGCTTATTTCTAGTCTGAGTCTCTGTAGTGGTAAGTGGTTGTTGTTGCTTTTGTCGCCGGCTGTCTTGTGGCATTTGGCCAAATGGCAACAACATTTTATTTCATATTGCTGGCTGGCTGCCTTTTCTTGTTGTTGCTGCTTGTGAACCTGTTGCACATGACTGCAAAATGTGACAACAAAGAGCCAAGACGGACATACAGAGTGAACTGTGCCACAGACAACGTGTGACAAAACGCTGACTGAAGCACACAAAATATGAGTAAGGGGGAGAGGAAAAATGTGCAACTCAGTTATTAATACGATATATTACATATATTTTTCGCAAAGGCTATACACAAAAGAAAGAATTTCTTTGCTTTTACAGTACTGATTTTTTTTTTTAATATCTGAGTCGATAAAGCCGTGCACATCTTTCCTTTTTTGAGTGAAGTTTTTGAGCTGCCATAGGAACGATCGAACTCCAATCAGACATTTCAATTGATAGTCTATAATTTTATAGGTATCTATCATGCAGATATGGACCCTGAAAGCTAATTAACATTTGGGAATCATCAACAAGGAATACGTTGTGGGGGCACCATAAAAGAGCAAGCGCCTTTTACACAGCTGTTAATCGGTACATTGGATTGGGTTTGAGTTCTTTTTTCCTATGTGTGGGGGGGGGGGGGGAGGGAGCGGGCGCTCTCCAAATGGCGTCAGCCTTTTTGGTTGCCTTTGGGGTGTTGTGTCTGAGGTGATTGTGCAAAAAGAAGAAAGAGCGATAGAAAAAACTTTTGAACAAAAACTGAAAATAACAGCAGCCAGCAGCAGCAGCAGCAGCAGCAGTAATGGGGTTCCACGAGCAAGATAAGCCCCATACGAGAAATAGCCGCAAAGGTAGGGGCTAGTGGCTAGGGGCTAGGTGGGGGGCGGGCCAACGGCGTCAGACAACTGAAAGTTGTTGCGTTTGTTTCTAAGCCAAACGAGTTTGTTGTTGTCGTTCGTTGGTTGTCGCTGCAATCACTTTTGGCGCATAAAATGCGGTGCGAGAGAGGCCTTAGACTAGACTTATAGACCCATTGGACTTATTGGAATGCCTTGGCTGCCTGCCCCCCACACTCTGACATATGTATGCCCCCACCTATACTCGTGTGCGATCAGAGTGGCTGAAATTTGCGGCGGGCGGAGACTCCAGAAAAGCAAAAAAAAAAAAAAAGAAATAACGAGAGAGAGACAACTGCAAATAACAATCCCAACATAAAATCGAAATTGCTCAATAGTCAGTCTGTAGTTTGTGAACTCCACTCCAGTCCATAGTATGCCTTTGGCGGCCAACGCCAACAACTAAAACTACAACTACAACTACAACAATGCGCTCCCTATGCTGCGCGCCACACACGCCCTGCAACAATCAACCATAAATAAGCCGAACAGCCGAACAAAACTCTGGTCAACGCCACACAAAACCTTGGTACACATACTCCCCTGCCCCATACCCTTAAAAAAAAGTTTCAACTCTTTTTTTTTTTTTTTTCTATTCGTACTTTGTCATATGATAATCTGTGGCCTTGGTTCACTTAGCATAGGCCCCATAAGAACCCACCCCACAAACTCCACGCCCGCCTTCTAATGAGCATAATTTTATGAATTTTGTTCAGTCAATTTCTGTGCTCTTGCGACTGTTAAACTGTGGAACTTCTACAGAATACGCTACAGGAATGCATCGTCTAGGCTGCAGTTAACTTGAGGAAATTGTGCTCAGATAATTGCTTTAAATTCTGGTTGAAACAGCTACCGTAATCAAACAGATTTCTACTCCAAAAACTGGAGAAAAAAAAACAATGCAACAAAAGAATTATCGTCGCGTGGAAGTTTATGGAAACTATGTTGAATGAAAATTTCAGAAAAATCTTTGGAGCATAAATTTTAATTTTTCTTACACATTAAATACATAATTAATTGTTTAAACATTTTACAGGACATTTACCAGGTTCTTTTTAGGGTTTTTGTGAAACTTGAAAATTTTTAAATTTTTCAATTTTGATTTTTGATATAAACATATTCGTGTATACAATATAAAACTTTATATTTAAAAATTTAATTTCTACAAAAAACGAATCCGTTTTAACTCAGCTGCCACTTCCACTAAAAATGCCAAGAGTATTCACTGATTCGGTATTGGCGAGCCTCTCTTTTCACCTTCATTGTTAAAGGCGACATATTTAGTGTTTTGGAAAATATTCTCATCAGCCAAGAAAACAAAAGACCAAAGAAAGAGAAACAGCTATGGTAACAAAAGTCTCCCAACGGACGATTCATTTCACAAACAAATTTATACACGCCACAGCTCGTAAAAGCGGTCGGTGGCTGGGAGCAACTCTGAAGAGGGAAATAGTAATACCTACAACATTACCACTGCATATACCAAAAAAGAAAAGCCACTACATTAACAATAATAACCCAACTGCCACAATTTTTGCATGAAAACAGCTGCAAATTAAAATCACAAAAGCAACAGCAATGGCAGCAACAGCAGCAGCAATGAAGGAGAGAAGCCCAAAACCAAAACCAAGAGCAAGACTAAGATGATGACGACGACGCACTCCGACTACAGTAAAAACTTTTGATTTCTTTTGGTTATACTCGTAGTAGCATTGTAGTTTGAAGGAGGCCGAGGCGGGCATAATTTTTACAGCCATGCGCCTAAGGCAAAAGCAGCAACAGCAGCAGCAGCAGCAACAGCAACAGCAGCAGCAGCAGCAAAAGTAAGTTACTAAGTCAAAATTGGCTTATAACGGGACGCACTTTCACTTGAAAAAGCCACACAACCGAGTCTCAGATTTTACACTGAAAGAAATGAATGAAAAAAAATCGGAAAACATCGGAAATATTCCCCCAAAACCAAACCAAAAATCAGAAATTTTGATAATTTGGAAATGCGTTTTTTTTCTGTGTACCGGAGCTCTCTTTGATTATGCGTTTAGATGCCCCGCAAAGAGGAGGCGTGGCTTTTATCCGACTATCATTATAATAATTTTCATAAATTTAATAGCGCCGCAACAACAAATAGAAACAGAGCCCAAGCAAATACTCGAATTACAGATATCGAGAGTATTGGATACATACCCCACCCCCGCACGTTATAAATCGTTGGCAGACTATCAATACCGTTAGCGACTATCAATACTAGTGCAGCCGACATTATGCAATCGACCAGATGACAAAATCAAAACAGTAGTCTTGCTTTATTTTTTTTTTTGTATTTTTACGACTGTCCGACTGCTTGGCGCTTTTACTTTTGTTTCATTAATTATGTCTGTTCGACCAATTTCCAATTATGACAAATGACAATGGCGACGGCGACGTCTGGGGAAAGCCGTTTAGGCGAGATCACCAAAAGGAGAGAAACAATTTCAGCGTTTCTCAGACAGATTAACCGATTTCTGGTTTTTCTTGCCCTTTTGAGAATTTATATAATCGCTGCAGTTAAAGAGCAAGATATTTTATGAGCCAAGAATTGGTATTTGTTTTGGGAAATGTAAAATCGAATTACCCCACGGCTAATCTTTGAAAAATCGGGAATATAAAACTCACAAATCTATTCCATTTTTTTGAGCCGAAATAAATCAATCTTTAAGTCAATCAAACAATCATTTTGTGTGGTTTTACCACCAGGAAGTGCTTAATGAGGAGAATGAAAATTGCTAATGCAGACCCAGCTGCCCATTTCCCAGGGGCTGGACAAATTCTTCGCCAGACGCATCAAATGATTTCCTCTGATGAGAGAATGAGAATGCCCAGATAGATCACTCACCTGGCTATTACTGCAATAGTAAATGTCCGACATCCTGTATTGTAGTTGATGAAGGCAGCTGCTATGGCCGCCACTTCGCCCAGTTCCGCCTCCCTCACCGGTTCTGCTGATAAATACTCTGTGGGTCGGGATCTATAACCAGGGCAGGTTAAGCGGCATGACCGCGTTTCTGCCAGGCTGCCAGCGAGCGAGCGAGCGAGCAGGTGAGTGAGCCAAAGTGCCCTAAGCACAAGGAACAGCAACAATAAATAGCAATGACAACAACCTGTTTTTCTGCACTGCAAAAGTGTCACACACACGACTTGTAATCAATAGCCAGGTTGACGTCGTTTATTGTTACGTTTTGAGCGGATTAGATTTTCCGCATATTTATCTGTTTAAACAATTTAACAGTAACAGCAACAGCAACAACAATGCAAAACTTGAACAAAACAAAAACAAAAACAATGCAGCAGTCGGCTGCACTTCACGCTCTGTCTTGCAGAACACTCCACTCGCTTTTTCGGTTTACTTATTATACTATTAATATTACTTTCAGCTTGGTTTGAACGACAGCGCATGCGCGCGCGCACCTTTCTTTCTTTCGGAGCAAGTAAACGACTCGATTCGGACTCGGATTCGTACTCGTTTTCGGATACTGTATTATGATCGCGTCGCTTGGCTTCAACCGTCTCGGGCCGTGGTAAAACTCAGACTAACTTGGTCAGACAAGTCTTCAGTCTTCACAGCGGGCCACTAGTCGTTCTTCTGCATCGCCGTCAGCTGTCTTGTGCGCCAGTTTGAGTTGAACGTGAGGCATCCCCATCCCTCCCCTTACATCGAGCCGTTTCAAGTAACAGAGCTGGGCATAGTTAATTAAGCTGGTAATTTATTTAATTGGAAATCCCAAATGAAGCGCCAAAGTGTTAACAGTGGAAATCGATAACATATGATAACGCTGTTTCTCAAACCGCGATGTTTCTCCAGCCGAATATCAATGAGCCCAAAAAACATATTGATGGACTGCGAAAACATCTACAGCTTCTCAAAGTACGCTTACTAAAGTTGGATTGGAACATTAAAGCCAAAATTTTTAAATTTCAAGTAGGAAGTATGAGAAAACATCGATGTTCCTCCGGCGCTGTGTTAACAGGCCGATAAGGCAATGTTATTTGTCCGCTGTGCTGTTAAGTGCAGATGTTAAACCATTGGTTGGATGGATCAGCTGTTTGACCACTTACCAGCACTGTCAAATGATTTCGATTTTCGTCAACAGTTTTCTTGTTATTTTATCAAATTTACCTTGATTTGCCGTCTGTATGCAATGCCGCCGACCCACTAATACAGAGCAATGGCACGCAACGTGCTAGAGAGCAGTCTACTGGGCGCTGGCTTCAGTATTATCTTTCAGGTGAGCGCAGTTCAAATTCGGCCCCAATTGTTGAGGGGGGGGATTGCATTTGAGAGTATCAGTCAGCCAGCCCCCAGCAAACCACCCACAGGCCAAAACCCAAAACCGTCAGCAATTAGTCACCACAACCATTCTGATGCTTTGCCATTCTTATCTCCCTGTTCCCAGATACTATGCCGCATCCTCACGTTCGGCATCAATGCGTACATTGTGCGCAATGTGGGTCGCGAGGTGCTGGGTATCATGAATGTGCGCCTGCTGCTGCTCGAGAGTACGTTGCTCTTCTTGTCCCGGGAGGCCATCAATCGGGCAGCACTCAGTGCTAATTCGCAGCAACGCGACAGGTGCTCGTGGGCTCAATTGATCAACCAGATGTGGCTTACGTAAGCATCCAAAAATCCACAAAACTCAAAGCCCAAAACAATAATTTCCCACCTCTCCCACTCTTTCACTCTCTCTCTATCACTCTCACTCACTCTCTATGCCCGCCAAATCTGTTGCTGCAGTGTACCCATTTGTGCTGTACTCTGTGGCCCCTGCTTATACATTTGGCTCAACTGGCTATCGACCGTGGACGCTATCTACTCCTCCCAATATGAGTTCGCCTGCTATGCCGTTGCCCTGTCGTGTGTCCTGGAACTGTTTGCCGAGTCCACCGTCTTCGTGGCGCAGGTCTTTTGCTTTGTCAAGCTTAAAATTCTGTTAAACACTCTCCACATCTTTGTGCGCTCGGCCATCTTTCTGTGGATCGTGATTGGCGACAGGAGTGCGGCCATCACAGCCTTTGGCATTGCCCAGCTGGCCAGTGCAGTAACCATAGTGGTCGGCCAGTTTGGATTCTTCTACTTCTACATTGGGCGCTTCAATGACTACAAAATGCAGCAGGCTCGCAAGAAACAGCCGACACCGACATCCTGGGAGCTGACACTGTTCGAGCACATGGACGACTTCCCGTTTACGCGGCTGACTGAGTTCCTGCCGGGCGTTATGTTCGATCCCATTGGGAAGTTCTTCAATCGCGAGCTGCAAACGCTCACGGTGAGCTTCATCAAGCAGGGTGTGCTCAAGCAGATCCTCACCGAGGGCGAGAAGTATGTGATGTCAGTCTCCCCCGTGCTGAGCTTTGGCGAGCAGGCCACCTATGATGTGGTCAACAATCTGGGCAGCATGGCAGCACGCTTCATATTTCGGCCCATCGAGGATAGTTCCTACTTCTACTTCACGCAGACCATATCGCGGGACACGCGTCTGGCCAAGCAGCCCCAGGACCAGGTGCGACAGGCCAGCAGTGTGCTGAACAATCTGCTGCTGGGCGTCAGTTCCATTGGCATGCTGGCGTTTACCTTTGGCCAGAGCTACTCCTATCCCGTGCTGCTGCTGTACGGCGGGCCAGACTTTGTTGCCGGCGGTCTGCCCCAGAGCCTGCTGCAGTGGCATTGCCTGGCCATCTACCTGCTGTCCGTCAATGGGATCAGCGAGGGATACATGTTCGCCACCAACACCAGTCGGGACATTGACAAGTACAACTATCTGATGGCCATCTTTTCGGTCAGCTTCCTTGTCCTATCCTACATTTTGACGGGCGTCTTTGGGCCCGTTGGCTTCATCTTCGCCAACTGCATCAACATGCTGGGCCGCATCCTGTACAGTACCTACTACATCAGGCAGCAGTATCAGCCTCTGTCGCTGAATCCGCTGCTGGGCCTGAAGCCGGCCAAACTATTTGGCGGGACTCTCATCCTGTCTGGCCTCGTCTGCTATTGGGTGAGTGCGCTGGCGCACATTTATTTATTCGTATCAAAATATGTGTTTAATCATTGATTCTTTCTTCCCCTCTTTGTAGTACCAAAGCGCTGCTCTGGTCACCCATCTAGGCATTGGCTTGATAGCCGGTCTTGTGTGTCTACTTGCCTGGGCACTGGCCCATCGCGATTTGGTGCGTTTGGCCTGGCGATATGGAAGGCGGATCAAAATCGATTGAAAGACTCGGGGGGCAATTTCCCGAAAGAGCGCACAGAATGTGAAATGGAATACTTAAATATTTATATAGACAATTGTAAATTAATTCCGGAATTAAGTTATTTACCTATTGAATGTTTGTAGTGCTTCAATGCTTCGTTAATGTTAAGGCATGCATTAAAAGACAACGATAAATTGTATTATATTTTTGTTCAAACAAGAGTGCAGTGTATCTTAGCTACCTGTTTGGAGCTTAAATTAATTATTCATTTAAATATTATGGGAGGGGCTATTTCTTCCGTTTTGCCTGGCCTGCTGCCTACACACTGTAATGTCTATACTGATGTAGAAAATGATCAGCAATGCATTCCGCTCGTCATTGCCCTCTGCGAGGATCTCATTGACATGGAGATGGCATTGATGTACAGCATAGGCTTTTGGACACGCACAAAATGATTGCGGTGGAAGAGAAACGATATCGATCGCCTTATAGCTGGTTTTATAAATAATATTGTATGTTTTGTATAATGTTGCATTGCATTGGCATCGTCGATGCTCCAGGATCAGGAGTTTGCGTACAGAATATTCGTGTTTTTTGCATTCCACTGCCATCCTTTGGAATTTGTTCAGGCATCAAAACGCAATAGGGGTATGATTATATTTAATTTTGAGCGCATACGTACGAACACCCCAAATGCACTAGCGCGTGGCAAAAAATTCCCTAACGCATTCAAGTAAATGATTCAACAGCATGTGTCAAATGAACATCTACATTAGATATTAACCCGCCATAGGCTTTTCTCCAACTTTACTCCCACATTAAAGTGAATGGTGCAATTTAAAAGTATTTCGGGGATAACTACGTCAGGCTAGTGGATCAAATCACAAGCTGGTATTTTCCTTAATCACAAACGGTTACACTGAGCAACCGAGCGCGCAAGTAACAACATTTTCGTATAGTTCTGCAGACTTTTAAAGCAATTTGCCGGAGAAGATGAAGCGTTCCAAGGATGAGGACAAAGAGGACAGTGCCAGTGCCACTAGCAACTTGAATTCAAGCACTGGCAGCAACAGCAACGATGCTGCTGCAACTGTAGGTACCGCCTCAGCGGCTGCTGCCGTTCGCACCACAGGACGCGTCAAGGTAGGTTACATTTCCCGCCGATTTGCCAGAAACCCCTCGTACTGACAAGTTTTGCATTTTATTTGCATTTCGCATCTAATAGAAGCCCAAGCAAGTTTACGATCCATCCGACAATTATGTCTCACGTGGGGCCCGCAACTCCACGCCAGCGAATGCCACTGTGCAAGCGTCGCACTTGCCGGCTCCGGCCACAGCCGCAGTGCCAGTGCCAGTGCCAGTTACACCGCCTGTGGCGGTGACTGTGCCCAAGCCAGAAGTAGTCGCCACTAGTGATGCCCAAGATGTGGAATTCGGTCAGCCAGGCCAGCCGCTTCGTCAGTTCGATGTGTGCCAGAAGTGCAGCAAAATGGAAGTGAAGCGTGGCTCTGGCCACAAGAGTAATTTTCTCGCATGCAAGAGCTGCCAGCAAAAGTGTAAGTGCCCCCGCCATCCAACTCAATGCTCGCCTGCACACTTTCCTACATCTGTGTATTTGTTTATGCATTTCCAGGGCATTTTAACTGCCTTCCGCTCAAATTTGATGTCCTGGCCGTTGCACGCAAGAAGTACAAGTGCCCGGCTTGCCGCTACTGCCGCGTTTGCGGTACTAAGGGCAAAGATCTGGCCATCTGCTCTGAGTGCGTATATTCCTACCACCGCGATTGCCATGATCCGCCATTGGCCGCCTCTAGTTTGGCGAGAGCCAGTGGAAATGCCACGGCTGCGAGTTCGGCACTAACAACCATAACAACTATTCGGCCAGTGAAGTTTCTGGACGCAAATCACACACGGGCCGCAAGAGGCGCGCCCAGTCGGATCCCGCTGGTCAGGAGCAGTCGCCACCAACCAAGCAGGCGAAACTTCAGCAAGAATCGAAGCAGCAGTCGACAAAAGCAGACGCAGACTCAGTCTCAGTCGCCGCCACAGCCCTAGAACCAGCCACCAAGAATGGTGAACCAAAGCAAGAGGAAAAACTCAAAAAAGGGAAAGTCGTGGGCAAGGGCGACAGTGAGAGTGAGAGCGAGAAAAATCGTATGTCTACGGATGAACTTAATTCGTCAATGGAGCCTCTTGTAGGAGAGGAGATCAACGAGGAGACCAACGAAGAGCCAGAATTAAATCTGGATGAACCTGAACAAGAACAATTGGATGAAAATGGGCCAGAAAATCAGGCCGAAGGAGCTCTCCCCGAGGGAGAACCAAATGAAGAGTCGGAAATGCCGCTGGAGAACATGGACCAGCAGCCATTGGAAGCGGCGGTGCCCACTGCCAGCGATGATGATGAAATCATTATTGTCAGTGTTCAGCTGCCACCAGAACCACCAACGGATGCAGAACCCATGAGTCCGGTGTGCACCTGGACTGTTGAGCAGGTGACAACATATCTTGCCCGTTTCTATCCGAACGAAGCTCAGGCATTTAACATACAGGACGTGGATGGCACCTCGCTGATGCTGCTCACGCGCGAGGATGTGATAAATGGCTTCGGCTTTAAGCTCGGACCGGCATTGCGCGTCTTTCAAGTGATCCTAAGCCTCCAGTCACGTACTAATAGTGTAGATCTGGGCTGGTCGTCCACGTAGAAAGGTTTTTTTTTTATTAGTTTTTTTCGGATGAACACGAAAAATATCCAAATTTTTAGTTACATAAATTTTCGCTTATATTAAGTTTTTTTTCTCAACTAAAAGACATTAATTTTTGTGTACGAAAATGTTTTCGATACAGAAATGACGATACTGTCTTTCTCTAGTCAGAAGTAGACAAATTTCCTACATTGTTTCTGGAATATTCCCTGAAGGAAATATAATTTAAATGTACATTTATCGTAGCCGCCTCTCCAGGATTTCTGAAAATGTATAAAACTACACTTAAACTAAATTTAAATGCTGGAAAAGGATATTAGATATTTCCCTCTAGAGGAATTCTGAATATGCATGCAACGAATCGTGAAGAAAATTTAATTTAAATATAAATTAAATGCAAAGAAAGAAGAAGTTAGGAAGTTAATTTTGTATGCAAGTATTCCGAAAATGTATAAAACAAAGTGCAAAGGCATTTTGGATTTAAAAAACGTTCAGAAACTCGAAAAATTTATAAATCGAAGCCCAAAGGAAGGAAATGTATTCTCACAACGAATCCTGAATTAAATTTTTTTTAAATCTAAATTTAATTAAAGGAAAGAAATGTACCCCTCTGCAGGGATTCTGAAAATGTAAAAAATGGAACCCCTAAGGAAATTTAATTATATTAAATAAATTTCCCTTTCCAGGGCCTCCGAAAATGTATACAACGAAATTAAATACATTAAAGGCTATAATTTAAAAGCATTCCCACCCCATAGATTATTCGCACCTAAGATTGTATAAATGTTCAAAGAAGAAATCAATTCTGGAGTTTTTTTTGTTTTGTTTTCTTTAATTCAAACAAAATGATTATAGTACATAATTTTGAGAGTTAACTGGTTAACTGTTAACTGCCCCGTGGGCCAATATGGATTCTCATATATGTATATTCCACAATAATTACTAAATAAAACACACGCACACAAAAATAAACACATAAACACACTCGCACACACAGAAGTAGGAATATCAAGTACATCAAATGTAAGCATTGCAGGGTCGCCGGATTCTTGGGACAAATACTGTTGACAGACGGTCATCTTGGGGATCTGGATCTCGATCTCGATCTAGATATATTGGGGGAGGATTTGATCAGATTTTAGACGCGCGGCAGTAGCTTCTCCTCATCGGAGACCGTCTGGGCGGTTTGCTTGGCACCAGAGCGCGACGACGGATCGTAGCCGTACATGAAGATCGAGGCGATGACTAAGGCGGCGCCAAAGCTGAACTGCAGAGTGAGATTAAAGTCAAAGATGTAGATGGAGGCCACGCAGGATATGATGATGGCCAGGGAGGTGGCGAAACCCTTCAGAATGTTGTCCGCATACTTGACCACAACGGCAACAATGAGGCCGCCGCCGGCCTGCAGCAGCACCAGATACCACACGAAGAAATCGTAGCCATGGAAGAAGCCATGCTCGAAGATGCGGCTCGCGTCGTTAACAAAGCACGTGAGCAGACCGAATGGTATGCTCAGCAGGCTGAGCTGCACGTTTCTCATCCACACGGAGATCTCGGCTCCCTTGAGTATCTTCTCGAAGTAAATGCCCGCAAAGCCGGACAGGAAGCAGGCTCCCAAGGCGGACCACAGTCCAAGCATGCGATTCTGTTCGGGTCCCGCACTCGACGACGACGCCGCATCGCCGCCAGCGGACGACGAGGAGTCACTGCTGCCACCCGTGCCCGTTACAGTCTGGGCGAGTTGAACCAAGACAATGCCCATGACCAGCAGCAGCAGGGCACCCCACTGCGTGGTGAGCAGCTTGCGACGTAGAATAACCACGGCGAACATGGCCGTGGTGAGGATCTTTAGCTGGTATGTGACCTGGTAGGTGGCCGCATCCAGATGCGAGGCCGACACATATAGCAGATTGTTCTGCACAATGTACACCAGCGAGGGTACGCACACCTTGAGCGTGTCCACGGGATTGGCAATGATCGTCTTGTGCAGCGAGCGGACAAACTTCTGGGCATCCTTGCCCTCCTCATTGAATACCAGAAACAGGCATGTTATCAGCTTGGCAAACTCGGCCATTAGAACAGCTAAAAGACGAAGACGAAGACAAGAAAATAAAAGGTAATCAAGGTAATCAGTAGAAATGCTGAGATAAGAACAACATGTTAATGGGATGGTTAATTTATGACCAAAATAGTCACAGCGTATCGCTATACAGATTCATTGTACACAAGCGGAAGTAATTTGAAGTTCTTATCAGGCGCTTCCTCTGGGGCTGCCCATATTAGCATGTTTCGCTTGGCCTCAACTGCTGATGCTTGCGTGGAACTTCCCACGTAAATGGCCTTGCCAACATTTCACTCAACACTCACCAGTTGAACTTAGGAAAATTTCGCCGGGCCTGGTCCGGGCATAGCGCATGCTGAGTCCCAAGATCGCATTCTGCAGCGTTAGCGTTAACAGACTGATGTACTTCAGAGTGTTTGTGTTCACTGTAGTGCGATAAGAAATGGGAGCGGGCAACAGCATTATGACATTAATTATGAAGAGTTTGGATCCAACTAATCATATGTAGTGTGGGGTAGGTATATTACTCACTATGAATATTCATTGCTATTGCTGAGACGGTTTTCGTATGCGGGAGAGAGCAAACAAAAAGTGTATAATAGCCAAGAATAGAGTCCAAACAAACAGAATAGAGTTGAATTGAATTGAATTGAATAGAATAGAACACAGAGCAGCCAGATAAATAAATAGCGCGAGCAAACACGGATCGATCCGGATACAGATACCGGAGGCTAAGCGGAAATTTCTTTTCGTTTTTTCTGGCAGTCGTACTGCCACCGAACCGTGCGTCGGTCAATGTGGTAGCGTCCTCAGCTTTGGGAAGAAGACACGTAAACAACAATCTGAAGCTTCGGAGCAGCCCATTCTCGCGGCCAGGGCAAGTTTTTATCGTTGGGCATTTTTGCTGTGTGGTTGTTGTAATTGTTATTGTTGTATTGCTGCTGCTGCTGCTGCGGCGACGGCGGCCTCTCTTCACCGATAACCGATTGCACGGATGCCGCCAGTGTTGGCCACTCAGAGATATTCGCACGCAATAAAAAGGGCTACATCTTCTTCCATGAAGAAATCAATCAAATTCCACAAGGTCACCCACCTGTTGGATGTAAATTGACGTACATTTGAACAGTTTTCATTTGACATTACTATGCATGCCATATAATAACGACATAACATCGGAATATTAATATTTGTTCAGCTTGTGTTGGGTACGTACCATTTTCACAGCACACAGCTGTTTCTAGCCGATATCTCTGTCGCATGGGATATCGATAACATACGTGGTAGTACGTCTATTTACCAAATTTTTATTAACTATTGACGCGAATTGTTAAGCATTAAACACACTTGGGGGTCAAAATGCGCGAACAGCCACTGAAAGAGGTCACCCAGCTAATACATGCCATTAAAGTGGGGTAAGTGAGCCATTAACGAGTAATTAAGTACACCAGCGCTGACATTTCCTCTTGGCAGGTTGGTGGAGGGCTCCTACGGCATAACCAACAAGACACTAGACATCTTCAAATACATAATCATCAGCAAGAGCTGGAAGAATGCCGAGTAAGTATGCGTATGCCTGCCGATGGCTCTGTACAACTCTCAATGAATATATATTGTGCCATTGCAGTGCCCTCATGCAGATTGTGCGGGCTCAGTGCCGCATCTTGCAGGCGGCCCTGCCACAGGAGACTGTCACCTCGAACATAGCACGCCGCATCTTGAAACTCACCCGCGAGGAGTTCGATCTGCTGCATGCCAAGGTCCAGCACTTTGCAGATGACTCACAGGCCTCGCTGTCGCTCCACAAACTGGTCACCCAGACCAGTGAGAGCAATGTGAGCGTCGACTATTCGGTGCCACAGCAGGGGCTGCGCGAGGCCTTGCTGGATCATCTGCAGGAGGTGGAAACGGAGCTGGAGACCAGCTCGGAGAACATCTGCGTCCAGGCTGAAGAGCACATACACTCGTCGGAGATCATCCTCACCCTGGGACACTCGCGCAGTGTGGAGAATTTCCTGAAGCGAGCCATCAAGAAGCGTCAGTTCCTCACCATCATTGTGGCGGAATGTGCGCCCGCCTGTCGGGTGAGTAAATGTTAAATCTGCTCCAAAGGGCGGATCCCAGCAACTGATTCTACTCTCCTAACTTTTTTTATTGCAGGGTCACAATCTGGCCGCCAGCTTGGCTGCCGAGAAGAATGTGGAGATTATTGTCATCCCGGATGCGGCCATATTTGCCATGATGTCGCGCGTCAACAAGGTCATCATTGGCACACACAGTGTCCTGGCGAACGGTGGTCTGCGTGCTGCCTGCGGTGCCTATACGGTGGCTCTGGCCGCCAAGCACTATTCCGTGCCAGTGATTGTCCTCGCGCCCATGTACAAACTGTCGCCGCTGCATCTGTGCGAACAGGATGCCTTCAATATGGTCGGCTGTGCCGAGGATGTGATCCCATACGATTCGATACCGGCCCGCGAGGCCAAGGTCTACAGTCCCATGTTCGACTATGTGCCCCCGGAATTGGTCACGCTCTTCATATCCAATACGTAAGTCAATTTTTAACATTCAACAAGAGTAAATCAAACAATTTTGATGCAATATATTTCATTTAGCGGTGGCCACGCCCCCTCCTATGTGTATCGTCTGCTCACGGAACTGTATCATCCAGATGACCTGGAGATTTGAAATCGTTTTACACTCTGTTTGCCACCCGACACTCGACCAATAAAGGAAGTCCCCAGTTCCAGTTGCAGTCCATCCCACTCATAATTATCTATTGTTGTATATTCTGGAGCAGTTGCGTGAAGTCAGCCAGGCTGTCGGCATAATAGTCTGGCTGAGCGTCGACGGGAGCACTGAACATATCCTCTTTGGTGAGGCAACCGCTCAGGACGAGCAGCGACTGATAGCCGCACGCTTTACCAAATTGGACGTCTTGCACCAGGGTGTCGCCAATGAAGATGCAACGCTTGGGATCTTGAATCTCGAATATTTCCCCAAACATCTCGCCCAGTATGGGCGATGGCTTGCCCAGGAAGGTGGCCTCGCGCTGCGTATAGCGCTTCACATGCTCGAGAAAGTCAAAGAATCCAGCCACATTGAGATTTTCGGCCAGTGGCATGATGACATCGCTTCCACCCGCTATCAGCTGGCAATCATCGTTCTGCTGCAGATGCCTGATGGCCTTCGCCAGCTCCACGTAGGACATGTCCAGGTGAATGTCGAAGAGCACAGCGCCCACTGGCTTATCAATGCTCAAATGATCTACCAGCGTGGCAGCTGTTAAATGCTCCTTGACTTGCTGGAAAGGAAATACAATACAATCAATAATTTACTTCGCACACCCTGCCCCAACCCTGCCAACCCATCCTCACCAGCGACTCAAAGTCAATGCCATGCTTACGCAACGTCTCGTTGGCCTCCAGCGACATGAGGGAGTAGACACGCTGCCCAGGCCTGTGCTTCTTTAGATAACGCACAATCGTCTTGACGGGATGAACAACATCGTCGTCGAGGACATTGTTGGCACCAATATGCTTGAACTTCTCCATGTACTGCTCATCGGTGCGGAAGCTGTTGTTCGACACAAACTTGATTTGCTTGCCGGCCGATTTCAAGGCATTGACAGCAGCCCCAGTGCCTGGTATCCAGCCCACCAGCAGCCAGACAACGCCATCGCAATCGCTGATGACCATGTCGAAGGAGTCAATGAATTGACGCTGCTCCTTTCGGCTAAGTTCAAGTATGTGACGTGGTGGGGCCATGGTTAGATGACGAATGCGACAGGCGGTAAGCGGTCGTTTACGTTAACCGGCAGATGGAGTGAAGTGGAGTGCAGTGAAATGGAATGGAATGGATGCTGCCTGCCTGCCTGCCTGCCTGCCTGAAATGGGTTGCGCGCGCACCGCAATTTACTGGACGACTGAATGCCAATGCCAATGCCGACGCGGCCGTTTAACCTTCACCGTCACATTGACGATAGTCCGCCGTCGGGCTATGTTATAGTACGGCGTGGTGTGGTCGTCCGCCAGCTGTTCAGCTTCATTGTAATTCTTTTATTACACGATTTAAGCTAACTAGTTGAGTGCCCAGATAAGATTTCATATGTAAATAGGCTCCGTCTCTGGGTTGTGTGCTCTGTGCATGAGACACACGTGCAATGGCCCGACCGGAGTCTTGTCTTGGGCTTGTCTTATCTATCATAAACGAAACCGCATAGTGTATCCGCAACAACCAAACTTGAATTCTGCAAATTGGTGGCAGTGATCGCTGCTTAGTTTAATTTTATCGGGGGAAAATCATTATAGGATTTTCTATAGCAAAAGTAAATAAAAAGCACTATAAGCTATGGATATCAGTGGACAGGAACCCAACAATAAACATTCAAAATTCAACGTATTGCAGAGAAGAACTAAAACCAGTTCGATAACATAATCGACTTACAGCCGATAATAACAAGGTGTAATATTTGGCACACAAAATTCAGGAAAACTTGTCTGCAGCCATGTTGTAAGTAAGAACAGCAGTAATCTGTAACTTTTAGGCCATAAGTTTTAGCCAGAAAAGGTGAAAATCTATTTCGATTACCGATATCATATCGAAATGTAACTGATGGAAAAAATTACCAATACTACTTTAGCGGTACTTTAAGCAATTAACTTGTTTACTTGATTTAATTAAAACCAAACCATTTGGAGCGAAAAACCAAACCCATTCGATATGGCATGGCCTTTCGATCGGAAGTATCGCATTTTTGTTGCTTTTGTGGTTTGTTTTCTTCCTTTGATTTGGCGCGGCGTGGCGCGGCAGGCCTGGGCTTTCCACGGGCAGCATTGGGATTGCTGGGGCTTAGAGAAATTACAGAGACATATGTACAGATATATAACAATAACAACCCCAAAGCACGTCAACACCTTGACATTGATGGCTGCGGCATTTGGCCAAGGTACGGAGCGGAACAGTTCAAGCCACATTACGAGAGCCCAGGGCAGGGCAGGCCAGGCCAAGCCGCACAGACAGACGGACATTCGAAAGGTCGCAAAACGGAGAGGAAGCCGCGCCGCGCCAATGGCCAATAATTCAGATTCACAAACATTTCAATTTGGCTGCGGGGCGTGCCACAATAGTGGCCGAAAGCAACGGCAACGCAATTGGAATCGGCAGCGGGACAGAGGAAGAACCAAAAGGAGAAGAGAAGAGAAGACCAGACCAGAGCAGACCTGGCCGAAATACAATTGAAAGGAAAAGCAAAAGCAAAAGCAAAAGCAAAAGCAAATGGGCTGTCGTCGTTCATTTGATATGTGCGCGGGTATGGTACTTATGGGTATATCAGAAATCCAAATCGATTGCCAGCCAAGTTAGTTTAGTTAGGCGTCTCTCTGATAAGATACGAGCGAACCCGAAGCCACAACCTAACCAGAAGAAGACGGACGGCCCAGCCAACGCCAACGCCAACGCCAACACAAATAGCACACACACTGTGCTGGAGCAACTGGCCGTGATTACACAATATAATATATCTAGGCATGAGCACCATGAGCACCAACAGCAGTGAGCAAAAAATTGCATCTGTGGCCAGCAATGGACTGGAGGCGACAACACCCGTAGCCGGCGACTCATCCAGCTCGACCAGTGGCGACCAGGAGCTAAAGATTCTCGGCCAGCTAAAGACCATCGAGCAGATCAACGAACAGCGTCGCATCTTTCTGAACAGCACCATTACTGAGGAGGCCACCGAGAAGAAGGAGCCAAAGGAGGAGGAGCAGCAGCAGGAACAGAAGCTGGAACAGAAGCAGAAGGAGCAGCAGGAACCGAAGCTGGAAGTGGAAGTAGTGGAAGTAGCGGAACCGAGCAAACCTCAGCCTCCAAACAGTCTCGTACTGAACGTAAAATATGCCACGCTACCCAGCCCCAATGTGGTGACGCTGCGTTCGCCGATGTCGCCGCCTCCAAAGCCACCCATGCTGAGTCGCACCAGAAGCATTGGCTCCGGGGATGGGCGCAGTCCGGTGACAGTGACGAATGGATCCGGCGAAGCCTCGCTGCTGCGTCAAAGCCTAACAGAGACGGCAATCAGTGCAGCAGCAGCAGCAACAGCGTCGCCAGAGGGAGGAGAAGCAGCAGCAGAGCCACCACCGACTGTGTCCGCACGGCACTATGAGGGGCTCATCGAGGAGTTGCGCTGTCCAGGCTGTGCCGGCGCCATGAAGGCTCCCATTCTGCTGTGCAAGAGCGGGCACAGTGTCTGCGAGCAGTGCACCCGCATTCTGCTCATGTGCCCACTATGCAAGGTAAATTGACGTCAGCGGACGTGTCCCACGTTATTGACTTATCGGTATCCCAAAATCTTATCTAGTGACGTACGACGCGCGGTAAGGGGGGGAATGACAGTGGGAACCACTTCAAACTGAATATGAAATAACTGAAGATTGACATCATCAACGACAGCCAGCCGCATAACGAGTGATCTTCTATCTTTCCATCATTGCAGGAGTCATTCACCAACTCACGCTCCCTGACCGTCGAGGCGCTGTGCGCCAAGGCCCATTTCCGATGCAGCCATGCGGCCGGCGGCTGCCAGGTGCGTATGCCGGTGGCCCTGTTGCCCTGGCATGAGCAGCAGTGCATGTACAAGCCAATGAAATGCTTTATGGGCCGCGTGTGGGGCGACTGCAAGTGGCAGGGCAGGGAGGTGCAGTGGAAGGAGCATCTGGAGGAGCAGCATGCCGACAAGCTGTTCCGTTCGAACAGCTCGGATCTGGTGTGGAACATGGCCTTGCGACGCAAGCCCCTCACCGGGTACTATGTCTTCCAGGCGCACGACGAGATGTTCAACTTCTACGAGATCTACGACAAGCAGCGCGTCCTGTTCACCATGACCTGTACGTCGAATCGGCGCGAGAGCAAGTACAACTATGCCTATGAGGTGACCCTGCTCCAGCCGGACAACGAGGCGCTCTCCATGACCCAGAAGTTTCCCGTCCACAGCGAATACGATCGCGATATACTCATGGACGGCACTTGCGTGAGCATTCCCCTGAACGAGCTATCCCGTTTCGTGGACCCCGAAAAGGTGTGTTCCAGTTGTATCCCCATTCGATGATCCACCCCCCCTCCCACACAGAACTGCGAACCGACAACTGACACGCGCTCTCTCTCTCTTCTTCCTTTCAGCAGGTGCTGCACTATCGGGTGAGCGTGCTGGCGGTAAAGTCCCCCCGCCGGGCCAAGCCCCCACGCCAGAGCCTGCCCGTGCCCATCGACTATGAGCAGACAAAGAATGCGGGTGTGAACGGAAAGAGTGTGCCGGCCAATATGATTATTACGCGCACATATAAGGAGGGTATGGGTGAGGTGGCGGTGGAGCCCGAAGCCGACGCCGCTGCCGCCTCCACACCCGACTCGGAGGATGATCCCAGCACGAGCAATGGCCTGGAGCTGGAGCGCAAGTGGGGCACCCCTCAGTTGCACTTCAATCGAAAGTATCTGAGGAATGCCCTGAATGAGGCTGGAGGCCAGCAGGAGGATGAATTGCGTCCGTTGGCCAGCGATCGGCGTGGCCTGGGCGAGGACAAGCTCTCGCTGTGCAGCAACAGCACCAGCTACACGAAAAAGGTCTCCGACTCATTGCGCAAAAGCTTTAGGGCCCTCAAGGCGGACTTCATTGAGATGCGGCCGTTCGCCAAGAAGTCGTCGGCCAAGCCGATCGATGGCTCATCACCCACAGTGCGGGCAAATGCAGCCAAATGACCGGAATCCACGTCAACTTATATTTTTCCCATCTGCAACTCGGAAACAACTACAATGTAAATATGTTTTTGCCTCCTCACATTTCTTCAGTGTTTGTGTGTGCGTGTGTGTTTTTTTTTTTCATTCTAATTTAAAGCATGTAAAAAAATATTCCAAAGTGTTTTAAAGTATATCAAATAAAAACGAACTCCAAAATTGGTTTCTGTAATTATTAATAAATCTGTGGCACCTAGAATTTTGAAGATACAAAAAAAGAATCGCCGCCTGGCGACTGGCAGCGAATTATAACGGCTGAAGTGTGTTTGAGAACAGAGAGAGAGAGAGTATATATACAATAAAAAATCAACTTTAACAACACTGTAAACACTAAAATATGATATTGATCGATGCTTGAGAAAAATCATCGATATCTGCATCCAAGCATCGATGAAATCGATGTTAGCATTCTCCAGCACTACATTTATCCGAATGGCAAAAAAAAAACAAACAAAAAGAAGTTGAGCATAAAAACAAGTTAATAGTCGTCACATTATTACAACTTGTGGGAATTGTAAAGCATTCGGATTATCCAACAAGACTGACCAAATAAATCAATAAAATACCATCACGACGGCCAAGGCTGGGAGCCGGGCCTGAACGCGAGCCTGCAAGCTATAGACCAAGATCAAGATTGGTACCGGGGACACACCACCACGCTCTACTTGTTGAGGCAAGCATTGTGGACAAATATGAGCGGAATCGACAAATTTTCAGCACAATCCGGCCGGCAATGCCGTGTGGGCACTTGCAGAAAATCCAAGCGCAACAATCCTGGCATAAAAATGTTTCAATTTCCTCCTGCAGATAGCATTTTTGGTCAAATCTGGCGCGAAAAATGTTGTATCCCACTGGAGGATTTCGATAGAAAAATGTTTATATGCCAAGATCATTTTTCTGGCGAACATATAGGGAAGAAAAAATTAAAAAGCGAAGCTATTCCAACATTAAATTTAGTAGAGTTGGAAAATAATTTTCAAGAATTTATTGTACCCGAAGTGGTTACGGAAAATGAAGATCCCCCTATTTGCGCTAAATGTAAACAATTAACGAAGTCAAATATCTTTTATAAAAAGAAATGCAGCGCGCTTCGGGCGAAAATAAACAAATTAAATAAAGAACTTAAATCTAAGAAAAGATCTATTCCCAAAAGGAGAAAGTATGTTGCCAGCCAGCAAATAAAAGCCATTGACAAATTACAGATTAGCAAGGAATCGAAAGCCGAAAGCATTTCAGGGGCGAAGTATGGCCTAACAGAGAATTGAAGCCCCTCTTTGTAATTTTATAGACTTTGATTTAAGTCAATTTCCATATAAGACTTATGATTCCTTGGTTTGTCCCAAACAAATTAATAAACCATATTGATATGAAGAACAAAAACGCCGTTGCTGCTTTGGTTGACTCAATTTATCTAAAACTAAAATTATTCAATTTACAGCCGCATCCAAGAGACTCTCCCACTGCCATCCCGGAAGTGTGGGGAGTGCTACAGCAGACCCTGCATTTCGTTCATGAACTGCATGTAGGCGTCGTCTTTGGTGGGCGGCTTGCTGTGAGACTCCGACGGTGCATGGCCGGTATCACCAGCAGTGTGTTTGGGGCGAGCCGCCCGACGCTGATCGTCACGTTTCACGCGCAACGTGGAGGGCACAAACCGCGTTACATCCGCACTTAGATTTCTGGGTAAAAGAAAATGGGTGTAAGAATGGGGAATCGGAATTCAATTGCACAGATCATTGCTTACCGGATCTGTGGCTTGGCGGTGATGGTGGTCACACCCTTGGCCGATTCCTTTAGCGGCGGTGGTGCCGGTGGTCCGCCTTGCTTGTTGTGATGCGCCATGCGGGGTGGCAGACCAGGCGGCGGTCCTGGCGGCATACGTATGCCCATGCGGGGCATGGGCCCGAGAGCATGAGGCGGCCGCGATCCGGGTGGTGGACCTGGTGGCATACGCATCCCAAAGCCAGCCCCGGGACCAGAATGTGGGTTTTGCGGGCGCATGGGCGGTGGACGGTACATTATAGCTGGCGGCCCAATGTTGTGTATTGGCGGCAGCTGGGGGACCTGTGGTGGGGCCGGCACCGATGACGATGGCGGCAGCGGAAGGGGTGGCAGTGTGGGAGCTTTAGGCGGACCGGGCGTCGTTATGGCAGGCACTGTGGGTTTGGCTGGCTCCGTCTTTGCCGGCAGCTCGGCCATGTCCTCATCCTCGTCCTCGTCGTCATCGGGCTCATCCTCGCTATCGCTGCTGAGGTTCGATTTGTTGTCCGAGTCACTATCTTGGCTGCGCACAGACATCTCATTCGGTTCATCGTCTTCCTCGTCGGGCGAGTCGCCGCCATCATCCTCCTTGGCAAGCTTGCGATGCTTGCGTTTGTGCACATGTTCCATTTCCTTCATGAAGTCGTCAATGTTCTGAGTGCTTGGCTCTGACGCCTCCTCCTTGTCCTCATCATCAACCTCGTCCACTTCTCCGTCGTAGTCGGTATTGCCCTCGGCGTCCGAGTCTAGTTCGGACATGGCGAACAGATCCGGCGGTGGTCCCGGCGGTACGCCCAGCCAATCCATATCTTCATCTTCGCTGGGCTTGTCTGCCTGGACCTCAACGGGAATGGCATCGCTGTTTTTCGGCACCCCCGGCGGTGCGCCAGGTGCATAAGGGGGCAGGGCCAGGGCGATAGGCGGTGGTGGAACCCGCATGCCAACGCCCACACCAAAGCCTGTGCCGACAGGGGCCACGCTGGGAGTGGGCCCAGGAGTGGTCGGTGTGACGGGAGCAGGCAAGGGAATCTCATCAATTTGAACACTCTGGGCGTGCTTGACACTCTCGTAGTATTGCTGCTTTTTCATGCGCTTCTTCTCGTACTCCACCTCCTTGCGCTTCAGCTCTGCCCAGTGCTCCGGCTCGTCATTGTGCTGCAAGGAGCAGAGAAATAAAGATTAGTTTCCTTTTCTGTTCAATGATTAAATGGAATATCTTACATAGAGTCGCATCACACGGTCGAAGGTCTCCTTTAGCTTCTTCCGCTTGTCCCGCAACACCTTCTCATTGAGTGGCGACGGCTGCAACACATTGTACTCTGTCAGGAGGGAATTGGAGCCACTGCATTATTTTTACAAGGGCCATACAAAATGCCTACAAGACAACTTACCCATCTCATCGATCTTCTCCATCTCTTCGAGAATCTGCGATGGATCTTTGTTCTTAAGGACCGCGGCTCGTACCATTTGCCGCTGTTTTTTATTCTTTTTCAACTCTTTTTTGCGTGCCTCCTTGCCTGAAACATTTTTGTTGGGGGATTGGATTTGGGGTTACAATTTCGAATTGGCTAAAGCATCTGACTTACGCGCTTGGTCTGTGGGATTCATGTATTTCCCACTTTTTGTGGTATTAATAGAGCGCCGACCCATCTTGTTTTGTTGATTGGCTAACAATTTTATTAAATAAAACAAAGTCAACCGGGAGGCGGCGTCTTTTAGTGGGAGGTGAGACCAAGTAAAAATAAACGCCAGTGCTGCAAAACTCAAACGTACTTGCGTACGTTATATCGATTAAATATATCGATCTGATGAAGCCATTTATTATTTTATTTTATTATTATTATTTATTATTATTTTATTTTCTGATTTCCTATCTCTTTTTTTTTTATTACGCATAAATAGGAAATTACCTTATAGCTTACTAAATTAGTATAAATTAAAGTAACGGCCAGGAAACGTGGAGCATCGTAGGAAGGTGGGGTGTATATGATTAAACTATACAGGTTGTGTATTCCATTCCCCCTCTTTCGGGTCTTATTCACACTCATCCAATCCGAACGATGTTTGCAAAATAAATCCCGAAAAATCAGCGAATTGTAATGCTGGTACCCGAATATTAAATTCAACCGCCAAATGAAAAAAACACCGATGATAACATAGAGACCAAAAGTATCGGGAGATAGTCAAATATTAGACCCTTTCCAGCACTGCAGCTTCACTATTGAATGATGCCGGGAGTCAGACCAGACCCAAAACAACAGTAAACATGTCGCTTGAAGAAAATAATATTTCATTGGCAAATATGCTCAGCAATTTGCAATTAAACGACACTAATCACGATAATAATGACAACAATAGAGTAAGTTTTTCATATGCCGGTGTCCCCCGTACACAGCACTTTCATTCGACTAGTTAATTGTCGTAGGAGACTGAAGATCTCCCGTGCAAACTGCCCCAAATGGCCGAAGCTGGCAATAGTGACGACGAAAATACACCCAACAGCAGCGTCGGCAGCAGTGATATTTTTCTTGTTTCGGATGATTCGATGTCCATGGTTAGTTGCATCCATTCGTACGAGTTGAATAGCACCATCATCGAATTAAGTGACAATAATTCCCTGAGTGTTGTCACCGTCGATGAGACCGAATCCGAGGACACCGCCAACAGCTGTAAGAGAACTTGTTCGCCGCAAAGTAATAACGTACAACGAACGCACAGTAATTTTAAAAACAAAACAACCTTTTAGATTCTAGTCTGGAAAACATGGAACAACAGAAATCTCCGCGAAAACGTGGTATAGCTGAGAAATCAAATGCCAATAGTGGATCGGTAGATACATGTAAGTCGCCGGCAGGTAACTGCAGACGTGATATAATATAATATAGATGGATGATATATATATTTGTAGATCAGTCGGGTGGGCGTGCCAGCACTCCAACTAATCCGAGGGTGGTAACCCGCAGTGGACGCGCCGTACGCGCTCTATTGGATAAAACATTTGATTACTCTTCGTCGCAGCCGGAGGGGGAAGACGAGTCGTATAGCCTGTCGAACGATACTGATGATGAGGATTATAGCCTGGAACTGAGCAGCTCTGAGACCAAATGGGTTGGTCACAAGCAGAGGCGCGTCTCCTATCAGCACAGCCACAGCAGCAGCAGCGACGCGAATTGCACAAAACGGGATCAGCGTCTAATATACATTGACCTAGGCCAGTCGGTGGCGATTGTGGGGGATAGCCCCGTAGCCGAACTGTCGGTCGATGATGATGCGGAGCTCAAGACGAGACTGCACAAATTCCTGGGCCTCATGGCCCCGCGCCGACGCCTCTACAATCCCATGGACAACTTTGACGATGAGCTAGAAAACTCTTCGCAGAAGGAGCCTCTAGTGTCCTCCCGGAGTCCTCCAACAGATCTGACCACCACAACGATACACAAACGCCTTTTTTCGCCCACCACACCGACGACAATCTCCAGCAGCAGCTGGTCGAGGCTGAACATATCGAAACAGAATGCACCCACCATTGAGGAGAGACAGACAAAGTTCTATGACGACCTGGTGTTCCAGGCGAATGCCACCTATATTGAGACACAGACACCGGCCTTCCTCAAGGAGCCGATCGATCTGAGCGGCCTGCCCAGTGAAAAGCAGCGGGCTAGCATTTGTCGACGCCACAATGGCAGCATTGCCTGCCTCGAACAGCATCCGCACTTCTACGGATTTGTCGAGTCCCTGAATCGTAAGTAAATCGTTCGTTTGTCCTGGAGACAGGAAACCAAGCTGCTTACACTTTATATCCAATTGCAGCTCAGACTTCGATCAATCTGTGCCATCCACGGGCATTGACCTATCGCCAAAGTGACTTTGCGAAGTGCAAAGTGGCCCTGGCCAAAGTCCTGTTCAGTGTGTTCAATCATGCCATCTTTCACTGCGGCCTACAGGCGAAAATAGTGTGGAAATCGGGCATGAATACGCCCTGCAGCAGCGAGCTGGGCTTCACCACATCGGGCAAGCGCACAGCACGCATTCTGCTGTGGCAGCACATCAATCAAACGGGCATGCTTATAAAGCCACTCCTGCACGAGATGTGCCATGTGGCGGCATTTGTCTTCAATCGTGAGGCAGGGCATGGCGACAACTGTCGCAAATGGTAGGCTTTCATTGCACCTGCTTCTTGCTTCTCTAACCCATTGTATCCGTAGGGCGTACCAAGCTAAAAGCCTCATACCAGAGCTGGCATTGATCAGTGACTGTGATGCCAGCCATAAATATACGTGCACCCTCTGCGCCCGCTGTTCCTATGGCCGCATAACATTTGAGAACGAGGCGGAGCTACTCCGTTGTCACTACTGCCAGTTCGAGGTGAGCGTGGAGCGTTGGAATGCCACGGACACACACAAAATGTCGCGTCCCAATCAGTTGAGCACGCCCTTCAAGACTTTCGTACGCGAGAACTACCTGCTGGTCAAGGGTGTGGATGCGCATAGCGCCAAGATGCAGCAACTCAATCGACAGTTTATGGACAAAGAATGTGCCTGATTGTATGATTGTTTTTCGTTTTGCTATAGTTAATCTTAGCTAGTTAATCTATGCCAATTACATTTATATTATATGGAGAGTCATGTGTACGCTTGGAATCAACCAAAAGCGTGCCAGGATTTTATTTTGCTTGGGTCTGTTTGGAACTAGGACATCATGCCTTTGCTGCGCTTGAAGGCTGCACCTGCCTTGCGATTGTGATTGGCACGCGAGGATTTGTGCGCCTCCTTTTGGCCGCGACTGCGTTGGGTCTGCTGCGTCTGGCCTTGGCCCTTGGGCGCCCCAGTGACGGCAGCACTCGGCTGTGGTCCACCTCCACTGCGCTGCTGTCCGTATTTGGCCATTTGGCGCTGCTGGTAGCGGGCACGGATCACCTCCGGATTCTCACAGAAGTCGGCGCCACCGCGCGACCCCGTCCCCTTGTCGGACTTGCTATCGGAGCTATCCTCGTCATCCTCCTCCTGGTCCTGGGTCTCGTAGGCAGCCGCGTGCGAGGAGGAGGACACAGCCGCCGCCTGCATACGGGCACGCAGCAGACTCACTGGCGGTGCTTGACCCTCGTTGAGGGCCTCGTAGCTGTCATCGTACTCATCATCGTATTCACCGTCATCGTGGGTCGACTCTTCGACCATGGCATACTGCTGGTAGCGCTCCTTCAGCTTTTTCACATCCCTTTTGTCGTCGAGCAGCTGCTCGGCATTGCGCGGACCGCCAGGCAGACCCTTGCCCTGCTTGATAATGCACTCGGGCTTGTCCTGTGTGAGAACATCATAGCGATCGCCGTCGCACACATTGTAGTGTCGTATGCCCGTCTGGCTCTGGAGCTTATCCTGCGGATCGGGCGGAACGTAGACCTTCTGGCGATCCATCTCGGCCAGATCCGGTGGCAGATTGTCATCCAAAATGGCTGCAATCGCCTGCTCGCTGTTCTCGTAGCGCGTGAGCAGGGCACGTATGAAGCCCATGCCCAGATCGGGCAGCACATCCAGCACAGCGCTGACCTCCAGATCAATGTCGCGCGTCGACCCATTCGACGGGGGTTGAGGCAGTGGCGAGGTGGGCGTAGAGTCCTCCTCCTCTTCGGCGTCAAAGGAGTCCACGATACTGTCCAGCTCATCGGCCATGACGCCACTGGGGCAAGTGCTGACAGCCTTCTGATAGCCAGAGACCACAAAGTCCACCTTGTAGTTCTTTCTGCAATACAGATATACCTTATATATAGACGAGTATGTGGCACGGATTTGCGTCGGAGGCGGAGTCGAAGAGATTTACGTACACATTGGGACAGCGATTGAGCAGCATTTGCATGTCATGCTCGAGCGGATACTGTCGCTGGTAGTCCACCACAAATGTCTGGGCGGAGAGGCACTCCTGCAGCAGCTCCACCAGCTTCTGGCCGCGTCCGCTCGCCAGCTGTGAGCTGATGACGTCCCGCACCACGCCCAGGAATTGCTGGCGAGTCTCATTCAGCCAGCGCAGGGAATTCGCTTGGGGATTCACCATATAGATGTTCTTGTAGAGCATGGGAACAGTCAGATCATAGAAATTGGCAATGCTACGAATTAGAAAGAGACAGATGATAGAGAGAAAGTAAAAAGAGAGGGAAGAGGGAATTGTTGGCACCTTTGCACCAAGCGAAGCTCTTCGATGGTCTCCACCAGCTCTGGGCGTAGCTGCAGCAACAGACGCAGCGTATAGGCACAGTCCAAGGCAAAGAGCACCACATCATCGTAGGGCGTCTCCAGATCACCGTCAATTGGCGCTCCACCGCCGGCGCCCTCGCAGCCCTCGTTCTCCACCTGAATCTGCATGCTGAGGAAGGCACTCTCATAGAAGGCCACCGCCTCCTTAATGTCGTTCTTGTACTCCGGCTGAATGCGCAGAACGCTGTCAAAGATCTGATTCAGCAGGGCCACATTTCGGGGCTCCGAGTCGCCCACGGCAATGGCCAGATCGAACAGAAGCGGCACGGAGATCAAATAGTTGCTGTACAGCAGGCTGCTGTGCTGCTGGGGTGTAATCCATTCGGAGGCCGATTCTTTTGCGGTGCAGAGACGCATCACCAGTCGCACAACGAGTCGGAGCAGCTGGCCATACAGTTGGTTGGCCTGAGCGATCTCCTTATCCTGTGCGGAATTATCACTGACATCGGGCTGTCTGTAGTATGGATTGGCTCGTTGCAGGAATGTCACAATGGCAGCCATAGCCGACTCCTCGTACACCATATACGACCAGAATCTGTGCAGAGACACCACGAATACTTGTTTAGCCATGCTTGCTAGTTGGATTGTAGGATCAGGGGAATTCTTACTCGTGCTGGCTCAGGCTGAGCAGAAACTCCAAATCCTGACGGCAATTGTTGGCCGTAAATGTCCATTCCTCCAGTGCGGCTGCAGTCTTAAGCTTGCCATAGGAGCTCATCAGGCAAATGTAGCTACCAAAGGGCTTCTCTCGTCTCACCCAATGCTCATCCTGCAAGACACCATATAAATTTCACATAAATATGCACGCAATTACAACGAATTTGTCACTCACCAGAGCTGGGACATGCCGCTTGACGCCATCCTGTCCAGATAGGGCAAACTTTAGATCACCGAGTGGCAGTTTCTGTGGATTGCAATTGTTGTTGCTGGTGTCGTTGTCCAGCATGGCTTTTCCTCTGCTTAATTACAACTATTTGTCTTGTATGTTGATTGCAGCAGGTTTATCTACAGTTAAACATAAAATTTTGTGAATTTCATGAAATTGTTCCAGCAAAGCAGCTGCGCATGGAGCACTGACACATAAGGTGAGGCCGGCACATCAAATTGGTGACGTTTCTCTGTCACCACATCGGCATTGCCACTAAACCGATTTAATTGGAATTAAATGATGCCTTCAACTTGTAAGTAAGCTTTAAGTGCATTTCATTAATAATTGCACAAAATTACAAATAAATAACAGGTAAATAGGGAGCCCACCTTCTAACTACTACTTCGGAAGCGATAAGCAGAAATATCGAACTGCTTGTTTTTGTATATCAACGTTGTTTATCGGCGCTATCATTTGTAGCACGATGTGAAACTAAACTTTTTCAATATGAGGGTAGGGTACATAATGATACATAATGAATGTCTGAAATATCAGATAACTTTAATAAGTTTAATTTCTCAAACACTTATCATATATAGCAGCCCTGAAACTACCGCACATTCCGAGGCGCCAAAGAACCGTTGCATTTTCGTGCATGTGTATATGTTTGTGTGTGTGCACAGTATTTTGTCCAATAAAACTTTTATTTAATTTAATTTCATGTCATGTCTATTTTTACTGGCCCAAACATGTGGTCGTTCGATGAGGTATGCTAACTAAACCAATTAAAAGCGTCACGAATTTGTATTTGATTGCGTTGTTTCATTGCCAGGACAAGTGTCACATCTGCAAGCGCGTATTTTGTTGCGGTAAATGCCGCAATAAGCATCAGTTCAACACCCACGCCATTGCAGTGAGCGAGCCCCTCGCTGTGGCTAGTGCTGTCGGCATAGTCGAACATAAAATCGAAATGGAGTCGGGACGGACCACCATCTACGTGTTCTGTCCCATATGCGAGCGGAAGCCCCTTGTGCTGTGTGCGGAAATCTATGCGGAGCTATTGGCGCACATCGAGACCGCCCACCTGCCGCTGCGGTGCCGCAAGTGCTTACGCAACTACACGAGGATCGACGATCTGCGAGAGTTTAGCAAGTGCGTGGACATGCGACAGGACTGCAGTGGCAGCAGCAGCGATCTGACATCCAATTCGGAAACATCCAAGGTGACTATAAAGCAGGCGCTGGCCATGGTCCCCGCTTCGAATGCGCCAATGTGCACCAGCACCATTTCCACCCAGACCTCGCCGGGTGTGACGCCCATTTCGCTGATCAATATGCGCTGGAAGGCCAAGAGTCGTGTCACCCACGAGGAGATGATAAGCGATAGTGTCTCCTCCATCAGGAATATTTCATCCATCAGTAATGGCTCGATTAGGCGCAGCATCGGTCAGCTGACCAGCCTGCATGAAACCGTTGAAAAGGGCAAGGTAATTCGTTCCACTTCGACGCCCGTCCAGCTGGAGTCGATGTTTGCCAAGCCCAAGGAGCCGCTCACCTTCAATGCCTCCAACGGGGGACATGTGTCGAGCATCTATCAGGAGGAGCAAAGCCCGGCCCCTGATGCCAATCCAATCCAGCAGCAGCATCAGCAGCAGCAGCTGCAGCAGCAGCGTCCCTGGAAAGTGGGAGCTCGCAGCAAGATGACCGCCGTGACCCCCCTGCGTCAGGTCATGTCCAAGAGCATTCAGAAAGCCTTTGTCGAGCATGGGGCAATGCTTGTTCCTCCCCCCACTGGTCTCATGCAGCGGCGCGTTCGTCTCGATCTCAGCGATAACAATAACCACTCGGCCGATGGGGCAGCAGCTGGATCATCTGCGCTCGACCTGCGCCTTTCGCCCGTCGTTCGACGAACTCAAAGTGAGAGCTCCTCATCGGAAGTGAGTTCCTTGTTGCATCCCCATGATCTCTACCAGCGACAATTCATGCTCTCGGCCCAGAAACTGACCACAGAGTCGATTATCATTACCAGGACCATGCCCTCAAGCATGGGGGAGAGTCACGGGTCCACCGTTTACAATTCCTGCGAGAGTGTGGAGATCATCCGATCCACCTCGGAGTCGGCGGAGCTACATGTGCCGCCCATTACACCGATAACCAGAGTTTCTGGCGCTTCCATTAACAAGAAGCAGATTAAGTTTGAGACACCGCACAAGAGCCAGGAAGCAGCCTCCCAGAGCGGGGAGGAGGAGAGCAAGGATACATTCTACACACCGAATACGGGCACACCGGAGCGTCCAGAGCGGCGCCTACAGTCGATTGTGCCGCGCCAGATAAGCGGTGAGTTCTCCCCCGCCATCAAGAAGGAGAAGTCTGTGTCATTCATGCATCGTGCGTTATCGCCACCGGAACGTCCCAGAGCTCGTCCGCCGCTGCGCGAGTGCCACAAGCTGAAAACCTTCAGTGGGGTCCAGGACCTGCCAGTGGGTCAAAGTCCTGAGGAAGATGAAGATGAGGTTTTTTTGCCCACCAATGCCTCCACACGTAAAGATAAGAAGCGGGATCAGGGCACTGGGCGTCTCTGGTCCATAATGAGCACCATGATGCGTCTGCCGGCCAAATTGCGGGGCGACAAGAACGACAAAGAGAACAAGGAGAACAATGGATCATCTGGCTCCCTGATCAAACGTTGCGCCTCGATAGCAGGCTCTCTTGTGCGCACCTCGACCCGGGATGCGGATGATGTGCAGCCCCTGAAGCGGAAGCGCACTCAGACACTAGATAATCCGTACTGTAATTCCATGTCGCCGTCCAGTTCGTCGAAGCGGTATCGCATCCGGCCCAGGGAACCGATTGAGCGGATGCGACAGACCTAGCCAATAGTTTTATGTATTGTATTTCATGTTTTTTTTTTATATTCAATTAAAAGTCTTGTGTTTTTGCATATTCCGTTATCCTGGCAGAGTTGCATAAGGCGCAGCGTTGCCATACAGCCATACATACACTGATATCCCAGCGCTGGCACAAGTCCAGGTACAGTTAATTTAAATAAACCGAAACATTTGCAACGAATTTGATTTGATCCAAATAAATGGCCAAGCATACCCCCAGAGGCTGTGCGGAAGAGGCCGTTAATACGTCCTTGACGCCCATGCCGGAGGCCAATAAACTATGGATACACTGCAATCGCTGCTTCGAGCAATTTACCTTCAAGAGGCACATTTTCTTCCTACTGGCCTGCCAGCATGTCAGCTGCGAGAAATGCGTAAAAGCCTGCCTGGGACGCACGCCCAGCGATGCGCCCATCTACATGTGCCCCATTTGCCACAAGAGTGTGCGCGGTCGGCAAGTGACCAACTCGATGCCCAACATTCTGAAGCGAATGTTTCATCCGGAGCCGTGGAATCTCTCGCAAGATATCATAGAAACATTCCAGCGGAGCAATCAGAAACACTTTGATAAGTACAAGGAGAAGAAGGTGAACTAATTATGAAATTGGTTTAGGGATTCAGTTTAATTGCTTGCCTTTTGACCATGACAGGAAAAGGAAATGGATAAATTAGACAAGGACATAGAATTAGCGCAATCTGTGTGCCAAAAGCATTATCGCGATCAACAAATGCTGCGCGTGGAGCGTAGAAAACTGACCCAACGAATGCGTCAAATCAAATTGCAAGTGGCAAAGCAAAAGGAGGCGCAACGACGGTAGGTCTTTGAAAATTAAAGCGAACGACAGTTACATTTGTCCACTTCCCCTTTAGTTTTTACATCTCCAAGCGTCGGCGATCGATGGAAGCCCAGCAGTCGGGTTCCACATCGGGAAAGCTAGCGACCAACCCACCTGTTTCCAGGGCCACTCCCAGCTTTCGAAATCCAATGCCACCGCCCCAATCGGTGCAATCTACGATCGATGCAGGGAATCGCAGGCAGCAGATCACCAGCTTTGTGCACGACTCAAATAATTCATTCGACCTGTAAATGTATGCTCCGTATTTTCCTCTAACTAGATTTTGGCCAGTAAGTAGGTGCTATTTTTAATTAAATTGAAGCTTAATGTTTAAAAGCATCTTGGGAAAAGTAAATTTACGTTACATATCATTTCCAATAACCTTTTTATGCTGATCCTTTTTGTTGACCTTTTCTGTTTAAGCCCTATTTTGTTAACAATCCAATAAAGGTTAGTTTTGAAAACCAGCCAATCTTGTAGAAAATTAAGTCATGAATTGAATAAAATTATATTTTTAGTGCTGAGAGTCTCAACTGGCTGGTAATATAAGTCAAACGGCAGTCCTCACAGCTTGTCGCGTCCGTCGGTATATTTACGGTATTTTTTAAAATAAGAAGGTATATTTTGGTATATTTATGAGGATCAGGCGGGTATATTCTATCGATAAAGACGCGGTCACACTGCAAGCGACACATTTATCTTCGAATGGCAAAAAAAGCAAAAAGAAGTTGTGCATTAAAAAAGTAAATAGTCGGCGCATTAAATAGTGGGAATTGTAAAGCGTTTGGATTAACCGACCAAACTGTATGAATAAAGCAATCAAAGTAAGAGAACTCCCCAAATCCATGATGACGGCCAAGGCTGGGAGCGTGGTTATGAACTGTCGTACCTGTACACGAGCCTGCAAGCTGTATAAATCGCTCCAAGACGAGGTCGAGATTGGCACCGAGGGCACCACCACGCTGGCCAACATGCTAAACTACTGCTCGAATCTCTCATTTGAGCCCGAGGACGGCGAGACGATGCCGCAACACATCTGCCAGAACTGCATGCAGCTCCTGGAGCAGGCAGTCGCGTTCAAGCGCATGGTTATCGATTCGGACGAACTTCTGCGCCAGGGACTGAACGAAGCCAACGATGCCTTCGATGAGTACGTCATGGTTGAGATGTTAACTGACGTGCAGGGTGACGGCATCAAGCAGAGCGCCTCCTCGGACGAATCGTCTGGCGCAATGTTGGAGAATCTCAGCGAACTGCAACCAGTCGAGGAGGAATTTGTCATCGAAGAGGTGGCCGAGCATGTGGATCACGAGGACCATGAGGGCGAGGAGAATGAACAAATTCAGCTCGCAGACACGGCCGAGCATTTGGAGATTGAGAGCGTCCATGGGTACCAGCCGGCCGAAATAGAATATGTGACCATTAAGGATGAGTTCTGCTCCCTGGACGACGAGAACAATGATATTGAAGTGATGGACGAGGCATCCACAGCCGATATGCTCGATGACCGAATACTAGTGATACGCTCCGAGGACGCCATCGAGGAGATCGACGAAGAAGGCCTCGACATGGTAGAGGAGGAAACAGAAGAGCATTTGGTAAGTGGATTCTCATTCCCGTAGAGGCATTAATCCTCATCCAAAAACTAACAAACAGACATGCGAAGAAGAGGAGATCGAGGCCGAGGAGGAGGACTACCTAGAAGAGTCCCTAGAGGAGTCCAGCCAATTGCCCTGCGAGACGCTGCCGTATGTCTGCCATGTATGCCACAAGCCCTTCCGCCAGCAATGCCGCCTGAACCAGCACATGCGCTCCCACATAAACGAGAAGCTGTACAGGTGCGAGGAGTGCGGCAAGAAGCTGAAGCACCTGCGCAACTTCAAGGAGCACATGCTGACCCACACGAATGTCAAGCCCCACCAGTGCCCCATCTGCGGGCGATTCTATCGCACCACATCCAGCCTGGCCGCCCACAAGCGCACCCATGCGGAGGAAAAGCCACACAACTGTGATCAGTGCGGACGCGGCTATGCCGCCTTGGATCATCTAAAACGCCACATGCTCACGCACACCGGAGAGCGACCCTATGCTTGTGATTTGTGCGACAAGGCCTACTATGATTCCTCGTCGCTGAGGCAGCACAAGGTTAGTCACACCGGGGCCAAGATGTTCACCTGTGAGATTTGCGGCGTGGGACTGTCACAGAAGTCCGGCTACAAGAAGCACATGCTCGTCCATTCTGGCCAAAAGCCGCACACGTGCCACATCTGTGGACGTGCCTTCACATTCACCAGCAACCTCAATGCCCATGTCCGCTTGCATTCCGGCGAGAAGCCATTCAAGTGCGAGATCTGCGGCAAGGCATTCCCCACCAAGAAGCGACTCAACAGTCACCTGCGCGTCCACAACAAGGATTCGCGCTATAATGGTGTCGTTGGCACCACCACCACCACCGCCACCATCCCCGTGGTCAGCTCTGCGTCAGTGGGCGTGGGCGTGGGCGTAGGCATTGGCATGGGCATGGGCATGCGTGTGCCCAATGTACTCCAGCACGGCAGAGGTGGAAGATCCTCCACGGTCATGCCCGACGTACCTGACCAGAAAGTGTCCAACTCCAAGGTTGTGGTGGTGCTCTAGGTAACTCAGCAGCGGCAGCGGTAGGTTTAGGAATTCTAGTGGCTTAAGGCTAGCCTAAGAAAATATCTACGAATATATATAGACTATATATTGTGTGTAAATACTGCGGCTAGCACGCGCAGAGAAGAAAAGTGAAGGGACAAAAGCAAAGGGCGTGCATGCAGCTGTTTTAAATTGTATATATCCTTCATGTCGCACGATTAGTTTAAGTTTATCTACTTAAAGCCAAAAAACTATTTCTTAAACGTTAGTTGGATCATATTGAGCACATATTGGAATGGAGCAGCTCTGTAAAAAGATTCCTCCGGTATTCCGCCTTGACAAAGTCTACGTACAATTTTTTTAAAATAAATTTTCCTTTTTAAATTTTAATCGTGATTTTGTACATATTTTAAGCTCTGTCCAAACGTGACTTTAGCTGTACATTATGTTGGTGAATATGTGAAATGATCGTGAAAAAATGGAGACGAGAATAAAATTTAAACAAAATTAAAAATTGTTCCAAAATATGATTCAAGTCAAGAAATAAAAGAAAGCGACAAATCCGACAGAGATATAGTGCAAAATCTGCTAGATAATACAGCTACAGAAAGCGAAATTAAAGAAAAACAGGGTAAAGCTTAGGCTTTGGGCTTTCGGTACAGGCTACGCCATGGATTTGGCCATGAATTCATGCTGGGACTAGTCACCCTTGATATCATTGAGGACTAGTCACCCAGGATTCTGTGTGTCAAAACTCTCTAGTTCTTGTATGGCATATCATAGGAAGAGTCCCCGCCACACAGGACCCAATCATGCAGCAGGATTCATGGCATTTTTTTCATAAAAGACTAATACTGCAAGGATCAGGATACTGGATTGCAAAAAGCTATTAGGGCCCCACAAGAAACACTATAAATTTTCGATTGTTTGGATTTGTTTCGTCTTTGGTTTGTTTTTGTTTTTGTTTTTTTTAAGTTGTAATTATATAATTAATATAAAGATAAGATAACATTTGCCGTGCAACGAAAACCAGCATTGTAATTCATTGAAAACCAAAAGTGTTCGCTTGATTTATTAATGTACAAAAAGAAGACGATATTTTTCACGTGTATTTCCTCGTATCGTATACCCGACCACCAGCATTTAGCCATCCTATATGTGGCTCGGTTTTTGTGTGCTTTTGGGAGTGTAATTTTGCGTCTTTGTGGCTGTCTGGATTGATGGCGTAAATGGCGTAAAGAAACACTGGAAGGGATTTGGTTTTGGGCGGGCATTGGATGATGATTTAACGTCCCAGAAGGTTGCGCGTCCATTGCTTGACCATGGGCTTGGACTTGGCTCGCTCAAGGCGTTCCTCCTCTTGCATTTGTTCGGCCAGCTTGCGCTGATTCTCTCGGAATTGACTGATTGGATCCTCAAACTGGCGATAATAGTGCAGGGTTTCCCTCACATCTTCCACATTGTTCTGGGCAATGACTACAAACGAGTGAAATAAACTCTGATTAGTGCTGAAGGGGCAAGGGGCAAGGGGAAACCGGCTGAGTGCGGAACTTACTTTTTAAAAAGTACACCAGATCAAGGAGCTGAGTGTCATCGTCGTTTCCATTCCAGCGAGCGATGCCGAATGTGTTATCTGGATGCATTTTTGTGGCATTATCATCCCAGTCAACCACAATCACCTGCCGCAAACAAAACAAAAAGGATTAAAGGGAAAGCGAGTGGTTGCCTCATTCATTTCCCGTCTCTCATCTTCACTTACCTTTCTCAGATCCCGATTCAAATTGTCCAAATTCTTGACATGATGGCCATCGACAAAGTGCGTGGCATCGCGCACCAGACGGTACATGATATAGCCATGAGGATCGAGTGCATCCAGAATGGGGAAAACTGTCATGCCCTGCTCTGCCGTGAACACGACAATTTCATACTCTTTGGCCAGTTCGGACAAAAAGTGATCAACGCCCGGCCGCTTCTTGAAGCGCCAACCGGTCTGATACGTCCAATCGGGATGCACCAGAACGTCCTTCATCTCGAGGACAAGCGTATATTTGGGCTGTACATAGGGATGCTGTAGGGGATCGGGCAAGAGCTTATCACGCGACGGCTCCTGTATCATCTTTTGGTAGTAGTGAAGCGATTTCCACATGCGTTGGAAATATTGCTGGATCATGGGCTTGTGGGTGAACTCATCCTCAATGGTCAGCCCATTGGGATCCACATCGGGCTTCCCAAATTCATAGAGGGCCCAAAGACCACCGACGACGGCGCCGCCACCAAACACGGCAAACCTAATCAGTTCAGAGGGAATGTTCAGGGAATTCCTTTGCAGTCTTTCTTTTGCGGTTACGTACCCCAATTTCATGCGCTTCCACGCCCGCTCATTTTCCTTAGTCTCCTCCTCTTCGCGCTTTTGACGCTCCTCCTCCTCGCTTTTGTTTGTCTCGGGCGCAGTTTGTGGAAATAGCTTCGACAGTAGCGTAGCATTTCCGACATCGCCTGCGACTGGTGCAGGCTCCTCCTCTGCAACGAATGTCAATTTATGTCAATGGAAATCACTCAATTATCTAAGGTTCGCAATTGGCACTTACTGCTGGCTGTGCTGCTATAGCCGCGCACCGTGCACAGAGCACGAGGAAGAATCGACCTAGTCTTCTGATGATTACCCAATGTGCGTTCAAATGCTGTGAGGACGGGCGCTCGCCATGTGTTGACTATTCGCAAAATTTGGATGCTGCTAACCGGAGCCATGCTAGTGCCAATTTAAATATTATTCCACGCACGAAAATTCCCCGCAAGGATAAATATTAACTAATAATTTTTGTTCCAAATGTGTCAACTTCTCTAGACCGGCATAATCTACTTTTTAAGACTTAGAGGTGACAAACCATCGATAGTTGATGGCGAATCCCCGACTGCTACGATATATGTGTCCATGCAATCAGCTGACAGCATGCAAGCGCATCACTAGACTGTTTTTAGGGACGTTGTTGCATTTTGGTTGGTTCGTCCCTTTTTTGAAGGAAAATAGAGAGGAATCCTGTGCACAAAAGTTGAAAAAAGTTGAAAAATGTCGTCTTCGCATGTGGCCACATCCGACACGTGTATTGCGCGCACCTGTCGCGTCTGCTATGTCCCCTACACGAACTGCTACTCGCTCTTCAAGCCAAACATGGTTTGCGGCCAAATCACAACGCTGGCTCGGGTACTCAGCTACTGCGTGGGCGTCGATGTGCTCGAGGAGGAGGACTTTCTGCCCGATCACATATGCGGCGGCTGTGCAACGAATCTCGAGCAGGTCATGGAGTTCAAGCAGAAGGCTCGCGGCATAGATCAGTTCCTAAGAGAGCGCCACGAGAAGTGCACCGCCAGTCTGCCAATCAGTGAGGTGAAACTGGATGCACAGCACGCGGCAGAGCTGAATAATGTGCTGGAAATAGCCGAGGAGGAACAGGAGGAGAGCAACCTGCTGGCGGGCTGCGACATTATTGAGGAGGTGCCCGAAGATGATATGCACATGGCAAGCCACATTCCAGAAGATCTATACGAGATTGTCGAAGAGCAGCAGTTGGAGAAGGAATCGGAAGAAGAGGAGGAGCAGGAACAGAACCAGGAGGACACCAGTGAGGAAGAGCAGCAGCAGCAGGAGCAACAGCCAGCAGTCAGAGCCCGAACCCGAACCAGAAGACCAAAGCCAAACTCCGCTCTGCTTCAGTGTCAGGTGAGAGCCAGGAAAAAAAACCCAACAAAAGATTTGTTTTCGATTTAACTGATTTTGTATGCGGCTGTAGATCTGCAACAAGCAGCTGAGTACATCCAACTCGTTCAAGTACCACATGCAACTGCATGGCGATGCCAAGCCCTTCGCGTGCAGGATCTGCGGGGAGTCCTTCAAGACACGCAACGCCTTTGATGGGCACATAACGACCCACGATCCAAATAATCCCAACACCTGCAACATATGCGGTAAGATCTATCGGCAGGCCTCGTCGCTGCGCACCCACATGCTCGGCCACAAGGGGCACAAGCCGTACCAGTGCCCCCTATGCGGCAAGCGGCTGACCCAGAAGTCCGGCTACAAGAAGCACATGCTGACGCACACCGGCGAGAAGCCGCACACCTGCGACATCTGCCAGCGCTCCTTTCGCTACTCGAGCAATCTCATTGCCCACAAGCGCTGCCACAGCCAGGAGAAGCCGCACGAGTGCCAGGTCTGTCACAAGCGCAGCTTTGCCAACAGCTCCGATCTGACACGCCACATGCTGGTCCATTCCAACGAGCGTCCCTTCAAGTGTCTCGATTGTGGCAAAACCTTCAAGCGTCAGATATCCCTCAATGTTCACATGAAGTCAAAGAAAACAGCGGCCATGGAGTCGTCCTCTCCGGAGTACGACGAGGAGTACTGAAAGAACTAATGTAACACGGTATAATGATTAGGTTTCTAGGCCTGGATCAGATCAGACACCCAAAAATCGGTAGTAAACGGAGGCATACGTTCTACTCAACCAGGCCCACGGCCCAATCATTGTCTCGTGTCAAGTTCATATACATATATGCAAACGTTTTCCTTTGGTAGAGCTGTGTTAATTGCTATAACTTTATCTGTAACATTCAGTTCCTTGATCGTGGCCAATAACATAAATTATTTGGATAAGAAAAGCACGAGGAGGAGCTGTCGTCATATTATGACATATGATTTGCATCCTAAATACCAGATGCCAGTATGCAATGCATGTATAAAGCACCGAGCACAGAGCACAGAGGTGGTGGTCTGTCTTGTTGAGTATTTTAGTTTAGATTTTGTTCTTTATTTTAGGTATTTCCCCATTTGTATAACAAATTTCATAAGTATAGAGTTACAAAGGTCAAACAACGATCCAACGATCTGGTTATCCATTTTCCATTATATTTTGTTTTGTTTTTGTTTTGTGTGTCCAATATATATGTTTATATATTTGTATGTCTAGCCTTAACAAGAGGGGCGGGTAGAGGTAGTGAGAGGTCGCTAAGGGAGCAAGCAATTATGGGACTGGACTTGTACAACTCTCGAATGTTTCTCTGAATGGCGCGCGAATCTCAATACGAAGGGAGGGGCCAAATATATATATATATGTATATATATATATATATGTATATATTTTTGGGGCTGGATTAATTAAAATGTGAATGTTATTCTTCATTAACTTGTTGTCGGTCGTTCGTTCGTTCGTTCGTTCGTTCGATACAATACGATTAATGTATGTACTATAATAAATAAAATAGAAATGTTACAGAACAATGTGAGTGCTTGCGTGTAATACTTGGCAGAAATTAAATGAGAATAGATATTGTTACGTGTACGCATATAAATAATAATAAACATGTATCCATTATATATATATACGATATATCATCACAAAAAATAGCATTAGAAAAAAAAAATAATTATAATAATAATATGTACCACTAATGTTAATTCATTAAATATATATGAAACACAGGAATAATAATATCAGTATTTAAAAAACAAACAAAAAAAGAAAAACAAAAAGTAAAAGTAAAAGCAAGAAAGAAAATGTTACGTTTTATGGATAAATGGAAAAAGAGTTGGAGGCACACTCGGGTACGGTACTCCTGCGGCCGCTGCTAATCCTTCTCCTGCTGCTGCAGCAGTGCGGCAATCTCCTGGAACTTGTGACGAAAGTCCACGCTGCTCTCGCTGATCACGGACATGCTCGATGAGGGGTCCTGGGCACAATTAAAATACAAGAATTCGTAAATATTAAAGGGTTTGTTTGAGTGCTGCGGCTCATTTAATTCTCACTATTATATCCCTGGTGGCATCGATCTCATCCAAATGGCCAAGCAGCGAGGTCAGCGAGAAGTCATTGATGTTCTCCTCCAGCCAGCGTGCATTCGAGGTGGAGTCCCGCAGCAAATGCATCGGACTCACGCTGCCACGAAAGAAGTTTTGTGCTGCCAAGGAAGATACGGGATTTAAAGTCATGAAAATCTCTACAGTGCCAGTGCCAGTAAAAGTGCCAGCCAGCCACTCACTTGTGCTCTCATCTTGAGCTGCCTCTGGCAGCGTGTCGTCGGCCATTGATGATGGCGGAACAATATCCAAATTTGGCATATCTCTCGCTGGTCCACGGCTGGCTCCGGCATCCTGCATGGCCTGCATGGCTTGCATGGACTCTGGCACAGTGTGAGTGTGCTGATGCTGATGGCGCTGATCCTCCGCGATGACTCTGATGCCAGTGGTGAGACCGGCACGCTCAATCGGCTCAAAGAGTCCGTTGTGCAGCTGACGCACACTCAGCTGGTCATAGGGACGACCGGGCACGCCAGCCCCCGAGCCGGGCAGCAGGAGCCGTCGATGCACCAGAACCTGCCGGTTGATCTTCTGTCGCGTGAGCTGCGTATAAAAAGGGAGAAGTAAAGTGTAAGCTTGGTCTGGGGTTGGCGGCTTGGGGGGGTTGCTGGTGCCGGCAAAACACTCACCGCCGATAGCTGACGCACTGGATCAATGAAATGGGCTATGGGACGTCGCACCGGCAGCATGGGCGTACGAAAAGTGCCCTCCCCGGCGGCGGCAGCTTCATTGGCCCCCGCCAATTGCTGGGCCTTGCTCATCAGGTCCCGCTTGCGATCGCAGGTATGGCCACAGTTGCACTGACGCTTGCGCACACGCTCACTGAGATTGGCCACCAGCAGCAGATGCTTCAGCTTATTGCTCACCGTCGATGTGGTCACGGCCTTGACGCGCTCCACGCTATCACAGTCATTGGTATTGTATGGAAGCGATGTGGCCGATGTGGCTGGTGTGGCCGGTGTGGCCGGTGTGGTCGCCGGCACAGTGGAGGAGTGCGAGTGGGACTGTACTGTCTCTGCCTCGCACCAGTAATACTCCAGCTCTACTTTGGAGTCCTGTCCCAGCACCACATACAGATCCCCAATGGTTATGTCCGCCGCACTCGACACGGTCCAGCCTCTGCGCATCCGTTTGATGGTGTTATCGCTCAGCAGCGGCTTAAAGTTACGGGCAGCAGCGGCTGCGGCCGCTTCTTTTGCCTCCTTGCGCTTGGAACGAGCAGCTGCCGCGGGCGCTGTTGGTGCTGGCACGGGTACGGCCGGAGCTGCAGCTGCCACTGCAGCTGGCGGCGGCGGCGGTGGTGGTGCTGGTGTTGCTGTTGGTGCTGGCGGCGGTGCTGCTGGTGCCACAGCTGCGCTGATGATTGCCGCTTCGCCGGATGGAAGGAACTCCTTCGTGTCCTCGACCAGCTCATCGCCGCTGCACACCTCCAGCTTCACAGCTTCCACCTTCACAACTTCCACCTTCACATTGACAGCTTCCAGCTTGACTGGATTGTTCTCGGATGGCGGCAGTGCAGCCTCGTCGAGGGACTTTTCTAGTACTGGACTGGCTCTGGTCTTGGGCTTCTTGGCCTCCGGTGAACGCTTCTCAGAGCCACTCTCGGTGCGTGGTCGCTTACTGGCGGCCACCGCCACCGCCGCACTATTGCCCAGGGTCTCGCTGCGCACTTTGACGCCCATGCGCTCCTCGTAGGCGGTCAGGCAGATGTCGATGCTGTTCAGGTGGGCCGTGATGTTCAGCAGGGGCCGATGGATGGCCACACCCGGCTTGGGCTGGAAGCACAGTGACGGCTCCACTGGTGCTGCTGGCGCTGTTGGCGTCTGTGGTTGCTCTGGTTCGTTGTTGTTGCTGGATGCGGGTGTGGATGTGCTGGTGGCGGCGGTGGTGGTGGTGTTGCTGGCAGTGGCAGTGGCAGTGGCAGAGATGTTTGGATACAGGGAAGACTTCTGTTCGTTCAGTCGCTGGTTGGCACTGCGCCATTTGTACTCAAATATCTTGATGAAACTGACGAGCTTCTTGTGCAGCGGCACAATGATGCGACCCCTGGGATTCTGGGCCAACGATTGGACCCGCCCGAATGTCTCCATGTTAGCTGGACTCAGCAGCACCTCCACCTTGCTGGGCAGGCGTATGTCATCCAGCGAGTCTAAAGAAGAGAGCCAACAATGAGTTTCTGGGCGCGGCAAGAGATTCAGTTATGTGTTTGGACTTGCCATCGAGCTGATTGAGACGACGCAGCGCCTTGCAGGAGGGCGTCTTGATGCGTATGTTCTTGCCCTTACAGCGGATTGTGATCTGGCCCTGGTAGATGAGCGGCTTCAGCTTCATGAAATGCTTCTCGGTGAGGAACTGCAGCTTGCGACGCATTTCGCCGTAGTTGATCAGTGTGTACAGCTCCTGGGCGAGTTTCTTCAGCTCTACAGAGAGAGAGAGACAGAGAGAGAGGGAGAGAGAGAGTAATATGCATGCGTTAGACCAGGGGCTAAGGATTGATGTTTGAGGCGGTTCACTTACCATCCGAGTAGCGCACATATTTGCAGATCTTGTGATAGGTTTGATAGTAGTGCTGGCGCACTTGATCCTTCGTCTTGAAGCTGTATTCGCTGTTGGCATTGCGGCGCTTTAGCTTCGCATTAATGCAGTTGGCCACCGCCTCAAAGTCCTTGCCAAACTCGTTCAACGCATCAAAGAAGCAATTCCTTTCGACATTCGTCCACGACGTCCTGCCATTGACTGTCCTTATCTGGGATGGTGTCTTCTGGGTGGGCTTCTCCTCCTTCTTGCTGTGCTCCTTTTCGGGTGGCGGCGGCGTCATTGGGCGCGTCTGGTCTTGCTTCATTTTCTGTATCACCCGTGCACTGGCACGCGTCCCGGGACAGTTGTGTGTGATGACAGAGCCGAGCAGCTCCTCCACGGGCTCGGCTGTGGCTGCAACTGTGGGGGGCGCCAGCTTGAAGTGCACTCCCTTGCCATTGTGCTGATGCACAAGGGCGGGGACAGTGAAGACCTCCGTTTCTTGAGCGACAACAACGGGAGCAACATTTGCAATTGCTGCTCCTCCAGCACCAGCTACTGATCCAAGGGAGGCGGATTTCACATTCTTACACATTTCTTCCATTTTATGCCACTCACATGGGCCACCACTGGAATCGTTTGCCTGCAATTAGACGAACCACACGGATATTGCGTTGTCTATCTGGTCGGATTTTGCATGAAAAGCGAAAAAATGGCGCTTGGCGAGAGGGGAATTAAGCGAATGTTTGCTATCGTCACCGCCCTGCTGGCCACTGCCATTAGCTCAATGTATTGCCGGTTGTCTTGGCTGTGGCCTGGTGTTGTTGTCGGTCCACTTACCTAAATATCAGACATGCAAAATCGGATGGTTCACTTAATAAAAAAAAAAGTTATAGACGCTAGGGATGTTGATGTCGCTTAACAGCACACTGTTCCAAAACAAAAGCCGTACACTTGGGGCGCTATAAATGTGCTGTAATGCGCACCATCCGTAATGTTAATCAACAGCGCTCTGTTAGCCGCGATAACAATTCTGTTGTTCGGAAGACGGCGCGACGAGTACACACTGGCAAGCAATTCCAAATGGCAAGTATTTTTTGTTTGTTGATTGTTTGCTTTTGAAAATACAAGTAACTTGCGTTCTAATGTTGTGCAAATTTTGTGTGGTTTACATATTCGTTCGCCTTTGCGAAATGTAGTGCCAAAAACACATTCAGCGATCATTCGATATCGATAGGTTCTGTTAACACAGCGTCTTGGGCAGCCGCTTTACCTCTGATTGGAGTTATTTGATTTGGTTTGTTTGCTTATAATAATAAATGAAATACCTTGCGTTTTTTTTGTTTATTTTCTTGTGCAAAATGTTCCTGAGAGTCGGGACCAAAACGAGGGCTATTTTAACCCATTCTATCTGTACGGCTACCGACGCCATTTATCGATAAGTGACATCGTCAACCGCGCGGGGAACGTAAATCAATTATGTATTTGTTTGTTTTTTCTCGTTTAACTATTACAAAATCATTTCCCTGTTCGAGTGTCGAAGCCCGCCACAGAAGTATGCACTCACACACATACACACACAGATCCCGTTATGATATTTCAGCGCGGTGCTCCATGTTGTGTTTTTTGTGTTGTTTATTTTTTTTGTTTGTATTTTCTTAGTTTAAAATCTTAAACGTAATGGAAAAAAAATTATATTTTCTTTATGTGGTCGCCTTACAAATAAATACCAACAAATAGTAATACTAGCAGCACAGCAACGAGTATCGTAATGAGCATTATCTTTTTCTGCAACGAACAACAAGAAACGAGAGTGGCGTGGTGAGTACAGGTTTTATTTACTAGTTATTTATTTACCAGCCAGGCCAGCAATTAATCAATTTTAATCATGTTCACCTCACCTTCCGCGCCTTTTTTTGATGCTTCTCGGCCTGATCGAGCTCCACGGCACCCTTGTCCACATACAGCGTTGCCTGTTGGGCATGGAACTCCACGCGCTGTATCGTATCACTCTGCTCCATCACCAGCGTTTGGATGCGCATAAACAGGGCGTGCACATCCTCAATGGACTTCTCCAGCTTGCGCAGCTCGTTAAATCGATCCATGAGATCACGAAGGGTCTGCCTCTCCTTCTCCGTTTCTTGCAGGAACTTAATCAATCGAAAAATACATCCATACTATTAAGTTGTCGCTTCAGTTGGGGACTCCACTCTACTCACATTGTCCACGAAAAGTTTGGTGGTCTTGTTCTCCATGAGCAGCTCGATTTCCTGCTCACTGGCCTCCGAATTGACTAAAATATATACATACGTAAGCGAGCGTTTACATTAGAGACAGCTAAATCGGCTGTCGGCAGCTCTTACTTACTGATTTTTGAGTGCAGGCGCAGGTTCTTTTTAATCTTAAGCTCGTAGTTTTGTAGAAAGAGCTCGTTCTTCTGCCACAGATTGATGTATGTCTGGTAGAGGCCATAGAAAAGGGTGCGTTTCATTCTCGCCTCCAGGCTATAGTCGTTCTCAGGCGGCAGGTTGGTCTTGAATTCCCTGAAGCGGCTAATCAGCTGATTGCCAAGGCGCAAGTTTTTATTGTGCAGATCATCCATCTCGTTTTCTGAAAGGCAACGGCAACGGCAGCGCCAACCAAATCAATTTCGACTCAAATTGAGTTGAACCCGTAGTTACCGTTAAATGTGCGCAGATTAATGGTTTGAGTCATGCGGTTCATGGCCTCCAGATTGGCAGCAATCTGTGAGAGCTGCAAACGGATCTGCGAGTACTACAAAGAAAAGTTGGGTATTTTTTTTTATTATAAATATTTCGCCGATAGATACTGCGTGAGTGAGTGCTCGGACGCACGAACGAAGAGGAGCACGAATGAAATAAGTGAGGACACTATTTATACTCTGTTTAGGTAAATAGGTACGAAAATAGAATGAAAATCAATGTAGCAGTGAAAGAATTCACAAAGTGGAGAGGCAATAACTCGAGTAATTCGAATGTCTACGGCCTTGATTTCTTTCTTCCATTTTATGCGAATCTTTTGTAAATTTTGGCTTTGTCTCAAAAGGTTGCCGTTTAGTTAAGGGCGTACCATGGGAATGGTCATGGCCAGATTTACCCTGTACCATAATACACCTTGTGCATTCCGGCATACTTTTGGGCTGCCTCTCCTATTTCTTTTTCAGCTTTTTGCCAAATTCTTAATTCTCTGTCGTTTGTCGGTTACCAAGTGCAAAAATCTTTGTTTACATGGGGTATTGAGAGCAATACACCGCCGGAACCTCATGGGTGATAAGTGAGTGGGTGTGGTTGTTGGTTGTATTCAAAGAAAAATAGTAAATGTATGGGCAAAAAATGTACATATATTTTTTTACGCTTATCACGAGTTTACGCGTCAATTGCGTGATACATAACTGATTCATACAAATAAAGAAGCTTCCAAAAAATAAAGGGACGAAATAAGAGATGGGGGGAGGGAAAGAGAGATAACGGGTGTCAAAGAGAGAAAAGGATGTTACAGTTATACGGGGTAATATTTATATTTCTTGTGGAAAGGGTGGCCTGGCGAGAGAGTGAGAGAGAGAGAGGGCAGGGCTTGGCTTGTTGCTCTTCACTTACCGGATTAAGAATGTCATCTACATTGGCTCCATATTGCGACATTTTCGTGCTCCCTCGGTCCTTGTTCCCTCGATTCTTGCTCTCGCTGCTGATAGTATTGTTGTTGTTGTTGCTGTTGTTGCTGTTGTTGGTGCTACTGATGATATAACTGTTTGCGCTGTTGCTGTTACTATTGTTGTACTCTGTTGTCCCACTGTAAACGTTGAGCAGGAGTGAGCCGTTGGAGGAGGAGCTCGATTGAGAGCTCAGCGAGCGCTACCGAAAGAGAAGGGAGAACAAGAATAACTGTAATGTGATCTCTAAAAAACGCACTTAAAATGCTGTGAGAATAAGAACATTTTTGTATATTGGCTTTACTGCTTCGCTTGCCCAACCTGGCGCCGTGTAAAAGTACAATAAAAATGACTTCAAAAGTGAAATCCACTTAGTGCCAAAAGTGTGAATGGGGGTACGGTACGGGGGTACAGGGTACCGGGACCCAGGCCGGGCAAGTGTGATATTGCCGTATGGGGGTTGGAGGCGGTTATCGCTGTTATCTATGGGGAATCTGATAAATATTTAGCACCCCAACCTCCCCACACTATCGGGGGCTCCTCAAGGCACAAAACAGCGCGAGAGAGAGGGAGCGCGCGAGAATTAGTAATTGAGGGAGGAAGAGCGATCGGTCACAGTGGGAAGGAATGCGAAAAATAACCGACAATAAGAAGTGTTTGTGTTTTTTACATCTCAGAGAGAATGCTGCAAGTTTTTGGTAGCCGTTTGGTATTCTTTGTATGCTGCATTGCAGTTTAATGTACCTTTTTTTTTTTAATTTGATTTTGAATTTTTAATTTTACGAATATGCAAACTAAATGATTATAGTTCTGGGAACATTGAGTAACTTTTTAATTTTATATATACGAAATAGCTCCTGGGGCCCACTGTGCGTACAACTAATTGGCTGTTACCTCATACAACACTTCAGCCAACAGCGTCTGTTATTACCTGCAAAAGCTCCGGTAGTCGATCACGGCCCATGGTTTTTTTTGTTGTTGTTTAGCTTTTCTTTTTAATATAATTAATATATGTATTTTGGTTGCACTTTTTGTTGAGTCGCTTTGTTGTTGTGGTTGCTTATTGAATGTTGCTCATTGAATGACACTCGCTGCCACAGCTGTTCGGGAACTGTGTGTTGTTCCTGCCTGTTCCGCAGGTATGCGAGAGCCCAAAGAGCGTGGAAGAGCAGTTGTGGACAGAGAGAGAGAGAGAAGGAGAGAGCCGTGCGCGTGAAACTTTGCCGTTTAACTGTTATCGAAGCTTATCAGGCGGCTGAATGCTTATCAAAAAAAACCAACGAAATATTTGTGGAATGCCCTTCACAGAGAGCGGCAAGCGAGCCAGAGCCGGAGCCAGAGCGGGAGCCAGAGACAATTGTCTCTTTGTTGCAATTTTATTTACTGAGGCCGCCTTCCATTATAATCACTCGCTTTCATTTCTTATATACAATGTACGTAGATACATATGTAAATATGTAGCTATCGCTTCCTTTGCACTTTTTCCGCACAACAAACAAAAAAAATATAAATAACTTATAACTATTTGATATATTATTTTATCACTTTTTTTTTGTTTGCCAATAAATTGGATTGGACAAAATGTTATCGCTTTGATGTCTCACACGTTTGCCGTTCGTCTTCGAACTAAAATTGACGCCGGCACACACGAATAAAAAAAAAAACAACCTCTCTGGATTCCAGAGTCAGAAAGTCGCGTTCAGATTTCTTTCAATTCAAAAAGATTAAAGACACACACACACACACACGGGCATGGGAGTTTGTGTGTGTATGTGAGAGATAAAGATAAAGACTTGTACTATGTTTAGTTACACTCTCGATCTACTTTTGTCTCTGGAACGGAGGAATACCCGCCTGCTGAGGCGAATCTCTGAACCGGTATCCGTGAGTCGGGGCCGCACTTTGCACACTTTATGTGTGCCACAAAAATGTGTTAATTGTTTTTTATTATTATTATGTATTATTATTATTATTACTTTGTATATGCTAAATATTTTTACAAGCAACGTTTTGCTTTTTTTGTTACGGTGCGGTTCAATTGACGGCAGCGGAGACGACGACAACGGAGACTACGCGGCCAGTGGAGGCAGCCACAGCAGCAACAGCCACAGCCACAGCAGAGCAGCAGCGACAACGTCGACGACGTCGTCCAAAAGTCACTTGCGCTAATTAGTTGAGCTCTTTATACCCCCGGTATGCTCGTACAGCAGCAACAAAGGGTATGCATATGTATGGGAATCGTGTTAGTGCATGCCAGCTAGCAGGAACGGTCCAACTGCATTTAAAAGTCACCACAGAATCACATTCAAAATATTGTAGAATATTCCAGCTGGTTCTCCGACTCTGTACCACTCATTAATCTCACTTATTGTTAATACTATCGATTTACAAAAATTAATTCCTTTTTCCATGCGGGGCATTGGCACATTCTCGCTCTCTCTCTCTCCCAGAGTGGCAGTTTTGTTTTGTCGCACCGAGTAGCGGGTATTTTAATGTTCGAGAGGCACTGGACAATAGCGTTCTCGCTGGTGTGGTTTCCACGAGTATTACTCTTTTTGCGCTCGTGCCTGTGGTGAGACCAGGTTGCCATAATACCCCGCATGCAGTTTGCGGGGAAGCATGCGGGGAATAACAGGCAACACAGCCTACATTTATAGATTGAGCTAAAGCTAAGCATGAGCTAGATTTATATATGTACATATGTACATATGTATGTGTATGTACGATGCAGCAACAAAGTGATAAAGATTTAATAAATCCATGTGGAACATCTCTTTGTCAAGAGAAACAGACAGCAGCAAATGTCCCGGGATACTCTTCCTAGCTTTTTTTTATTATTAATTATTTTTATTTTATTTATTTAACTTTGAAAATATATTCCAGAAATATGTGGGAGAATTCTGTACGAAAATTCAATTCCAATGAGTGCCGTATTTTAAGTTTGAAAGATTAAGAGGCAGCAAGTTCTTTCTTCAGGCTTTTCAAATGTACATAAATTTAATATATTTGTAATTTATTTATTTTTATGAGTAACATTGCTTTGCCATTCATTGCAGTGGAATTTTTATAGAGTCATGCTTCAGGGCGATAGCCCCCAAGGGGTAATCAGGTTTCCAATTGTGGCATGCACGGACCCAACTCATTTGCCTCCAAAGATCTTTTTCAAATAAAAAATAAGTTATTACAGAATCATATTTTTTGGGTATTCCAATGGTCGAATGCTTTTTAGCTAAAAGGGTCGCGGGTCTCTTACATGTTTTGTTGTTGTTCTTGCGGTTGCAAAACGAAGCTTAAAAGCGCTGCCCTCCCCCTTGGCAGCAACACCGTCAACCATCAATTTGCAAATTCCCATTTTCTCATTCAATTCGCAATTCTTTTCTCAGGGCAGACAAAGACAGAATATCGGTTGAATCGTTCTCGCATATATATATATGTACATATGTACATAAATATAAAGGAACGGGATAGTGGCGGGGGTTTCAAATAGTACGTGATAATACTACATATGAATTTACTCTAGAATTTCTAGTAAATTTCTGGTCGAAATAAAGCTTATTTCGATTTGCAGATCAATAGATTTTCTTTGGGCTTTAGTTGAATCTATACTATATCTATATCTATATCTATGAAAGATATTCAGAGAATTGCAATTAATATTCCAACCTTAGAATACATTTATTCAGTATCAAGCGGCTATATCCTTTAGCTATACCATCAGATTTTAGATCAGAAAGAACAAATTTAATTTTTTTGTTGCTCAAATTTCGTTTGTCTTATTAGTTTATCGTTTAAATGAATAATTTGGTTTTTTTTCATTGCAGTATTATGTGACTCTCTGGTTGAGTGTCAACCACCTGGGAAGTGCAGGCAGGCACACCTCACCGGTAAGCTGAGCTTCGATTCATCGCTCGAATTCACACGTTGAACGCTGGACTGGACGGAAAGTCATTAAATTGCCAGAGACATACAAATGCAAACACAAACAAACAAATATACAAACATACATAAAGACATTTTTGCACATTGAAACTCGTATGGCACTCGTGACTCAATGGAGAGTACATACATATGTACAACAAAGTTAATTCCAATTAATGCCTGAATACAAGTTCTTGAGAGTTTTCATGGGAGAAGGAGGAGAATTCATTTATTCGTTCGTTGTATAAGGAAGATATTGTTGATATTATTTATAGTACATATATATGTATATATTGCGAAGCTATGTACATATGTATATTTTTCCATCATATGTACAGAAGAAGATGTCCACATGCTGAAATTATTGACCAGTTTCCAGCGAGCCAAAAGCGATGCAGCATCTTGTTGCTTAAGGCAGACCAGAGCATCTGGGAGCAGAGGGGAATTCAAAAGATAATTCCTGATATACATGTACATATATTGTACGTGCGAAGTCTAATGGATAATGGATGAACGAATGGAAGCTAAGCTTTCAAATAAGATCCAATGGGTGCTACAAAATTTCAGACTAGTTTTTTTTTATTGGCTTGTCGGTCTGCCCATCAGGAGTATACATACATATATTTCCATAGTATGTGAATTATTTATAATTTAAGAATTTTCTTGAATTTCAGCCTGCCAGAACGATAAGAGCCAGGCACTTGATCTGTAAGAATGCGATTGAAGAAATTAGGATTGCCTTTTAGCAGGCTGGCGGAGACTGGAGACTGATAAACCTTCTGGACACACTGGATACGCACGACGGATGACACTTGAATCGGTGGTGACGGTGTGTGAGCCACTGCGTATACTCGTTATTTTTGATATTTGATAATTCAGAGGCAACAATGAAACGAGCAGAGTGTGAGTAGGAAATAAACAAATAAAACTAATACTAAATACCTATTTTATATTATTATATTAGTGTTATTTTAGATGAAGATTTCCCAGGAAATATCCATATGTGACGGCGGCAAAAGCATTCGAGATTTCGAATTAGTGTGGCTAATTTTTTAAATGAAAGGTTTTGTTTTGTTTTTCCCATTGTTTTAAGCATAGATATCGACCTTTATTTGTGCGAGCATGTGGGTCGGGCCATATGCACAACTAAAAAGTTACCAAGAGATGAAAAGGCGCGTGGGACACAAGAAGGATGCATGTCCTGGCTCAGAGGCCCGCCCCCCCCACGCCGATACTATAGTACGCAGCGTGTGTGCGCTTTTTGACTTTTGATTAAATTCGCACGCGCCAAAAACTCGAACAAAAAATAAATAAAAAAAAAAGTTTTCCAAAAAATGAACAAATATAAACGGCAAATTCCCCACAAGTGGGGAGTGGAGTCCAGACTATGGATATACCCTTTTCTGGTTCTTTTTTTGTTGTTGCTAATTTTAAAGGAGTAAGGAGAATGATTTTCAGTAGAAGAATATAAATATATTTAGGTTAAGGTTTTTGCTTAGTTTTAATGAACTTTGTTTTTAGTTTCCTTTTATTTTTTGTTGTATTTTGGTTTGGATTTTATTAACGAACAAATCATGTCCATATCAAATTCCCATAACTAGTATTTCTTGGAGTCTTAACTCTTCCCAAGACATGCGTGTAAAAGGCACTTCAATGGAAGTAATATTAGTATAATATAAAAACTAAATAATAATTAAATATTCTGCCTACAACCAAATCCAAAATTCCTTTGTACACCTCTCTCCGTATGAGATACAAGAAATATTCCAAAATTGAACTCTTTTTCGGAACAACAATACAAAAAAAAAACGTGTGTAGACAAATTGCTTTTAAAGCCTTTAAGGCATGTTGCTGGGTATGTGCCCTGGTGCCCTGGTATGGGTTGCAGATTGATCCACACCAATTTAGATGCTCGCGCCCAAACTGTGCCACGAAATTTCAAAATTCCCATTTTCCATTTGCATAAAAGTCACACCGAAAACAAAACTAAAATAAAATAAAATAACATAAAATAAAATAATAATATGAAACAAATTCCCTTTCTCTACTTTTTGTCTTAACTTTTTGTTTTGGTTTTTTTTTGCTAATGCAAATTTGCGTCTAGTTTTTTTTTGTTTGTTTCTTGTTTACTGTGGCTGGGGAGTTTATCGTGTTGGGGCTAAGTGGTGCAGGAATGGCAGCAGTTTAATGCCCAGAATATTGTATGGAAAGGAAAGGACTTTCCCGACATCACAATAATGTGAATTATTCGCATTTGTTTATGCTTTTAGTTTGTGTTTTTTTAATTAAATTTGTTGCTCGCGACCAGAAAAACTCACCAGAAATACATACACCAAAGCTTTTACTGCCGGCTAACCATTGTTATTTTCTGTGCGCTTTTATTCATCAATTATGGCAGTGGTATACAGTTTCTCTTTGTTTAATTTAGGAGCGCATGGGGATGAAGTACTCTAACATATGAGAGATTTCCACAACTCATTACTCTGGAATACAATGGGAGACTGGCATACCAGTTGCCAGGTAGCCCATGCCCGAAGGAAGGAGGAGCAGACAATAAAGGCAGGTGCACAAATAACATTAAAGCGAGTACCCCATGTTCGAGGCTGGATTTGTGACACTTTCTGGCAACTGCACAAGATTTCAACATTCCTAGAAACTCCTTTAAAGACGTATAAACAATAAATAATTCGAAAAAAAAACATTAAAATATATAAAATAAATATAAAGATAAAATAAGTATAAAGATAAAATAAATATAAACATAAAATAAATATAAAGATAAAATAAATATAAACATAAAATAAATATAAACATAAAATAAGTATAAAGATAAACTAAATTTAAAGATAAAATAAATATAAAGATAAACTAAATTTAAAGATAAAATAAATATAAAGATAAAATAAATATAAAGATAAAATAAATATAAAGAATTACCCTTTGAGATTCCTCCTCCATCCTTGGGTAGTTTTTATGTGCTGGCTGCTTCACTTTAAAGTTTAAACTACAATTTTATTCTTTATTTTCTTTGTTTTGCTTCTTTTCAGATTTATCTCTCCACTTCCACATCCCATTGTCAGGTTTCTGCCTCAATTTGCAAGTCGCCTTTACTATGTGTGTGTGTGTGTGTGTGTATGGATAATATGGAAATTTCATCGTTTTGCTGCTTTCCATTGTTCATTTTGCTTGGCATCTTTGGGCTTTGGGCGAAAGTGTCGGTTCCTGTCGCAGTCCATCAACCGGTACGCCCCATCGTCGCCTTCTACTTTGTAGTGCCTGGTGGGACTTTATTATAAACAAATAGGAGTAACACTTTCTTTGGCCCAGCGTGATATTGCTTCCATATCGTTACGCCCTGCGCCCCCCGCTGACAATGACACGATTCGACTTGACGCGACACGACTCGAGGCAGGCGATGCACACAGGATGCCAACACACAAACACACACACACGCACACACTGCGAATGAAATGATATACTCTATGCAGTTCCAACTATGGAATACCTATTGCTTACATTATATTATATTAATTGTTTCATTTAAAAATGATGCATAGCAAAGGTTTCCCTTGGTTTCTTTTGCTTTTGTGGATCAGCCAGCCCCTAAAATAAAAGTGAAATAGCTAAAAGAGATAGCTGAAAGCAGCTAGAAAAAGGAAGAGAGAGAGATTGCGATAGGCTGGATGCTGCATGGGAGAACCGACACAAAACAGTCGATCCGATCCGATCCGCGAGGGCAAAGCAAAGTATTGTCGCCTGCAATAAATGCCAGTCTTCCGCTGCGACATGGCCATAGGAGACAGCAATGGCAGCAGCAGCAGCAGCGAAGACCGGAAGCAACTATAGTACGAGCCGCCATTATGAATGCAGCGCCATTTCCAGCAGCTACCTATCCACCCACGCACCCACCACCACTCGCCACCCGCCACTCGCCACTCGCCACTCGCCACACGCCACACTTAGTCGTTGGTTTTGTTCAGTGTGCGCCACTCATGATGCGTATACGATAAATAATGCGACTTGGCAATTTTCATTGCTGAATTTTCGCGAGTATTTTTTTGGCTATTTAATTGTAGCATCGTTACATATACAAACAGAGCTTACATCCAATGTATTTATTGATGTGATTATGTGGTAGCATTATTTTTCATGAAATAATTTCAAAATTTCCCTGTCCATGGCGGCATTCTGTTGTAAGTATTTGTGTGCGTCGCGTCGCGTCGCTTCGTCACCTGATTTGCCGTTAGAAACGACTGTTGAGGAAGCTTTTACCGATGCAAGTGCCAGTGAAGTCAGACTTGGGGCCGTTGCGTGCAGCATCCCGGTCAGGCTTGTCCTCGTCGATGTCCATGTCAGTGGACACGTCCTGCCGAGCGGCAGATGGGCAGCTGTCTGGGTTCTTATCGTTGCTGCTTCTAAAATAAACATAATAATATATGTATGTATGTATGCACATACATATGTATGTACATATGTATGTATTCACTTACGATTTTGCCTCGTCGCTTAGGGCCTCGGCCAGCTCCTCATCGTAGCGCAACATCAGCGGCTCCGCGATCATCGCCACAACATTCGTTTTGGAGCAGGATGGCGTGTTATCAATGATATCCTGTATTTCACCGAATATCTCATCAGCTGTGCGCTTTATCTTGCGGCGTTTTTCCATTTCGCATTGCTGCATTGAGTTCTATTTTGGATGAAAACACAACAACACCAACAAAATGGCACATGAATTTCCCATTTCCCATTTCCCAACCCATTCCATTAATTTGTTCACTTACGTTCGAAGTGCTGGGCCGCTTGAAAGCTCGGCCATCATTTGGTGGCTTCTGTTCCATTTTTACACACAGAAATCAAAAAGTTTGTTCACTCGACAACGAAATGCAGCGGCAATGTGGATTTGTGGCAAATATGAACGTCAGGGCGATAATAATGATAGTGCCCAGGGTTGCTAAGGACCAACCAGTGTGCACACATCTGCCGACCACAGAAAATATTGAACCATTTCAGTTCTGTTCTTCGTATAATTATAATAATAATAATTATGAGCATTAATTATAGCTGAGAATTAATCAAGGAACTCAACTTTCGTGGCATTTGAATTTCAATTTCACTTCGAGACACAAACAACACTCAGCATGCCAGTGTTGCACAATCCGATCCAGAGCACGTCTACGTCACGTCTGTTCCTTCTTTTCTGTTCTCTCGCTTTACTTCCTTTCGTTTCGTTAAGACAAACCCTTTCGATAAGACAAACCAATTGGCTGCGGTGCGGCATTTATATTTGAAGCTTCTCGAAGAACACTCCCAAAGCAGACAAGCCAAATGCTTTCCGTGCTGCAGTTGTGTGCCTACGATGTACTGAACCGGTTCTGGGATCTCGACAATATGGTCACTCCACGCGGCATCCTGCTGCGGGACTCGTCCACCAGCCTGCAGGAGCTGGCGACCGACTTGGTTCGCTGCGGTGCCTGCAACACGCTGCCCCACGGCCAGGTCTTCCAGTGCGCCAACGGACATCTGCTGTGCTTCTGCTGCTACCAGGTGCGCATGCTGGACAAGATGCAGGCCCTCTGTGCCACGTGCGGTGTGCGGATCGATGGCGAGCACAACAGGAACAGTGCCGTGGAGCGGGCACTGGCCGAGATGCGAGTGCTCTGTGGGCAGTGCGGTGGCCGGATGCCGCGCTCGGCCCTCCGCGCGCACACCCGGGAGTGCCCAAGCCGCGTGGTGCTCTGCAAGTTCCGGGTCCTGGGCTGCAACTGGATTGGTGTGCAGCCCCAGGCCAGTCTCCAGCAGGTCACAACGATCGATGACCTCAACCTGGCCCTGGCCAAGTTGATGTGCTCCGAGTACGAGGAAACGTTGCTGGTGAAAACGGAGATGGAAGAGCTCTTGGAGTCCCCCAACACGACCACGCGTCATATCCACGTCCTTCCACAAGAAAAAGCAGCAGCAGAGACTCTGCAGCACGATTATTTGCCGGTTGTGCAGTTCCGTGCCCATGATCAGGACTGGTCGCTCCTCCTCAAGTGGCAGCCTCTCGCTGCGGGCGGTGAGAACGAAAATCCCTTCGCACTGCTCCACTTCCGACTGCGACTCGAGCTGTCAGCCGAGCGCCCTGCCGGCGCCCTGCCCTTGCTCTTCTCCTACTGCCTGGAGGCCAGCGACTACTCCGAGGTGAGCTTCTTCCCGAACCGCTCCGAGCCCTGGCAGTTCTCCAGCGAGAACGCGCTGGGCCCCTCATCGCTCATCTACTGCCACACCATGCTCCAGTGCGAGAAGCTGCTCGAGCGCGGACTCTACGTCCGCCTCAACCTCTGCCGCTGCTAGCCCCCCACTTCCCGCCGATCCCCGTCCAGGAACCCCCACCCACCACGAGTAAGTACAAACGGGTGCAGAGAGTTGTGCAGATGAATAATGAAGTGCAGTCTCCTCCTTCGACTAGGCAATGCGAGGACTTTGCTGCGGTGCGGAGTGCGGCGCCGGACGATGAATTGGCGAGGAATCTGCATCCAACTGCAGCAAGATGTTTGCGTCCCCATCCAACGGGGTGCACAAAATACGAAAATATAAAATCTTCTCAGTTGAAATCTGTTTTATTTCCTCCCTTCCTCCCATCACTCCTCTATTCCGACAACCGACACCGCAATCCTCCCCCGATTGATCTTCTGGCGAGTGAGCTGCGAAGGGAGAGCAGAGCTTGAGCTGCGGTTTGGATCCAGATCCACGCTGGAGGGCTCTGCCAGCGAGTGTTCTGTGATCCCAGCGCCCATGCGCAATGTAAACAAGCGACAAATCAGCTGTTTTCGACTTTCGATAGGCAGGCTATCGAAATCGATTGCAACCGCGTGGGCTTTGCGTTGTTGTGTGGATTCCCCCCCAGGCGTTTGCAATTGTCTAATTAAAGTGCTAAATTCGTTTATCAGAATGGTCCATCCACACAATAGGAAGAAATCGAAGAAGCAGAAGAAGGAGAAGGAGCGCAGGCCAAAGAACGTGAGTAGAAAAGCTGCAGAATCTGTCCCCTTGCTGATGGATTGCCTTGAACCCCGCGCAGACGCAGAAGCCGAAGCCAAAGCCGACACAGGAAAACAACCAAAAGGAAGACCAATCCGTGGGCGATGGCGGGGGCGGCGAATGTGAAATATCAGAGCTGAAGATGGAGAAGGTCGGCGAGAGGAGTGAGTTGTACGAGGATTACATGGACTTCTACGAGGGCGGGGCACGCGGCGCGAGCCTGCAGAGGAAGCTGTGCAAGGCGGTGAGCGCCAAGGTGCTGACGGACTACGAGCGGATGGTCGAGGCGATCGGGAGTGTGACCGAGCACATCTTTGAGTTCCGCAAGTACGAGGTGTACGTGATGCTGTACCCCACGCTGGCCATGGGCTACCTGCAGATGGTGTGGAGCGGCAAGGGGCAGAGGGCCAAGGCCTTTGTGGAGCGGCACAGGCACGACTTGGACGATTCGTACAGGAGTCGCATGGCCAGGCTGGTGCTGATCCGCAGGCCGGAGGAGGTGCCGGGCAGGGCGGTGGAGCTGCTGGCTGGGGCGGACAAGGTGCAGTTCTTCATGGCCTGCAGCACCTTCCAGCGCTTCAAGACGCTCCAGGCGAAGTTCTGGACGGGCGGGCAGCTGGCGGTCTTCCTCGCCCACTTTGACATCTGCATCTACGCCGATGAGAAGCTGTCGCCGGAGCGGGTCCGCCCGGCGCGTCCCTTGCCGGAGCCCTTCTCGTGGGCCGCCGCAGGGGCTGTGCCGGACTGGCCGCTCGATCGCAGCCAGCTGCCCAGGGTCTGCATTAACATGGCCGCGCCCATGGACAGTGCCGACGAGGTGACTTGCGCGACGCTCTCGGAGGACCATTGCAGCGTGGCCTTTGGCACTGGCTGCGGCATGGTGCACGTGGTGGCCGTGAACAAGGACTGGCGAGACGCGAACAACCTGCGGAGGGAGAATGTGTTTTGCGGCCACCAGCAGTCGGTGCTGGCCTGCGCCTTTTCGCCCGGGGACCGCCACCTGCTCACCTCCTCGGCGGACTGCACCATGCGGCTGTGGTGCACACGCTCCGGATTCTGCAAGAACGTCTATCAGTACCGCGCGGCCAGGTGTGTGGTGTTCGGGCCGAGGGGCTGCCACTTCGCCACCTCCTCGGACGACAATGTGGCGCGCGTGTGGGGAGTGGACTCCAGAAGTCCCCTTCTCAGTCTCTATGGCCACTTGGCGCGACTGGAGGTGTGTCTGTTCCACCCGAATGGCAACTACTGGGCCACTGGATCGGCAGACGCCACCGTGAGGATCTGGGACTACGACAACCGCGCCCAAGTGCGCCTCCTCCGCGGCCACAAGGCCCCAGTCACTGCCCTGGTGTACTCGGTGTGCGGACGCTACCTGGTCTCTGGGGGCCGAGACAACCTCATCATTGTGTGGGACACAGCCGACGAGCGAATGATCCGCTGCCTGTGCCAGCACAAGGCGATGATTGCCTCCATGGAGATCTCCTGCTGCAACAATCTGCCTGGCTGTGTGGAGCCGCGGCTGCCAGCTCAGCCTCTGGGACTTTCAGCTGCTCCTCAAGCAGTCCGTGGCCCAGGGCCCAGCACCGCTGATCTGCTCCCTGAAGGGCACTGAGATGGGAATTTTCCTCCAGGGCGGCTTCCATGGTCGCAATGGCCTGGTTGCCATCTGCACGACCAGCTGCCAGGAGGTGAAGGAGCTCAGCGCCAAGGCAGTGCAGCAGGAGGCTTCCCTTGCTGCCCTTGTGAAGAAAATTGCAGATATCCAAGCGGAAATCCATTTGAATGCAGAGCGAAAACTGCTGGTGCAGTCCATGCTGGAGGCATTGCGCATCGAGCGCGAGCCCTGACCCCATTCGGCTCTCATCTGCAAGTCGCTGGAGCGAGTCATCGATGGAGAGCATCTCCATCTCTAGTCTATGCACATAATTATCCATATTCTGTACAGGGTACACCAATGTCTGCACGTATAAACTACATAAACAGCCACTCGGACTCGACTCGACTCGACTCGACTCTCCTCTCCCACTCATCTCTTGAGCTTCGGGTGTCCACTGGCCAAGCCAAAGTTCGGCTTCCTTCCATGATTTGATTTGATTTGATTTGATTTCTCCTTAATGTTTGCCGCACTCTCTGAGTTCTCCGAGTTCTGCGAGTGGCCCCAAAGTGCCATTTCCACCACGGTAGAGTGGAGTGGACCGGAGTAGAGTGGAGTAAAAGTGGCAAAATGTTGCGCGGTTGCATTGAATCGTTCTGTGGTGTGGCGTCTCCCCTCACAGCCCACCCACCTGACTGGCAAAAGACCCTTTGAAAATGAACCAAATGAATCGAATCAAATTTCCATTTGCATTTCGGAAATAATTACTGAACTTCTGCTGCTCTGTCTCCTGTCTCCCGTCTCTGCCTGGCAGACATTGCATTCTGTGTGTTTCTGTGTTTAGGGGCAATTGTCAATGGATTTTATTTATGATTTTCCATTGGAGGTGGCACATATGTGCGAGTATGTACGAGCATATAATATATATGTGCATATACTGGCGCCATAGAAGATGTGAGAGCAGAGGAGCGCAGCGCAGCGCAGCTGCTGCAACCCAAAAGGAGATGTGTAATATTTCAATCGAAACAATTAAAATGTGCCCGGACACATTGTCTTTCTCCTTCTCCTTCTCCTTGCTCCTCTCTCCCTTCTCCTTGCCAAGTCAGCAAATCTTGCAGCAGTTTTATTTATTTTCTCAGTGCGTTGGCAGTGCCACAGAATAGCTAAGAAATAGAAGAATTAAATAATAATTGCATGTTTTGTTGTTCTGCTGCGGCTGCGTGCCCAACGACATTGCGTATACGAACTGTGGGACGTAATCTCAATGAGCTTTGAACGGGTGTGGCGTTGCGACCAGCTGGACTAGCTATATCATATCATATCGTATCGTATTTGTAGCACACTGCTTCCCACACATCCCACACATTTTTTCCCCCAATTTGCATCGTGAGTTTCCTGAGGGATGTGCAAATATTGCTACCGAAAAGGTCTAAAACTTGTCAATCGGGCATTGACCATCCAACCATCTAGTTCAGTCTTTTCCTTTGGTTAAGTTCTGCAGCAGACCGACCCAGGGTTGCCCCAAGCCTTTTCTCTCCACTTTGACACATTTTTAAATGCTTCTCGCTGTCACCTGGCTGCTCTCTGCAGGCACTTTCCAACACTACCCTGTCACTTCATCAGCTTGTCTGTGTGCTTTTGCTTTCGTTTTCAATTCGATTGAGTCTCGTGTCGGAGTGTTAAGGGAAAATGTTGATAGCTCGCGCCATACGCGGCCGCCAGCTAATGCGCGGCCTGTCCGCCTGCCTGCCCACGACAGCTGCAGCTGCGGCTGCGGCTGCGGCTGTGTGGAGCCGCCGTCCCCGTGGACAAAGTGCTCTGATCGGATACTTTATCGAGCATTTGCGTCCGACTCGCTTGGACTCGCTCAATGGCGCCAGCATTGTGATGCCTCAGCGCTGCTACCACAGTCGCCAGAGCGCTGATGCCAACGACAGGAAGACGCGAGTCGGAGCGGACCGGCAGGCGGCTGTGCCCGACGTCTGGCCACATGTGCCGCTGATAGTCCTGCGCAGGTGTCCCCTGTTTCCGCGCTTCATGGACATTGTGGAGGTGAGTGCAGTGCAGTGCAGTGCGGGATTAGTAGCATGGACTTAACGGACTGGCCCTGTCCCCGGAAAGGTGTCCAATCCAATGGTTATGGACCTGATGCGGCGCAAAATCAGGCTCAATCAGCCGTACGTGGGCGTTTTCCTCCAGAGGGTCGTCGATGCTGAGGAGGAGATTGTCGAGAGTCTGGACGAGATCTATCACGTGGGCACTTTCGCACAGATCCAACAGATTCAGGATTTGGGCAAGAAGCTGCGCATGGTGGTGGTGGGGCATCGTCGCATACGCATCACAGGCCAGCTGCAGCCCCCAAAGGCGCCGCGAGGTAAGCACTTCACAGAGAGAGCGACACACACACAAAGTCCCACTATACTTGAGAGCTTGATCTTAGCGAGAGCTGGCCACGCTGGCCCCGCTGCAGCTGCAGCTGCAGCTGCTGTCCCCCTGCTCGTTGTGGTGGTGGAGAATGTCCAGCCACCGAGCTACCAGCACACGGATGAGGTCAAGGCACTAAGCCAAGAGATAGTCAAGACTCTGCGCGACCTCAGCAGCCTGAATCCCGGCTACAGGTGAGCCACAAAATACCAGAGGCAGCTTCCTTCCTTGCCGCCTAACGCCTAACTCTCCACCGCCTAGGGAGAGTCTCCATCAAATGCTGCACCAGAGTCAGCGGGTGCTGGACAATCCCATCTACCTGTGCGACCTGGGCGCCTCGCTGTCGCTCGCCGAGCCCGAGGAGCTGCAAAAGATCCTGGAGGAAACCTATGTACGGATAACTAAGGATTTGCCTTCCATTTTCACATGTTTACCACTTCACCTTCAAAGATCCCAAAACGTCTGATGCTGTCGCTGACGCTGCTGAAGACGGAGCTGGAGCTGACGACGCTGCAGGCGAAGATTGAGCGCGAGGTGGAGCGAAAAGTGGAGCAGCACCACTACAGGCACATCCTGCAGGAGCACCTGAAGATACTCAAGCGGGAGCTGGGCATGGAGCGGGACGACAAGGAGGCCATCGTCGAGAAGTATCGCCGGCGAGTCGCCGATAAAACGATGCCCAAAGGCGTGATGCGTGCCATCGACGATGAACTGAGGAAACTGAACTTTCTGGATAGCTGCTGCCCCGAATTTAAGTATGCCAGAGACCCCTCTGACCCCCTCCCCCAATCTCACGCCTATTTATTTTCCTCCCCCTCCCATTCATTTGTCGTAGTTTAATCCGCAACTACCTCGACTGGCTGACCGCGCTGCCCTGGGGCGTGACCAGCGCCGACAATCTGTGCGTGGAGAATGCCAGCGAGATCCTGAACCGGGAGCACTACGGCATGGAGGATGTCAAGCGGCGCATCCTGGAGTTCATGGCCGTGAGTGCGCTGAAGGGCAGCACACAGGGCAGGATCCTGTGCTTCCACGGGCCGCCTGGTGTCGGCAAAACGAGCATTGCCAAGTCGATTGCACGGGCCCTGAGCCGCCAGTACTTCCGCTTCAGCATGGGCGGCGTCACGGATGCGGCCGAGATCAAGGGACATCGTCGCACCTACGTGGGCGCCATGCCCGGCAAGCTGGTCCAGTGCCTGAGGCAGACCAGGACCGAGAATCCCCTCGTGCTCATCGACGAGGTGGACAAGATTGGCAAGTAGGTGGCCACCATCCCTACCCATTCCCCTACCCATCCCCCTACCCATGCCTGTCCCACCTGCCCGCCCACAGAGGCCATCAGGGCGATCCCAGCCAGGCGCTGCTGGAGCTCTTCGACGCCGAGCAGAGCGCCAGCTTTCAGGACAACTATCTGGACGTGCCGATCGACCTGTCGCGCGTGCTCTTCATCTGCACGGCCAACGGGACGGCGGCCATACCGGAGCCGCTGCGGGACCGCATGGAGATGGTCGAGATGTGCGGCTATGTGGCCGAGGAGAAGGTGGCCATTGCCCGTCAGTATCTGGTGCCGCAGGCGATGAGCGACTGCGGCCTGACCGCCGACCATCTCAGCATCAGCGAGAGCGCCCTGCGGCTGCTGATACACAGCTACTGCCGCGAGTCCGGGGTGCGCAACCTGCAGCGGCAGATCGAGAAGGTCATCCGCAAGGTGGCCGTCCTTCTGGTCAGAGGGCAGCAGCCGGGCAGCAGCCACTACCCCGTGCATGCCGGCAATCTGAGCGCATTCGTCGGCAAGCGGATCTTCGCCTCGGATCGCATGTACGAGACGACGCCCCCGGGCGTGGCCATGGGCCTGGCCATGTGCGGCTCATCGCTGTACATCGAGACATCGCCGCGGAGCTCACACAAAGGCGATGCTGGCGAAGGCGAAGGTGGGGCCGAGGCCGAGGGCGAGGGCGAGGGCGTGTTGTATATCACCGGAAACCTGGGAGCTGTCATGAAGGAATCTGCCCAAATAGCCCTGACTGTGGCGCGCAACTTCATCCAGCTGCGAGATCCTGGCAATCAGTACCTGGAGCTGGAGTAAGCACGTGCCGGAGAGGCTCCACTGCCCCTCGTCGATCATTCCCCCCACTCGCTCTTTTCCCCCGCAGGAACATCCATCTGCATGTGCCCGAGGGGGCCGTGCCCAAGGACGACCCCAGTGCTGGCGTCACCATAGTCACGGCCCTGATATCGCTGGCCACCAACCGGTCCGTGCGCCACGATGTGGCCATGACGGGCGAGATATCGCTCAAGGGCAGAGTGCTGGCCGTGAGCGGCATCAAGGAGAAGGCCATAGCAGTGAGTATGCTGCGTGTCCATTGGGCATTCACTGCTGAGATTCCCCTCCACAGGCACGGCGCAGTGGCGTCCAGTGTGTCATCCTGCCCGCGGACAACAGCAGGGACTTCGAGGAGCTGCCCACATTCGTGACCGAAGGCCTGGAGGTACACTTTGCGGCCGACTACGAGGATGTCTACAACGTTGCCTTCTCCGAGCCAAGCAAAAACCAGGACGAGCCCAAAGTCAAGCAGCCTCCGGCCCCTCCGGCGCAGCAGCAGCAGCAGCAGCAGGAGCAGCCCCTCGAGAGGCTGGCATAGATATCAATCAGTTTCAGTTTAATTTGTGCCTTTAGCTAATACAAAACCCAAGCCATTTGCTTAACCAAAGCCCTGTACATGTGCCCCAACTACACACGGGATCCGGGCTGGGCAGCTGCACCACAAGGGAGTCCTCACCACTTGACTCCACACGGGCCGATTGAAGTTAATTAATTTGTCTAGCTTCAGGGCCCTAGAATTTGGGTTGAGCAGAGAACAGAACAGAGCGATCCTGATAGCTGTCAGCGGATCGCAGTCTAATGCGGATAGCCATTTGGGCAATACGCAAATCCCTGGCACGCATCGCCACACAGTGAGCAAAAGGGCCACTCCATCCAGGGCCACTCTTATGACTGTGCGTCTCAATGGCAACTGCCTTCTGGCTTGCCAGGCGAAATGAAAGAAAGACAATTTAATTGTTTCGATTGAAATATTACACATCTCCTTTTGGGTTTCAGCAGCTGCGCTGCGCTCCTCTGCTCTCACATCTTCTATGGCGCCAGTATATGCACATATATATTATATACTCGTACATACTCGCACATATGTGCCACCTCCAATGGAAAATCATAAATAAAATCCATTGACAATTGCCCCTTAAACACAGAAACACACAGAATGCAATGTCTGCCAGGCAAGAGACGGGAGACAGCAGACGAGAGACAGCAGAAGATTCAGTAATTATTTTCCGAAATGCAAATGGAAATTTGATTCGATTCATTTGGTTCATTTTTCAAAGGGTCTTTTGCCAGTCACGTGGGTGGGCTGTGGAGGGGAGACGCCAGACCACAGAACGATTCAATGCAACCGCGCAACATTTTGCCACTTTTACTCCACTCTACTCCGGTCCACTCCACTCTACCGTGGTGGAAATGGCACTTTGGGGCCACTCGCAGAACTCGGAGAGCTCAGAGAGTGCGGCAAACATTAAGGAGAAATCAAATCAAATCAAATCAAATCATGGAAGGAAGCCGAACTTTGGCTTGGCCAGTGGACACCCGAAGCTCAAGAGATGAGTGGGAGAGGAGAGTCGAGTCGAGTCCGAGTGGCTGTTTATGTAGTTTATACGTGCAGACATTGGTGTACCCTGTACAGAATATGGATAATTATGTGCATAGACTAGAGATGGAGATGCTCTCCATCGATGACTCGCTCCAGCGACTTGCAGATGAGAGCCGAATGGGGTCAGGGCTCGCGCTCGATGCGCAATGCCTCCAGCATGGACTGCACCAGCAGTTTTCGCTCTGCATTCAAATGGATTTCCGCTTGGATATCTGCAATTTTCTTCACAAGGGCAGCAAGGGAAGCCTCCTGCTGCACTGCCTTGGCGCTGAGCTCCTTCACCTCCTGGCAGCTGGTCGTGCAGATGGCAACCAGGCCATTGCGACCATGGAAGCCGCCCTGGAGGAAAATTCCCATCTCAGTGCCCTTCAGGGAGCAGATCAGCGGTGCTGGGCCCTGGGCCACGGACTGCTTGAGGAGCAGCTGAAAGTCCCAGAGGCTGAGCTGGCAGCCGCGGCTCCACACAGCCAGCAGATTGTTGCAGCAGGAGATCTCCATGGAGGCAATCATCGCCTTGTGCTGGCACAGGCAGCGGATCATTCGCTCGTCGGCTGTGTCCCACACAATGATGAGGTTGTCTCGGCCCCCAGAGACCAGGTAGCGTCCGCACACCGAGTACACCAGGGCAGTGACTGGGGCCTTGTGGCCGCGGAGGAGGCGCACTTGGGCGCGGTTGTCGTAGTCCCAGATCCTCACGGTGGCGTCTGCCGATCCAGTGGCCCAGTAGTTGCCATTCGGGTGGAACAGACACACCTCCAGTCGCGCCAAGTGGCCATAGAGACTGAGAAGGGGACTTCTGGAGTCCACTCCCCACACGCGCGCCACATTGTCGTCCGAGGAGGTGGCGAAGTGGCAGCCCCTCGGCCCGAACACCACACACCTGGCCGCGCGGTACTGATAGACGTTCTTGCAGAATCCGGAGCGTGTGCACCACAGCCGCATGGTGCAGTCCGCCGAGGAGGTGAGCAGGTGGCGGTCCCCGGGCGAAAAGGCGCAGGCCAGCACCGCCTGCTGGTGGCCGCAAAACACATTCTCCCTCCGCAGGTTGTTCGCGTCTCGCCAGTCCTTGTTCACGGCCACCACGTGCACCATGCCGCAGCCAGTGCCAAAGGCCACGCTGCAATGGTCCTCCGAGAGCGTCGCGCAAGTCACCTCGTCGGCACTGTCCATGGGCGCGGCCATGTTAATGCAGACCCTGGGCAGCTGGCTGCGATCGAGCGGCCAGTCCGGCACAGCCCCTGCGGCGGCCCACGAGAAGGGCTCCGGCAAGGGACGCGCCGGGCGGACCCGCTCCGGCGACAGCTTCTCATCGGCGTAGATGCAGATGTCAAAGTGGGCGAGGAAGACCGCCAGCTGCCCGCCCGTCCAGAACTTCGCCTGGAGCGTCTTGAACCGCTGGAAGGTGCTGCAGGCCATGAAGAACTGCACCTTGTCCGCCCCAGCCAGCAGCTCCACCGCCCTGCCCGGCACCTCCTCCGGCCTGCGGATCAGCACCAGCCTGGCCATGCGACTCCTGTACGAATCGTCCAAGTCGTGCCTGTGCCGCTCCACAAAGGCCTTGGCCCTCTGCCCCTTGCCGCTCCACACCATCTGCAGGTAGCCCATGGCCAGCGTGGGGTACAGCATCACGTACACCTCGTACTTGCGGAACTCAAAGATGTGCTCGGTCACACTCCCGATCGCCTCGACCATCCGCTCGTAGTCCGTCAGCACCTTGGCGCTCACCGCCTTGCACAGCTTCCTCTGCAGGCTCGCGCCGCGTGCCCCGCCCTCGTAGAAGTCCATGTAATCCTCGTACAACTCACTCCTCTCGCCGACCTTCTCCATCTTCATCACCATCTTCAGCTCTGATATTTCACTTTCGCCGCCCCCGCCCCCGCCATCGCCCACGGATTGGTCTTCCTTTTGGTTGTTTTCCTGTGTCGGCTTTGGCTTCGGCTTCTGCGTCTGCGCGGGATTCAAGGCAATCCATCAGCAAGGGGACAGATTCTGCAGCTTTTCTACTCACGTTCTTTGGCCTGCGCTCCTTCTCCTTCTTCTGCTTCTTCGATTTCTTCCTATTGTGTGGATGGACCATTCTGATAAACGAATTTAGCACTTCAATTAGACAATTGCAAACGCCAGGGGGGCAAAGCAAAGCACACAACACAAAGCACACAACACACAGCCCACGCGGTTGCAATCGATTTCGATAGCCTGCCTATCGAAAGTCGAAAACAGCTGATTTGTGGCTTGCTTACATTGCGCAAGGGCGCTGAGATTACAGAGCACTCGCTGGCAGAGTCCTCCAGCGTGGATCTGGATCCAAACCGCAGCTCAAGCTCTGCTCTCCCTTCGCAGCTCACTCGCCAGAAGATCAATCGGGGGAGGATTGCGGTGTCGGGTGTCGGAATAGGAAGGAGTGAAGGGAGGAAGGGAGGAAATAAAACAGATTTCAACTGAGAAGATTTTATATTTTCGTATTTTGTGCACCCCGTTGGATGGGGACGCAAACATCTTGCTGCAGTTGGATGCAGATTCCTCGCCAATTCATCGTCCGGCGCCGCACTCCGCACCGCAGCGCAGCGCAGCAAAGTCCTCGCATTGCCTAGTCGAAGGAGGAGACTGCACTTCATTATTCATCTGCACAACTCTCTGCACCCGTTTGTACTTACTCGTGGGGGTGGGGGTTCCTGGACGGGATCGGCGGGAAGTGGGGGGCTAGCAGCGGCAGAGGTTGAGGCGGACGTAGAGTCCGCGCTCGAGCAGCTTCTCGCACTGGAGCATGGTGTGGCAGTAGATGAGCGATGAGGGGCCCAGCGCGTTCTCGCTGGAGAACTGCCAGGGCTCGGAGCGGTTCGGGAAGAAGCTCACCTCGGAGTAGTCGCTGGCCTCCAGGCAGTAGGAGAAGAGCAAGGGCAGGGCGCCGGCAGGGCGCTCGGCTGACAGCTCGAGTCGCAGTCGGAAGTGGAGCAGTGCGAAGGGATTTTCGTTCTCACCGCCCGCAGCGAGAGGCTGCCACTTGAGGAGGAGCGACCAGTCCTGATCATGGGCACGGAACTGCACAACCGGCAAATAATCGTGCTGCAGAGTCTCTGCTGCTGCTTTTTCTTGTGGAAGGACGTGGATATGACGCGTGGTCGTGTTGGGGGACTCCAAGAGCTCTTCCATCTCCGTTTTCACCAGCAACGTTTCCTCGTACTCGGAGCACATCAACTTGGCCAGGGCCAGGTTGAGGTCATCGATCGTTGTGACCTGCTGGAGACTGGCCTGGGGCTGCACACCAATCCAGTTGCAGCCCAGGACCCGGAACTTGCAGAGCACCACGCGGCTTGGGCACTCCCGGGTGTGCGCGCGGAGGGCCGAGCGCGGCATCCGGCCACCGCACTGCCCACAGAGCACTCGCATCTCGGCCAGTGCCCGCTCCACGGCACTGTTCCTGTTGTGCTCGCCATCGATCCGCACACCGCACGTGGCACAGAGGGCCTGCATCTTGTCCAGCATGCGCACCTGGTAGCAGCAGAAGCACAGCAGATGTCCGTTGGCGCACTGGAAGACCTGGCCGTGGGGCAGCGTGTTGCAGGCACCGCAGCGAACCAAGTCGGTCGCCAGCTCCTGCAGGCTGGTGGACGAGTCCCGCAGCAGGATGCCGCGTGGAGTGACCATATTGTCGAGATCCCAGAACCGGTTCAGTACATCGTAGGCACACAACTGCAGCACGGAAAGCATTTGGCTTGTCTGCTTTGGGAGTGTTCTTCGAGAAGCTTCAAATATAAATGCCGCACCGCAGCCAATTGGTTTGTCTTATCGAAAGGGAAGCGAAACGAAAGGAAGTAAAGCGAGAGAACAGAAAAGAAGGAACAGACGTGACGTAGACGTGCTGGATCTGGATCTGGATCGGATTGTGCAACACTGGCATGCTGAGTGTTGTTTGTGTCTCGAAGTGAAATTGAAATTCAAATGCCACGAAAGTTGAGTTCCTTGATTAATTCTCAGCTATAATTAATGCTCATAATTATTATTATTATAATTATACGAAGAACAGAACTGAAATGGTTCAATATTTTCTGTGGTCGGCAGATGTGTGCACACTGGTTGGTGTCTAGCAGCCCTGTCGACTGAATAAACTGTTTGATTTCTGTGTGTAAGAATGGAAAGGAAGCCTCCGATTGATGGCTGGCCACTCAAGCGGCCCAGCACTTGGAACGTAAGCGAACAAATGAATGGAATGGGATGGGAAATTAGCCATCAGAAATCCCTTGAAATCTCAGCAGAGCTATCAAGATTACGGACTGAATTGTGTCGCCAGGACAACAACTGGCAACGGCTGGCAATGCTAAATTAAGTCATAATTAGGCTACTCCTGTTGCATTGTGCATTGGCATGCAGCTTGCCTCCTTCGAGGATCGATTGGGTGGAGGGATGGGAAGGGCAGGGCAGGGCATGGCAGGGCAGGGCAGGGCGGAAAGGAGATGAACCCACAATTAGTGGCTGGGGACATTGATTGTGGGATTCAATTGGGTCAAATGCGAGCAATTACATCAATTATTTCCGTAATTATCAATTGACGTTGGGCCCGAAATTCAATTCAATGCAAGCCACAACCTTGTGCCCCCCTTGCACCACACACCCACCACACTGCGGCCCAGGTGGGCGCACAGAACAGCCACAAAAATCTGGACACAAGCGGAGCGGGGACCCCCAGCCATACAATTTTCTTTACTGTTCCACACTTGTTTTTTTTTTTTGGATTATTTGCAAAGTACACTCCAAAGCTCACATTTTGTTGCACAGTGTATAGTGTATAGAAATACCCGAAAACCCTGTTGCACAGTGTTGTCAGGTGGAAGACCATTGCAGATTGAGTGTAAACCTATTAGAGAAATTGCTAACTAAATAAACCTGTGGGCCCGCCGCACGCCCACCTGAACGGCCCAGAAGACGCTTGTTCCACCCGCCCAGCCGCCCACCGCCCACGCTGGGTCAATTCAATTACCAAGCCAGGCGCAGGGTGGCTCTTAGAGTTTAATAATGCAATCGAACAGCAACTGGTAGGTACACTGTCCATCCATACTGAGTCATCGAGGCTCCTGCGAGCAGCCAAGATTGGAATTAAAACCCACATATGTGTCTATGGGTATTTTATGTGCCAGAAATAAATGCAAAAACCACTTCATACACACACACACAGATGGCAAAATTAAACGCATTTAAATTGAGTTCAAGGTACAAATTGAAACTCAAAGGTTCCGTCTGAAGATGCCGAAAATGTGCATTAAAAATAATAATTAATAAAGAAAATATATGCCCAGATGTTTATTTATTCTTTATTTGTTTTATTTATTTATTCTTTTATTATGTTCTATGTGCATTGCCTACCCATGCCATTTTTTTTCTTGCTGCATTTCCATAAATTATTTTTCTTTGTATTTTAAAATGCTGCCATAATTTTCGCTGTAAATTTTCAAATTTTAAGGGAATCTTTTGTGTGTTTCTTCTCGTTTCAAACTTATTGAACCGCCCTCGCACCGCCTATGACTTGCTTTGAGTGTTATTTAAGAGATATTTTCCTTTTTGTGGCTGTAAATATTTAATAGATTTTCCTGCCCTGACCGGGTACGGCTTTGGCTTTGGCATTGGCTCTGCCCGCTGCCCTCTGCCCTCTGCTCTCTGCCCTCTGTGAACCTTTTGGCATATTCCCGACGGACCTCCCCCCCCACCCCACTGCAATTGGTATAAAAATAAAGCGAAATTCTTGAATTTCCTGGACTAGCATTATTATTGTTATTAAATTTTACTGCCTCTAACTGTTTTGGCTGGCTGGCCGAGACAAATTAGGGGGAAAAAGGCGATCGAAGTACCCCGGACAGGTGTGTCTGGGTGTGTGGGTGTGGGTGCCATCCTAGAACCTCGTCCATTTTACGCACACAATGTTTTAATGTTGTGTTTGTGTGCTCATCAATATTTATTGCGGTTCGACTACGTGAGCCGCACACAATCAGCGTGGACTCCTGGGCCAGGCCAGGCCAGGACCTGACTGCCACCTACAACCAGCCAGCAGCCGACAGCCAACGGGGGCACGCCCCCAACAATTGTGCAAATATTTTTGTTATGCCCCCCTGCTGATACGGGGACTAGCAACAGAAATTTACCCTAGCTGAATTACTGTTACTCCTCTGTTACTAAAAATTATTGTTAAATCTTTTCTTTCAGCATTAATTAATTAGCGAGTTCAATTGGTAACATTTAATTACTTATTGAGTTGTGAAAGGAATTCCCCTTGAGCATTTATTTATATATTTTTCTTTTTGTGTTTTTCTGTGTGTGACAAAGCTAGGCCAAGTCAGAGCTGCCCCGCACTCGTGGCCTACACCCAGTGCCAAAGGAGTGCAAGGCAGAGTGGTGAGGGGAAGGTGGGTAGTGGGGGGTGGCTTTCCGCAGCTAAAGACGAGGTTATTTACCATTCAAAAACTTCAATTACCGCAAAGAAGTTGGTGGAGCGTTAATCGCCAGCAGGCCATTGTGTGTGTGTGTGTGTGTGTCGAGCCCATTCGGATTGGTGGCATCTGAACGCTGAACGCTGTGCCACAATTACAAGCATGGCTTGGACTGGGGACTAGTACACCTTGCCTTGTGCTACCATCCATTGTTATGCTGATTTAACGCTTTATTTGCAAATAAATAAAACAAAAGTTCATTGGTTATTAAGTCATTTCCTCGCTGTTTGCTTTTGCCGCGACATCCCCACCACCGAGGAAGCACGCGGCGATTTAGCACACGCAGCACACGCCAAAGAAGGCAACAAATTTTCACTTTCACTTTCACTTTGGCTGCCTTTTGTTCTCGAACTAGTCAGGGGGTTGGCCGTAGGAATATTCCGGAGGCAATTAGCTAAAGCCGATTAATGTATTTAATATAATCAATTGATGTATAATAAATGGCAGCAGCTGCAGCTGGTCTTAATGAGAAAAACAAGGGAGAGCAGGGGGCAGAAAATTACTAGCTTTCATATGGAAATATTTGTATGACTCCTAAACACATTCAACAAATAAAGATAGGTACACAAATCAAAGAGAGAGAGAGAGAGAGAGCTACAAGCTATTCGGAATATACCCCAGTTGCCAGCTGGAAGCCTGCAGAGGCTCCCATTTCCTCTTCCCCCATAACAATAAACTGAAGAAGAAAGTTACAGTCCCCAACATGCTACGAACTTTCGATTCCACTTTGAAACTTATGTAAAGGTGCAACAAGCAGCTTAAATCAATGCCAGACACATTAAAGCAGCAAAAATATTTTATATATACTATATCTATATATTTATGTATTTTTCTTCTACATTTTTTTTTGTTATTCAGCAGTTGTTAGTTCCCCCCTTTGATCGGGACAGCGGCAGGAGCGGCGCTCTTCTTCTCAGCAGCGGCCTTAGCGGTCACCCTTGTTGGCGTCTTGGCAGTTGGAGCCAGGCGCCAGGCGCCAATGCTATGGCGAAAAAAAATCAAAATTAATTACCTGCCATACAGAGCAGGGCCAGACCACAGGATTTACCCACCTGCAGCTGCAAGTTGCGTTTGCTGCGAGGTTTTTGCTGAATTTATATTGTGTGATATTTTGGTTCGTCTTTTTTTTGTTGTTGTTGTTGGTTGTTTTCAATCCGGCTTTTGTTTAGGGTATCAGTGCGTTCATCATCAGTGGGGGTGTCAGCGGTCCGACGGTCAGCACTTCTTGGGCTGCTTCTTGGGCTGTTTCTTGGGCTTTTTGGGAGCTTTGGGCTTGGCGCAGCGCGAATTGCGCAGCGTCTTTTTGGGGGCGCTTTTGGTGGTCTTCCGCTTGGGCTTCTTGGCGGCAGCCGACTTGGCACGCCTCGGCTTAGCGCACTTCGGCTTGGCCGCCCGCTTGGAGGCGCTGCGTCGCTTGGCGGCCGGCTTGGCGGCCACCTTGCCACAGTCGGCGTCCTCACAGAATTCAAAATCGTCGTCCAAAGTCTCGGGCACGAGACCCCTTGGCTGCGGAAACAGCGGCAACTGCAGTTGAGCGTTTGCATTTGGATGCACAAACCACTCACCTTGCGGCCGCGGGCTCCCGGGCCTGTCATCCTGCCCGGCCAGCGCTGTGCCGCCAAGTTGAGCACACACTTGCCGTATGGGCTGGCGCCCTGCCACTTTTGGTCGTCGCCGTTATCCTCTTCCGTTGATGACGATGCGGCAAAGTAGTTTTGTGACATATTTCCAAACACACACAAAAAACCCGCAAAAACAAAAACGAACAAAAAATCTCTACTCAAACAAAAAAAAAAGAATTTAAATCTATTTCGCGAAGCTACTAATATGAAAAATAATATGAAACGAGAGCTAACTGGCAATTTGAATATTGGGAGCGATGTGTATAGTCCGGCAAACTGTTTTCGAATGAGCTGAGGCGGGGGCTTGCTTACGTGCCACACAAATTCGTGTGAAGTTCGGACTCAGGGCCTGCCTTGTTTGCTTATTTTTACAAATAAATGGGTTTTTTCAGGCTGTTCACACTGGCGCTGCGTCCTGCGTCCTGCGTATTTGCGTTCTTGCGTCTGGCCGCAGACGCAGTTTTTAGTTACATTCTTTTTGTGGGTGGATTTATGTGAATATTCGTATAATTCTTAGACAATTTCTTCTGCCTAGTGCTAAGCAAATGGATTTTCCATATTTATTATTATTATTATTATAATTATTTTTTATTATTATTTTATTATTATTATTATTATTTTATTTTTTTTTTTTTTTTTTTTTTTTTTTTTTTGCATTGATATCTCCATCTTTATCTGTATTCAGCCGCAAATCAATTTCACACACGCGAGCAAGCAAATCGACAAATGTGGCACATTAAATGCAAATGGCTCTTGTTGCACCTGCGGCGACTCCTGTTCATAATGACAGCTGTCTCCCTGGCAAAGCGTCCTCTCTCTCGCTATCCCTCTCTCTCTTTCCCTCCTAAAACCCATTTGGCTAATTAAACAGAAATCCCCACAGTACACAGCATGTTAGACAACCAGGGAGAGGGCAGGGTAAAAAAATCTTGAAATTAATTTTCACACTTTAATTTGAAAACATTTTGCGAATCACAATTTAATTTACATATTTACTTTAAACTTGAGGACATTCTGTGGCATAATTCTTGTGTATTTTGGCGCAGGTTTAGCTGCATTTTACAGCTAATAAATTGAGTGTGAGCCGCACTGCTGCTCAGCCGGGTTGATCAGTTGGTTAGTTTATCAGCCAGCCATTTAATGGCAGGGGGGAGAGATTCTGGCTGCTGGCTGCTGGCTTCTGGCTGCTGGCTGCTGGCTGCTGGCTGCTGGCTTCTGGCTGCTGGCTTCTAGCTGCTGGCTTCTGGCTGCTGGCTTCTGGTCTGTTGCGTCGATTCGCTATTCAATAAACAAGCGCCAATGCAATTTGTCAAAAGAGTTTTCGTCCCAAGAGGTGTCCGCGCAGGAGGTTGGTGCCACGGCCACGGGCACGGGCATTGTTCATTTGCAGCCAGTGGCCATAAATCGCAAAGCAACGCGGCGTATGAGTTATGTCTTGCACGGCACCTGGGCGGATCATCCTTGAAGCCAGTCTCCAAGACTCAACTGATGAGCGGCCGTGTCAGCAATTTTTCATGCATTTAACAATAGGAGGAAACGCAAAGCAATGGAAATGGATGACTGTGATGGGATGGCACAACGGATGGACGGCGGATGGATGGCGGATGGAGTCTGGCACTGGCCTGGCTAATATTCAGATGAGAATGGCAATGTCAGCTTTCTTCATTTTCAGCCACAGTCTCTTCACTTACACTTCCACTTCCACTTCAACTTCACTTCACTTCAGTGTTTTTTTTCTCTCTGCGGGAGAGTGCCCAGTACTTCTGTTTCGCGTTTGTTTATTGGCCAATTCTCAGTTTACGAAGCAATTTTTGAACACACAAATATCGTATACAATACTCGTATGATGCTGCAGTGGGCGAATTATTTATAGGAATTTTTTTTATTTTTAGTTTCTGCATTCTTTGAAAGATTCCCCAGAGCAGAAAATTATCTGTAGAGGATTTTGGCTGTTGGCTTGATTATTTTTAGGACTCGATTGGGTTGCATTGCCCGAGGATTCTAACAGAGTTCCAAAAGTAATCAAATATTATTTCTATTCGATATTCTTTTCCCCATTTTTTTATGGAATACTTTTTAAGTTTTTGGGCAACATTAATTGAAATTTGGCCTGGCAACTGCTGCTGCTACGGGTACGTGTCCTGGCCTGGTGTGTCTTCGCACATTTGCACCTTTCCTTTGAGCTTTAGCAAGGGACACGAAGCTCCTCCATGTGCCTGTATCCTTGTGTGTTTGTCACTCGCTTGCTGGCTTCTTGATTGGAACAAATGCATTTCTAATCTCGGCTGGAATGGCTCGCCTCGGCTCGGCTCGGCTCGGCTTCCTTTGCTTCCTTTAGTACGGCTCGTCCTGCTGCTCGTCCTCTTTTTGTCTCTGACTCTGCTTGGATATTTCTCATTTCGTTTTGTCGCCTATTTGTCATTGCATTTTGCTTGCAAATTTTCGCCCACCCCCAACAGGCAAGGAGAAGGTTTAGCATTGGGAGCCCGAAGCACACATCTGCTGAAGGCTATCTGCAATCGTTTTGACCGAGATAAATGGATAGAGTAAGTAAGTTGCGTTTAATGGCCAGGCAAGTCTCACAAACGGGCATCGAAATGGATCATCTGAACGAACTGAGTTTCTAGACCAGACATCGGATCATCGGAACCAGCTATGGCCAACAGCTTGTGGCCAAAGTAACCGTGACAGAAGCTTAGCCCTGGGGGGCAAAGTTACTCTCCTTCTTTGGAATTTATCAGATGAGTAGTTCTACCCACCACCAACCCATGAATAACCCCCAAGGAATCGAAGCAAACCAAGCAGCTGCCATCAAACAATCCACCATTTCTCATTCATCTTTAAGGGGGCGGAAATTAATCGCTCATGTTTCGCAGCTTATTTGTGTGCAAATTATTAGTCGCCGATCAGTTGTGCTACTTCTCGCGTGATTATCTGGAAATTGGCTATACGGGCTGTGAACACTATTCGATGTGGAAATTTTAGCCAATCACAGAGGCTGCTCAAAGCATTTGCCAACTGTGCAAAACAGGCCTAGACGATTATTGGCATGGCGTAGACTTTTATTTGCTGGGCATAGCTCTCCTGGCTTTGGTGAGTGGAACTCGTGGAACCATGGCGCTGCACTGCTGTTTTGATCGCCTTCCCATTCTTCTCATTGGCAGCTACGCTGCGTGCATATGTATCTCACAGCTGATAGATCAATGACCCTCTCTGGCTGCAGACCCGCTCGTTGGCGTGGCGCCACATGCACCTGCATCGATTGTGGTTCCTTGGAAAGGGGCTAATGATTTCAGCCTGGCTGTCGCTTCTGTATGCCCTTGTCAATGTGAGTAGTCACAGCTCTTTCTCTCCCTACTCTACTCTACTCTACTCTACTCACCGTGATTTGCCTTTGTGTGCAGCCTGAGACGGAGTTCACATATCCGTGGCTTGTGGTGTATGGCACCAATCTGTTAGCTGATATTTTGTACTTGGCGTGTACCCGCTGGAATGTTCGCCTGCCTGCTGCCTCTCTTCAATACTCGTTGTGTGCAGAGTTGGTAGCTCTGATCAGAGCGGGCCCCGCAGCTGGCTCATAGATCTATTAAAATATTTACAATATAACCTGCAGCCAATCTAATCCACTCCAAAGTGAATCCCGAACTGAAGTGAACGATGGCAAAGGCCTCCAAGGATTGGCATAAAAAGGAATATCGCAACGTTAAACAGTTTAATGAAGGCATGTAGCCGATTGTAGTCGATCCATAGAAAGTGCAACTTACAGAGAGAGAGACGCTTTGAGCAGCGTTTTACAAGGCACTTGGAAAGATTTGTGGTCGCCAGCGTAGTCCAAAGCGTTCTTGCCCTGGAGTAGCCTCCAGAGAGCCTCTTCTCTTCCCCTACTTCACTTGATTTTATTAAGGTGTAAGCCCAGAAAGAAAATAAGTGTATCTCTTCGGGCGCACTAAAAATCAATGGTTGATGACTTTGTGGGCATTTTTCACGTAATTTAAGGAACTTTCGACTGAAAGTCAAAGCCAAAGTCAGAGCTAAGGTTGGGCCAGCTAAAACAAAAGCCCACGGGGCAGACATTTGACCTCTGACTCTCTCTCTCTCTCTCTCCAGTGTTCCGCTGTGGCCCGGGCGTTTCCTTTCTGCTTCAGTTGTGTGGCTCCCTTCTTTAGATTGTTCACTCATTTCCTTTTTATTTTTTCTCGTGTCTCGTATCTCTCACTAAATTCTAAACTCCCATGCAAGCCCAGCCCAGCCATGGCCACACACACACACACACACACACACATATCCCCAACCCGTTTTGGTGGTGGAGGGGAGGGACATTTGGTAGTCTCTATAGATCGCATTCCATTTTAGTCACGTACAGACGGAAAAGTTATCGAAGATTTAAGCGCACGTACATGGGGGAAAAGGAAAACTTTTCACACACATACACACACACACACATACACTCGCCCAGCCGCAGTACAGTGCGCTTCATGGCTATATTAGATGGCAACCTTAGAGATTAAAAAAAATAGGCATTGCTAAAGTTTGAAAAAAAAAAGATTGCGGCATTGCTAATACAAAAAACTGAAAATTTTGCTGACGGGAATTGCTGCCGAGCTGCCCTTAAATGGAGATGGGCAAGAACTATGTTAGATCCGTCATCAAGTGCCGTGAGCTATTGTAAAATGTCGGATCCTGTTCGTGTCCCTGTCTCTGTCCCTAAGGCGCCGCCCCACCTCAACTTTGACTCCGATTCCGACTCTAAATCCAACTCTGACTCTGACTCTGGAATGTGAAGCGGAGTCTGGCAGGGCAGGGCAGGGCAGGGCTGGAACGTTGACTCCCCAGACACTGCAGACGCTTGGCACGTAGCCGGTGAGTAAAAAGTGCCAACTGTTTTGCTTGTCAAATTGAAATTAAAAGGCCAAAAATGCCTCAACTTGGTTGGGTGGCCATAGATATAGTCTTCTTATAAAATCAATAAAACCGAATAAAATATATGGGTTCACTCTGCAGCTGGGCAACTGGGCACGTAGTCAGTTAGGTTCCACAGGGATTATCCACAGTCCATGCCCACAGCCCATGCCCACAGCCCATACCCCAATCCAAACCAGACCAATACTGCGGTCAGTTTTCTGGGGAATTGTTATGATAAATACGAATCGAGTGACCTTGGGCCACATAAGTTGCCACAAAAACTAACGAAACAGATTTCAGAATTATGCTTCTACAACTTTCTTGGGGAACTTCTTGGGCTCTTGGTCTTGGCCTTGGGTTAGTATACCGATAGAAAAAAAGCCCTGAAATTT